ACAACTTTTCTTATTCAAACTTCCTCAACAGGTGCAAGCTGTGTCGGTCTCGTTTCAAAACAACGCCTTAGACGAGCTGGCTGAGTCTGCCGACCGCATCTTGAAAATCTCGAAATCTAATGCCGAGGTTTTTTCAGTCAAAGAAAAGTCTCAAATGACCCAGAGTGACATAACATAGTTATGCCATGACCGTAAACGGTCACACACCCTGGGAAGAAGCACTTCACGTGGACGATCTGTCTCTAGACCACGATGAAATGATAACTCTGGCTGGTGCTGGTATCGTAACCAGTGTGGAAAGTCCTCCAAGAATTCAGAGAACCCTGCAAGTTTCCTCGCTCAAAATTGGCTGACACGAAAAACAATTCAGGAAACTTCCAAGCCGGCACGCGTGAATGGCAACTGTAACCGGCGAACATAGTCGTCTGTTATATTTCACGGATATGCTAACGAGAGTTTTCTACCTCGTCGATAATGGCGCAGAAGTTAGCGTTTTTCCTGCAAATTCCAACGACCGGCTTCGTTATTCAGTTTTTAACTTACAGGCGGCAAACGGAAAGCCTATCTCCACATACAGTAAAATGTATGTTTACCTTAACAAGGGTCTACGCAAACCCATTCACTGGATTTTCGTTGTCGAAGATGTTTCTATGCCAATCGTTGGTATGGACCTTCTACAACACCACAATCTGATCATCGACACTCGCAAACGGAGGCTAGTAGACGGAAACACTAATTTGTCCGTTTGCGTAACTTCTTTTACTGGTTGTAGAGTATCCCCAGTCACAGTTAAACATATGATAGACCCACTCTATCAACCACTACTCGATAAGTACCCTGGGATACAACAAACGCCACCGAAACTACCGTGTGTAACCAGCAATGTTACACATCACATCACGACTACAGGACCACCTGTATTCCCTAAAGCACGACGACTAGCCTCCGAAAAGCTAAGGTTGGCGAAGAACGAGTTCGACCACATGATAAACTTGGGTATCATAAGACTGTCAAATAGCCCATATGCATCTCCGCAGCAACGATTGGCGTCCAACTGGCGACTATCGGTGATTGAATGCGAAAACCATTCCCGATCGTTGCCCGTTGCCTCACATTCACGATTTGACAGCTACCTTGAAAGGTACAACTGCCTTTTCGAAAATCGACTTGGTTAAAGCGTATAACGAAATCCCTATGGCTACTGACGACATACCGAAAACAACGATCATAACTCCCTTCGGACTCTGTGAATTTTTGCGAATGCCTTTCGGTTTAAGAAACGCGGTTCAAACATTCCAAAGATCCATAGACGATGTTTTTCGAGGTTACAACTTCGTACATGCGTATGTTGACGACTGCCTAATCGCAAGTCCGGACAGAGAAACACATCTCAAGCATCTGGATCTTGTTTTCGAACGACTACAAAAACATGGCATTACTGTAAACATTCAGAAATGCCAATTCCGAACCGACTCAATAAACTTCCTAGGACACACTATAGATGCTCAAGGTATCCGACCCCTTAGAACCAAAGTGGCGGCCATTCTGGATTACCCAGAACCGACCACCGTCAAGCAATTACGCACGTTTAACGGCCTCGTAAGTTTCTATAGACGTTTCATACCGAAATGCGCATTGCTTATGAAACCTCTGACCGACCAACTTCGTGGAAATGCGAAATCCATCAAGCTGGACGACACCGCACGAAAAGCATTCTCCACAGTTAAGGAACTGATCGCTAAAGCAACAATGCTCGCAAATCAGGACACCGAAGCACCCATTAGTATCGCAGTAGACGCATCGGACTCGGCATTCGGTGACGTCTTACAACAATGGGTTAACAACTCCTGGCAACCCTTGGCATTTTTCTCTAGAAGGTTGCTAGACACCGAATCTAGGTACAGCACATTCGGTAGGGAACTCCTAGCTATGTATTGTGCTGTACGGCATTTCCAACACTATATCGAAGGCCGTGAATTCACTCTTTTCACGGATCATAAACCGCTCACTTTCTCGCTAAGCTCTCTTTCTGACAAGTACTCTCCCCGTGAGTCTCGACAACTGGACTACATTTCGCAGTTTACTTCGGATATTCAACACATCTCTGGAGCAAACAATGTAGTTGCAGACGACTTGTCTCGCATAACTTCCTTGAACAGTTTCCAAGGCATCGACCTTCTTAAACTCGTCGAGCTTCAAAAAGAAGACAGTGATCTTCAGCACGAGTTATCGTCCACAACACTTAAACTACGCACCAAACAGATGGGAACAGGTAAGGAAACCTTACTTTGTGACACATCTACAGGTAAGGATCGCCCAATCGTGCCGAAACATTATCGACGCAATGTCTTCAATACATTGCACAAACTTTCTCATCCAGGCGTTCGTGCAACCATCAAGCTTATAGCAGAACGGTTTTGCTGGCCCGGCATGAATAAAGACGTGAGGGAGTGGGCACGCTCCTGTGTAAGCTGCCAAAAATCTAAGGTTATCAGACACAATAAATGTCCCTTAGGCTCTTTCAAAACTCCAGACGCTCGTTTCGACCATGTTCATCTGGATTTGGTAGGACCTTTACCAGATTCAAATGGATACTCTTATCTTTTAACCTGCGTAGACCGTTTCACTCGATGGCCAGAAGCAGTACCTATTAAGGACATCACTGCCGAGACAGTGGCCCGCGCCTTTTTCGAACGATGGGTAGCAAACTTCGGTTGCCCTTCAACCATCACTACAGACCGCGGACGTCAGTTTGAATCTGATCTTTTCCGTCGTCTGACCACACTTTTAGGAACCACTCGCTTCCGAACGACTGCCTACCACCCACAAGCAAACGGGTTGGTAGAACGTTTTCACCAACAACTAAAAGCTTCACTATCAGCTGCAAACGTTTCACAGTGGACGGACGCTCTTCCACTCGTCTTACTAGGTATCCGCAATGCAGTGAAAGCTGACATTGGATACACTGCAGCTCAACTCGTTTATGGAACGACACTTCGACTTCCAGGAGAATTCGTGGATTCTTCATCCTTTTCAATGAACATGGATCTAACCTCCTACACGAACAGGCTTACAAACGCAATGCGTTCAGTTAAACCTGTTTCCACTCGACCACAATCAACCGATGTTTTCGTTCAACCTGATTTACGATATAGTATACACGTTTTCGTTCGTCGAGACTCGCATCGACGACTATTCGAATCAGCATACGAAGGACCCTTCAAAGTTCTTCGACGTGAATCTAAGTACTACATAATCGATAATAACGGAAACAACGATAGCATCAGCATCGACCGCCTCAGAGCAGCGTCGATGGCAAGGGTTGCCATGAACACTAAATGGTTTTGGGCTAAACACTATCCCTCAGGGCTAAGTGCTAGGACCGCTTCTTTTCTTAATTTATATAAAACACCTTATTCAACAGGTGTCGTCTCATTTATTACTTTTCACTGGCGGTGTGAAACTCTGGAGAAAAGTTTGCGACCAACATGAAAAACTGGCACTTCTGGAGGATCTGGCTCGACTTCAAAGTTGGGTCGATAACAACGGAATTACCTAAAACACTTCAAATTGTAAAGTAGTTCATCTGAGACGTGTTGCAGGATACGACCGCAACTCAGGTAATTCACCTCTAGAGGTATCTCAAGCTGGAGAAGATCTAAGAGTGTTGGTACCCTGTGATCTGAAGTCTTACGATAACTACAACAGAAGTGCCTTTCGAGCAAAACTTTCATTGGTAACATTGAAGTCAGTCAGTCAGTCAGTCAGCTACAACGTAGGACCAGGCACATAAATGCATCTGTTCAAGTTGCCATACCTCATTAACTCAACAAGATGAACACCAGATACATGAAAGTAGTTAATTCAGAGGTGGTAATATATAAAAGAAAGATTGCAACAAGGATATAGTACAGGAAGAAGGAATTAGTTCGTAGAAAGAAAGATATGAACTCATTTTAATCTTAGTTTAAGGGAAGACAGGTAGTCTGCATCTACCAACATGGCTCAGCCTAGACGTTAGTGACTTTAAGCACTGATGCCACGTTTTGTTTTGGCCGCCCCTAACTTTCTTCCAACCATCCCCTACACCGGTTAGCATTGCACGTCGTGGTAATCGGTGTTCGGGCATACGTAATACGTGGCCCAACCATCTCAAACGATGAAGATTAACAACCTCATCAAATAATTTACCATCATTCCCTAATACCCTGCGTCTAACCTCACTATTACTTACCCGGTGATCCCAGCAGACGCCAGCAATATTTCTGAGGCATCTGTGGTCAAATACTAGTAGCTTACGAGTGTCCTCTACTCTTAATGGCCATGTTTCGAACGTTAAAGCACGTTTTTGGACAGTTCGACGGTATAACTTTTTACTCAGTCTTCAACGGTTTTACTAGACCCCATTTAGAACATGGAAGTACAGTATTCCCTCTCTCATTCCAAAATGATAAGTATACATTGGAACAGCGAGTCACGAAATCAGTTCGGAGACCCGAATTCAAGCCTTATGACGAGCGCCTCAATTCACTTAATCTTTACTCATCAGAGTATGTGCGTCTTAGAGGTGATCTCACAATGACTTACAGCATCATAAACAATTCTGAACATCCCCTTGAATGCTTACTTAGGCTCAGCCCCAACACAAACCTCAGGGGTAACACCAAGAGACTGGAGACACAATATAGCAGAAAGGACGTAGGCACACCTTCTACTCGTTGAGAGTAATCAGATGCTGGAATTCTCTGCCTTCTGAGCTAGTGCAAGCGGCTTCCAATGAGTCCTATAAGAGAGCTTGACATATTCTTAAGGACTGAGGACAGTATCTCGTTATAATTTACTGATGTTTTTCTCATTTATCATTAAATATGCCTAGGTTCCAACCCGATGGTATCGGTGACCCAATGTTACTAGATATGAATGTCCGTTTGGTGAAATTATCTTCTACTATCTCAAGCATTTTTTGAAACCATTTATTTTTGTAGGTTGTTTTCGCTTTTGACCTTGAAGTGTTTTTAAATTTATCCATGTCTAGTTGGTTTACTAACAAAGTAGGTTGTACCTTTTTTATATGTCGTAGTTGACCGAGTGTTCGGGGCCATATTTATCGACAGAAGACTTACTCAAGCTGCGTGGCGAATGTAGTTCTGCTTTTGAGCGGAATTATGGTTTGAAGCTTTGGAAGAATGGACTTCCAAGTGAATTAGGTTCACTGAATCGTACTACACGAGAATGGTTATCTATGGCACTGAAATCAAAATCTGGGCAAGACTACATGTGTGCGATGGCCTACTTAGTGAACTCTTATCCACTGTACGCCATTCGATTTCTTGATAATTTACTATCGTTTGTCTCGCCATCGAAAAAGCGAGATTGCTTCAAATCTCTGGGTAAGTTGTCGCATTATTCCTTGATTAGTATGCAGATATACTAAGCCACCTCTTTTGTAGCTTGATACCGAAAAACCGTTCTTTGATTTCTGTCGCAAACCGACCTTCACACGTGCTAGAAAAACTAGATACTCCCTCTTCGAAGGAAAATGTCCTTTGCTTGTGGCATTTTGAAGATGAACTGAAGGCGGTGTATTTGCGGTTCATCAAAGCTTCGGAGGTTAGCTATTTTCGAGTTGTAGAGTTTGTAGAAACTTTTGTTAAGTGACTGTGTAGATAATTTCAAACGAAAAGCGTTAGGTAGTTACTTTTTAAGAGGTTCATAACGTTGTCATTAGGGATTCTTGGTAGCCTTGTCCAAAAACAAGAGAATCAAACGGTAAGTGACTGTCTTTTTACATTTCTGTAGTTAATATTAAACATAATAATTAATAAACTCGGTGATCGTAGTAAGGAGTTTGCATCTGCAGTGATACATAAGTTACGTCTAATTGGTAAGTCCGTGCTCATAATCACTTAGTCTTAGCTGGAATTTCCAGTGATTTTCTGCATTTAGTTGTTCAAGAAGTTCGATCTTTCTTGTTCCGTCCTAATTTGTTGGAAAGATCAAAATACTACGCTATTTCACTTCTAAGTTGTTTGGAGCTGAAGAGTTCGTCCCGTGGAAGCGGTACCGATGCAAATATATCGTCTGTGGCATCAACATTGATCAAGATATACATGTCGTTTTTCCGTTCATTAGCCAATTCCAAAGAAATCCCCGAACGACTTACCACTATATTACTTAGCGGTTTATGTCGAGTAGCTCCTTTTATTTCTGGTAAGTTTCATTCTTATGGATATCGTAGTTATTTTTTACTGTTTATTTATTTATTTAAACACAAACGTCGGTACAAGGAGGCACCAAATATATGTGCTCCACAGAAATGATTCGATTTGTGTGAGGGCTGGAATACTGTGCGGGCGCCCAAACCGAAGCTATATTTACGTGCATTGCTTCTAGCCATATTATAGTCTTTGTGCTTAATAACACGCTGGTGAATAATTTAAAATAGGTGTTGTGGGGTCCCAACTTAGAACTCGGTGTCTAGGAACGATGTCCTTTAACCACTTAACCTCCGACTTTCAGTTAATGTCGTTGCATTTTGTTCAACTAGGAGTCGATGTTTCACTATTCGTAACCATAGTTTTCAGATTGTTCTCGAGGGACACATATTTTGTTTGACGAAAGTGTAACGTGATAACTGAGTTTAGCTGTATTCATCGTTAGTTTAAACTTTTCGTATTACAAAATTTCTAATAAATATTGCGAAAATCCACATTAAATTCTGTTAAGATTATCAAGTTGGCCATTTGTACTTTCACCGGAAAAATACGAAGATTAGTTTTTAAATTTGTTTAATGATGAAAGTACTTTCGGTAGTATAGAGTGGTATTCTTCAAAGCTGTTGTCGGATGACGATTTATCCTTCGCTCATGATTTTATCAATAGTCTTCATGTTCCCGTAGGACTGCTTCATTTTTTCCATAGGCTTATTTTATTCGTGACGCATCGAAAACACGTGTACAGTTTTCTAGATACCACTAGGTTCATGTTCAATAATTCATTAAATAATCCAGTCTGATGTAAAACTACACAACCTCACTCACTTAATGGATCTATCACAGATTTAATACTACAAAGATACCTCGTGATTATCCATTACTGGGCCACGTCGTTGTATTGCATGTCAATTATTGATCAACATTATAGTCGTTGATTTTAATAACCGAGAATCGGTTGGTTAAATAGTCAATATCATACCCTAAGACAGACTATTATAATAGTTGTTTTACGATGAAAGCAGTTGGTTCTCAACTATTAGTCGCAGGTTTGAAATGGGTTCTGCCAGTTTGGATCTTCATAGGCAGTTAATATCACCATCCCACACACCCTGAAGCATGGATCTGTGTGAAGTAGGGAGATAATTCGTTTAGTGGATATTATTACGTATGCAAGAATGTTTAGAATGGATTCTTTCCCATTCATTTGCAAAAGTTTGTTCCAAGTCTCATGTAAGTCTCTGTCCAAATGAGTAGAGGTGGTATAGTGGTTAAGAGTGTCTAGTGTTTCCGTCACATTAGTTTTGTTAGCTCTGGTGGGTTGGTGCGTATTAAGTTATAAAAAAACTATATAATCACTGCTTTTTGTTTATTCCGTTTAATTAAAATACAAAATGCAGAACTTTTCAGTATATTATACCAAAACAAGTACAAAGTAAGGTTTTATATTATTCATTAATACTTCCAGTAGTTATATACTAGGTGTTAGACTTGATAGTCGGGGATAAAGAATAAAAAATTTCCAGCTTATTTTAATGACAGGATATATTGCCAATTCTATTATCAATTTTCGGATTCATTGATAAGATTTCATTATTGTTTCTTGTGTGATGGTGACTCAATAGTCTAAAAAAAAAATCAATTTTCGAGCCTGGAATTCATTTCGGTTATTCTGATTTGAGTAGTCAGTTAGGATGTTTAGTGTATATACAAAAGTATGACTCGAAGTTAAGTAAGTGAACAGGTGTTAAACTATTGAATGTTGTTAACACTAAAGAAATAGAGGATGAATGGTTACAAATAAGTACAAATATGATAACAAAATTTTCGACTCGTACTATAACATATTTGCTCCTTATCTGGCGGTTTTTTACATCCATTTTCTCATTTCTAACTATTATTGAATGATTATATTTTTAGAGGAGGCATTTACATCTATGTTAAGTGAGGTTGATGATCTGTTTCGGCTTGTTCATACCACTGGCTTCACTGTGTCTGTCCAAGCTTTGTCTGTACTTTTTCAAATTTCGACTCATTGTGTCGCCATACGTGATCGTTATTATCAGGTCAGTCGTTGATAAAATTTTTTAATTTTCTGTCTGTAGTATTTATTTAAATACATCATCCGATGAAACGAGCAGCTTAGTTTTATGATTAATGTTTTTAAATCTAACTTCCACTATTCATTGGTTACTTATTTTGTTACTTGTCAACTTTAAAATGTCAATAACAACTCAACAGTAACTTAACTCGCTAAAGAAATTAGTACCTGATTATTAAATTCGATCTTTGGCCTCTATATATTACCACTATTTCCGAAATTGCGTTGTTTATTTGTTGTTACTAGTATCTTAACGATACGCATCGTAGTTGGATATTCTACATTCTTATTCTATATTTTCTTAGGCTTTATATAGAAAATTACTGGATCCTGCTATTCATCAAAGTTCTAAAAATCCAATTCTACTACGTTTAATCTATCAAAGTATGGTTGGTGATGATGATACTGATCGAATTGTTGCATTTATTCACAGAATCTTGCAATTATGTATTTCGCATACAGATCCTGGTTTTATTGTTGGTTGCTTGATTTTAATTAATAAGGTATGGTTAATTATTATTCATTTATGTGTCTGTCAAGTTTACTGAAGATTTCAATCCCACGACTGAGATACGCGTGAATTCGAGGTTCAAAACAACGACTTATCCAAAAATAGGTTCTATGATTACAAAAAATATATACATTACTTACTAACCTCAACTCCTGAAGTATCTGTGATAATTAAGATGTCTGTATGTATCAAAAAAGGCCTCGTTAAATCTACCGAAGCGTTTAACCCACACAAACCGGAGTTTATAGAACAACGATTTGTCAAAAAAAAATTCTATATTGAGGAATAGACGTAAAGTAGTTACAAACATCAACTTGTGAGATATCTGTGGCGCCTAAAGCTTCTGAAAGAATAAGGGCTTCCTGCAACAGTAATATAGAGAATAATTATGACATATGGTAGTGCAAATAACAGCTTATAACTGTGTCTAATCTTGATAACAGTTTATCAACAAGTAAAAAGGGAATCAAAAGCAAATCAATATAGAAACCGGTGTGTTTAAATGAAGATTCAGCGACTATACGAGACTGAGAATAACTTAGAGGGATTGGGAAAAAGTGATTCTAGTCATAAATACAATAAGTGTTATAAGTATCTGTAAATATTTTAGAAAATTACACAACATACTTGCATAACAACATACTGATAGAAATTGTTAAGAGTGAAACCGCTTACTGAATAATAAAAAGTAGTATAAGACAATACACGATAAAGTCGACGGTAAGGTAGCAAGGACAGAGAACGTAAACAAACTTAACGGGCTTCCTATAATAATTTCATATGGATTAACTACAACATACGATGATGACGATGATGATGATGATGGCATGAATGAAAGTCATAACTGTGTCTGAGATCAGTAATGGGTATCGATATTCAAGATGGGGACTGAGTGCACATAAATATGAGAGCTGTTGCATTTAAATAAATGTTCAGGGAATGCATAAAAATTGAAAATAATTATTGTTGTATGTTAACTATCAGTGAAATCAAATTTTTTTAATGACACTAGATAACAGATACTATTGTAGCTTTGGAAAACACTGTTTAAACCCGAGGATAGACAAATCGTTGTCCCCACCCACCAGTTTGCCAATTTATTAAATAATATTTAAGTCATATGGAATTATTCATAACATATTCAATGATCTTATAGCAGATCCTGAAAGACAGTAATATAGACAGTATTTTCTATTGACAATGCTATTATGAAACTTGGAAATTTCATAAACTATATGAGAAGACTGTAAACATTTAGATTTCGTCGGATTTTTTAGTGACAGACTTTTCTACATGCTAAGTAGGTAATAATAGTTATGAAATCCTTTAAGTATTCAGCAAAATAAGTATAGTTCATTCAGTTATTCATTTTAAGTTAGACGAATCACGTTCATGTATAGCATGATTGAATAATAATCGACAGTTCCATTGGCAGTACTGTAGTAAAGGGGAAACACAGGTGATGACAACCGATTATATTTAGCACACATTTACAGTTACTTGGTAAAATAGAAAAGCCATGCTCTAATACTTCATTTGCAAAATGCCCATTAATTGTATCAGACATCATTGTTCCTGCATTTCTATACTAATTACTTTCTGTTCCTGTTCTTCTCTTCTTTATCTACTCAATCTCCTACTGCCAGGCATTCTATTCCTGACTGGCATTATATGCTACTTATATCGATATAAGTAACCCATATCACAGTACTAATAATAATGACAGTTATAATGTAGTGAACACGAACATCAGTGGGGACAATCGAATGTAATTGACACGAAATTACAGAGCATCTCAATAAAATCTGAGAACCGTATAGTAAATAGTTAATTTGCAAAATATCAATCCATCGTCTCAAACTTCATTGTTCCTTTTGCAAATATCAGTCCATTGTCTCAGATTTCATTGTTCATGCATTTTCATACCAATTGCATACCATTTCCATTCTTTCCTTATCGATCTCGTACTGAAATACATTCTATGCCTGACCTTCACGACTCCCTGGTTGGGGGTCTGAGAGATGGTGCTACACAGTGGCTAGAGACGTTATCAGATATGGCTCAGAATAGAAGCTAGTGGCGATACTGCTGTAACCTTCTTTTACTTTCTTCATAAAAAGTGGTTGTGTCTCCCTTACCTGAAAGATTTCTTCTGACTGTACCTTTCCGTTCCCTCATTTCTAATATACTACCTTACACCAATCTCCTCGTTATTGTTCTCTTTTTTTGCGCTCTTTAGCTTTTTATTTCTATTTCTCTTCGAATTCTCATTGTTTTGTGTGGCGCATATATATTGGCGCTCTCTTGTACCAATATTCATGTGTCCAAATAAATAAATAAAATAAATAACTATGCCTGACCACCGTTATATACTATTTATATAGATATAAGTGACCCACACCACAGTAATACTTCCATTTTCACAATCAACTGTTTGCTTAATCTATCATCTTATCTTGTCTTTGTATTATTTCCTGTTCTATTCATTTTTGTATACAGGTCTCATTATCCAAACCAAATGTTATAATGGTTTCTCAAATAAATAAAGAACATTTAGTGAGTGATTTCAGTTTAACAATAATAATCATGATAATATTCTTATTAATCTGCATAAATCTAAAAATGATATTTATCTCTAAATGTAACTACATTATTCGTTGTCAGTAAAAGAATGAAGTATTAGTATAAAGAATTGAACTTTTGATTTCTGAGGTCGAGGTTCAAGTATCAATTAGCCTTCTAGTTTGGTTAGTTATGTATTCTTATTGTTGACCCTCTCTCAGGACTCGAACCTGGAGTTTATTAGTTTGAATCCCACTCCATCTACTTTGATTTGAGGAGCCGTGTAGAATTATTAACGCTCATAGCTGAGTACACGAAGTTGTATCGGGTAAGTCATGTAAATATTGGTTTATCGTTTTAAACAAAAATAAATGGAACCATATTCATTCAGTCATTAACAGTCAGTCACAACTTAAAACTTGGTACGTATGTATATATTGATTCAAGTTGCTATACCCTGTTTGCACAGAACAATGAAGTTGTCAGACCGAATCCCAGAATAGTAGAGGTAGTAACAGTATTAGTGGTAATAGGAAAGATTAGGCACCGAAGAGAAAATATGGTTTAGTGAAATACAAATACTAAATAAGTTATGAGAAATTTAGAACCTCAAAATATGGGGGAATACAAAGAACGGATCCACTTACGCCATTCCAAGCAATTTTGAGCTATTTCACTCAAAACTTCTAACCATTGGTTGCGATGATTACGCGGACCCCAATCAGGTAGTTTGTACCCATTAACATAAATAAGTCCAAATGTCAATGGTTTCATGGAATGGTGTCATGTCTTGGTTTAGCCACCTCTAACTTTCTCTCAGCCCACTCCTGCACCAGTAGTTGGAAACTGTGAGTAACATAACCTACACTGGTTCACAGTGGCACAGATGCATGAACTCTTTACCTTCCTCTGGTTCTCGAGTTTCAGTATTCCTTCACATACCTTGTCACTTAGCCTTTTTAAAACATAGTCTCAATGCTTAATCTTTCACAATATGATTGTTACCAAATATTTCGATCTTTTTTACTAATCATAATATATTTCACATCTTTCTGCTAATGTGGTGTGGCAACTTGTGCCAATGCACATCTGTATCAGGCTAGTAATGACCAACTGTTCTAAGGAGATTACGGAATTACTGAATATTTGTTAATTTTGAAGTCTTACTGGGAGGTCACGTTCTACATTGCCTATGGCTAACTGACTTACTGATTTACTAGAAATGGTAACCGCGAATACTTTTTGTCTTATTTAAGTTTCTGGATGACCTCTGCTCTTTTCTGATTAGTTGCCACTAACTGTTTGCTAATTTTCTGTATACTTGATGGTCCTTCTTTCGTAGCAACGGTGGTCTAGCTTAGATTGACTCGTGATTTCAATTGTGATAATAATGCAATCTCCACAAATTCTGAATGTGTTATTTTTTCATCTTCAACTGACTATTGTTAACATATTTTCCTATCCTGCATAATTAACCTTTTTTTGTAATATTTCCGTAGCTCATTATTATTATTATTGTTATCTATCATTCAATAATTAGCCAGTTAATGAAGTGACGAGTTTGGCAAAATTCGAACAGTCCGATGATGATGATGAGGATGAGCATTTCAGTGATGCACATTGTTCTGATGATGATAATCATAATGATGAAAGTGTACAGAATGGTGTAATGACCAACAAAACGACCGAATCAGAAAAATCTACAGTCATAACTGATAAGAGTAATGTATTATTAACATCATCATGGTATCATCGTTCTTTAAAAAAGCAACGGAACACCCGAAACATATTTAATTATGGTTATAATCCAACTGTACGAGATCCAAAATTTGCACAGGCTACTGGATGTTTACTTTGGTCACTTAGTCTCCTGTCAAAACATATTCATCCTACAATTAATTTATTTGCCAATTCATTATTAAATAATTTACCAATACAATACACTGGAGATCCATTTACGGATTTTGGATTAATGCATTTTCTGGATCGATTCGCGTATAAGAAACCAAAGTTGAATAAATTAAAAGAAACAAAGTCAACTATTAAAGAACCTATTCAGAGTATGTTTTTATTTCCTGAATGTTCGTACATTGAATTGCTATCGCTATTCTTAATGAGATGTTATAGCCTAAATTTCACTTTTTACTTTTCTGGTAACATCCCATATAAATGAGTTTCTATAGTTTTGATATAGTACTACGAATTACTAATGACATAATCAAACAGTAACACTTCAATAAGGTACAATGATAATAAGTAAGTAAATTTCAATTCAAAGTCACCTGTGGTGTGCATTGTAGTATGGTGTCATCAAAAGTGTAAACACTTATCTAAATTAATATTTTTCACTATTAGTAAGTTAGTTAGTTATTTTGGGAAATGTAAAGATGATTCACATCTCTTTTCGAATTTGTCACTCACTAACAGTTCCACTAGTAGTCACATAGAAGTTATACACTATGATATTCGTTGTTCGAGCGATAGTCCAGTTGTTGAGGCGTTTAACATTCAGCCATTGACATACGGGTTTGAGAACCACTTTACCTACTTCAGTTTGAACAACTGAGTAGTATTATTGGCTGGTACACCCACAGTTTGAATTGAAGCCAATTATACGAATTTGTGCCTGGTTCAATGGCTTCATATTAATATTTTCAATGTTACGCATATGATTTTACGTGGTTCGATCAATATTTCTTATCTTAATAAATGTTGAGTTATAACATTTATTTTATAATCTGCAATATTTTATATATATAGTCATTCATATCTTTGATCTCTACCAAACAAATCTTCCGTATAAGATTGTCTTTTTGAGTTGCCAGGGTTAAGAAAAACGAGAGCTGTTATATTAATATAACAATATACAACATTTGAATGTCGTTATGTCATAGGCTCACTTCAGGTTTTATTTGAATTTTGTATCAGTGATTGACTAACTCTGATGCACACTTAATACAAATCCTGTTCTTTTTAGAAACTGTGCCTGGAAAGTTATTAAAACGAAAAGAAGGTGCTTTGTCAGGTCCACAAGCAATGGCTGTTGATAGTTCGGCATTCCGACAACTTCCAGTAACTAGTGTTCCTGTTCATGAACGATTTTTCCATAAGTAAGTTCTATTTTCTTTTATTATTTTTTAAGTTGTGAGTTTCAGGATAATGTGACTTTCCTTTTTTTTCTTCAAAGAACGTGGCGTTTAATCATATTTTCAATAATTGATATGTAGATTATTTAATTAACTCATTCATTAGGTACCTGGGCATGAGTTACGTTAATAAATACCACCTGATTGGCCAAACTAAAGCAGATGGGTCAGGTTTGACCCTAGGACTTAGTGGCTACAAGTTGAACGCCTTAAGATTTTAAAGATCGACATTTAAATCCAAGAATTAGTTTGTGGAACAAAAGATAATATTAAGACTTTAGGTCTATGGAAAGATAATGAATAAGTTCGTCTGTACCATTGTGACCAATTCTCACCCATGTCAATCATCGTTTTCAACCACTGGTTATGATAATCGCTTGAACCGCAACCAGGTAGTCTACATGTACCTACATAACTCAATTCAATGATGAATGACCTCACAGACTGATGCCATGTCTTGGTTTGACTACTCTTAGTTTTATCGTAGCCTAATTGTTAATGGGATATAAATTGAAGCAACTCATACTCCATGTAGGATTGTGTTGGAGCACGCTGAATGGGGGTATTTCTTAGCCAATCAGCGCTAGCGGACAATTGGAGAAGACTCTACAGTCTTCTCGTGTAAAGCTATAAATATACTAATGTTATTCTTACTCCCATTCATCTTTGTTTATTTGGAATATAATTACGTTCCTGTTCAAGTGTGTTCTGATTTGGGGACTTATCGAGAATATCAAGCGATAGGAATAGCTTGGTTGTAATGTGAGAGAAAACACTACTCTTACATCAACACTATTGCTTCAATAAACCTCGCTCACCTTTCAATAAGGATATAGAAAATTCAAAAAGTTCATTCTGGCTCTGTCCGATAATAGTACCGTGAGGTCATTGATAATCGGACTAAGACATGTCAATAAATGTAGGCTAACTATTTAGGGGGGGGGCAGCGCGATTATCGTAACCATTAGTTCATTTGCAATAATACAGGTGCATTCACTTCATACCATTCCTTAGTTCCTGAATCCTGAAACCTCATTATAATTTTAGATTATTTTTTTCCATACCTAATCGTTTCTACTACTACTGATACTCTTAATACCGCTACTATTCTGTAATTTTATTCCTCTGTGCTCATATGATATGGTAAGTTCAATTGGTGCATTTATGCATCATATTTTACGCTGTGTATAACTGACTGACTGATTGATACCACGTGAACTGTATGAGTATTTTTAGAAATGTTTTTAAGATCTCCCTGAGGAAATCGCTCACTAAAAAAAAACGAATTCAAAGAGTATTCAATTCAATTTAAAAGCGGTCATGAAAAAGATTTTTTTTTACTGTTCCTAGTGAATTCGATCATTTTCCCTTTAAAAGAATAGTACATTAGTAGACATAGATTTAAACTTCACTCTCTTCACTTCGTTTCAAACTGGTTGTAAATATTTCTATTCGCCTTTCCACAGGGTCTGAATAAAAGCCTAATACAGTTGATAATTTGTACTTTTTAGTATTTGATCTATCACTAGTTGAATTGTGTAAACCTACATCATACTGGTTAACCAAACGGAATTACGATAGTGACCTCCAGGATTTTTTCGTAAAATTCACTTTATAAGTAGATTTATATAAAATGCCTTTATGTATAGCACAAATTTACGTAGAATAGATGAAATATGGCTAGCATTGTAATTCAGGACGTGTGTTTCGTCTTATTTGACACTTGTCGACCTGATATACTTGCATTCCAGAGTTGATATCTGGTTCAGGTGGCCACTCACTTGTGATAGGGTTATGAATTCTAATTTACTTTATAGTGGTTTTGATTATCCAGTTGTTGATATTTCTACTAAAATGTAATCAATTTTACTTGGCATATTCAAGGAAACGATCATCCTGAATTCAACTACCAGCCTCATTTAATCTATTCTACGTAAATTTGTGTCATAATGGATATATTGAGGCAATGCACACAGGATCAACAGATGCCAACTAACACTAATCAGATTTCAGTCAAAATATCAGAAACAGGATAATTTAGACCAGTACAAATTGAACGGCATAAATTATTTAATATTTACGAGTAAGACATTAACATCACTAGATGCCAACTCAGTGGTCTAATGGTTAGGCGCTCGCGCGCGAGAGTGATAGGTCCTGGGTTCATAGATGTGCACTGCTGAGGAGTCTCATACTAGGACGAAACGGCCGTCCAGTGCTTCTAGGTTTTCCATGGTTGTCTAGCTTCAACTGACTCATAATCTCAACTATTAAAAAAAGCTATTTGTTCCACCATAAAGTGAAAATATCGTATTTTGGAAGTAAACAAAACGCTTACTTTTATAGGCATCATTACCAAGGTCGGATTTGTTAGTTTCACATAAACTGATCATTGGGTAGAAAGTCAATGATATATATATATATATATATATATATATATATATATATATATATATATATTCCAATGAGTAGAAAATTGTATTTCTGACATTTTGTGACTTAACGTAAGTCACTTCTTCAGAGTAAATAAATAACCGAAATATAATTAACACAAGTTTAAATAGTACAAACCCATTTTGAGGCCTAGATACAACGACTCTTTTTTCTATTCTAATCCTATTTACCCCTAAAGCCAAATTTATATATGGAGACTAAAAAGGATTTTATTTAAGCAAGCAACATACACTTGCGAAAATATGCATAATGACCTTAGAAGAGGGGTAGAATTCAGCTCACTAAAAGAGCCACAGACCAATAAGAAATTACCATCTTTAGACGCTGTAAAAATAAAGGATAACTGCCATATGGAGTTTTGGCGTGAAAAATAGAAATTTAAATCTACAAAATAAAAACAACAAAATAGTCATTAAGTGATTGTTTTTTGGATATTTAATTTCCTTAGTAAGGTCTAAGAATTTCAGAGTTTTAACTAGCATGATTCGTCTTAGTAGTTTCATCTTGCCCTTATATGACCATTTTTCAGTTATTTCAAATTTCTGGAGACCCAACCAGGTCGCATTAAAAAAACTGAAAAGAAACCAAAAGATAATGATGAAAATGGAAGTGACAGTGATTCAGTTGCTGATTCTGAATTCGATGTTTACCTTGGTAAATTGTAGTGTTGTTATTAGTTTTAAATTTTATTTTACTTCGTTGCAGTTATATTTTTTTGTAAATCCTATTTCTATCTGTTATAACATGTGAACCTACGTGCCCTGTATATTGGATAACGCAACGATACCGCTAATCAGAAAGCAGAGAATTATCGATCGAACCAATGACGCATAAAACACGTGCGAGCAACCTAGAGTCGTGATTGGTCCTGTTTCCCGCCTAGCCCAACCAGTTGAGTTCAGAACACCAATCTCAGCCTCTGCAATATGAATCATTTACTTCAAACATACTGTGTTTATATACAAACCAAACAGACCACATCGTACCATAAAATAGAAAATAACATTTGTACAATATTTGGCCAAATGTGGCTGTGAATAAGAGAGATAGTAATTGGTAGATAGGCCATAATTCAAGAGTGGTAAATCGTATAGTAATAGTCCATAGGTCAAAATAAACTTTATAATAAAAGGGACATGAATATGAACAGTTTAGTTACAAAAATATACTCATAGCATTGGTCCATAGATGGATCCCAAAAATTACCATTCATTATTCTTATCGGGATTTATTTATTTATTTCAACACATAGATAGTGGTACAAAGAGGCACCAAATACATATGCGCCACACAAATCTCATTCGATATTTGTGAGGGCTGTGATACTGCCTGGGTGCCCAAACCGAAGCATGTGGTTTTCTTAGGGGGCCACTCCCCGAGCCTTCGGCCTGAAGGTCTGATCCACAAGGCAGTGGAGTATCGTTAGGAGATGCAGTCCCATGGAAGCCGGTGACCAACAATTGGTTCATACGCCATTTGTTCCTTCAGGATACTGGAGCCCATGTGCACCATTGGTTTGGAATCCGGTTAAAGCGCCGGACATTCGCTTTTCGTCCTCTCATTTTTGTAAACAACACCCTCGCCACGAGAAGGCAGTGAGTAGGTCTTCCCTGGTAGAGGCTATATACGCGTGGCCGTGTGAGAGCATTTCGAGAGAGCGAGCGGACTCTCCCCACTCTCGGCCGTACCAGGGCATTTGGGGGCAGATGGTAGCTTCGCACCATTGGCCTTTCGACCAGGCACATATACCAATTATCTGAACCTGCGGTTCCTCTCGTACTAAACAGGATTACCATAGCAACGGCCAGATTGTACTTCACTGATGTACCCATTAGTAGGGTAAAACTAACCTGTTTCACGACGGTGTAAACCTAGCTCACGTTCCCTATTAGTGGGTGAACAATCCAGCGCTTGGTGAATTCTGCTTCACAATGATAGGAAGAGCCGACATCGGGATATAACACTATCAACCATTGACTGACTACTTGACATACATGGATTGGGAAACTTATAGATATGAACGCTAACTAGGTTAATAAAAGTACTTTTTATAGTGTATATACAAACAGTCACTTATTGTGTAATGTTTATAAATCATTTCTTTTCCATGCTTGTTCGTTGAAGATAATAAGAAAGCCGTATTCACACGTAATCTAATTTACGTTACAAAACTACTAAATAATTCTTAAGAATTGCAAAATTTTCTTTATTTTTACGTTTGCTTTCAAAGCAATAAGGTAAACTCTTTATTTACTATGTAATTCTCTTACATAATGCTCTTTTTGTTTTCTCTCAAAGTACTTGAACTCTTGACGGAAACTTCATAATTTCTTTCTAGCTTTCCAGTATACCTCTAAACGGTAAAGAGAAGACGAAAAGTATAGATTTCATTTCAAAGTTGGTTTATGTACAGAAAACAAGAGTATTTATAAGTTCAGTGGTGATCAACATTTTAGAGGCTTTGGAAAGTAAACTAAATATGGTAGAAATTATAGGTAATTGTTCAATCTAAGTGTTCCATATAATCATGCGTTCCTCTATAAGTTCTAACCGGATGCTGAATGGACGAAATGATTTGCAACCCTTCCTCACCTTCTAAAGATCTTTTCGAGAAAGTTACAAAGCCTCTCGACAGTGGAATTATTAGTATAGGTAATAAGCTAAATTCAATCAAAATAAATGAATAAAGTTCTAAAGAAGAGTTTCTATGACAAAATGTTCTCTGAATACACTAAAGAATATGACAATTAACAATCCTGAAATACCTAATAGCATCAAGACTGTAAACACATTATGAATATGCATGTCATTCATCAGACCTAACCATGACATTTTGAATTTTAAAGAAAATAAACAATTAAATATCATATTTGATCGTGAATTTTCTCTAGAAAATGATTTGAAAATTCACATGTTTATTGAATTTATCTAAACACATAGATATTGATACAAGGGGCACCAGATACATATGCGCTAAACAAATCTTATTTGATTTGTGTGAGGGCTGTGATACCACCCAGGTACCCAGACCCAAGTAGGTGGTTTTCTTAAGAGGCCACACTCAGAGCCTTCGACCTAAAGGTCTGATCCACGAATCAGTGGAGCATTGTAAGGAGATGCAGTTTCATGGTAGCCGGTAACCAACGATTGGTTCATACGCCATTTGTTCCTTCAGGATACTGGAGCCCATGTGCATCATTGGTTTGGAGTCAGAGATTTCCAACTCCTCTAGGTGGACCCTCGGTGTCCACTAACCCGGTTAAAGCGCCGGAGTTTCACTTTTCGTCCTCTCACTTTTGTAAACAACAGTATTGCCGCGAGAAGGGACTGAGTAGTTCCCTGGCAGTGGTCGTATTCACGTGACCATGTGAGAGCATTTCGAGAGGGAGAGCTCACTCTCCCCACTCTCGGCCACACTAGGGCATTTGAGGGTTGTTATTAAATAAGACTAATTGGGTTTATTTTTCTCTTATATAATATATAACTATTTTATTCACTATTTCATGGTAGAGAATACTTTTGCTAATGATGTATGTTTTTTTGAAACTTTACAGCAAAACATGAAAAAGATTTGTTTCCTCCGAATGAAGAATGGGAAAATGATGGTAATTTACAATGTTATGCACGCTATCATTTTTTAAAATTCATTGTTTTAACCTTTTTATTCACAAAGTACGGCTTTTGAGATACAAAAAAATGTAGGATTTATGATTGTTTTAGATAGTGAGATCCGTGAAATTCGTCCCAATGTTAAAGCTATTCGGGCAAAAACCGATATTATATAGTACCTAGGACTTCTTGCTTATTACCTTCAACTATCTAACTTAATGCGGTTAGTGTACATGATAGTGAGTCAATTAGATTAGTAGCCACTTTTCAACTTCTCTAATTAATCAAGACTAAAGGGTTAAACAAACCATATAATCATAGAAACTCTACCGAATATTCTTTGTGCTATTAACAGCTGTAAATTGTAGTTGTTAAATGTAATGGGTGTGAAAAATACAGTGTTAGAGCAACTAATGTATGGGGAATATTGTAAATGTTAAACAATGAAAATGATAAGAGTCAGTTGATTTATGAAGTTTTAGACTTAAAATCAACTGAGGTAATTATGATGTGTTCCACTTTGAGCCAATATTTTATTTTGACATGTATGGTGTTAGAGCAATTATCAACCTTGTTGCACGACAAGACAAAATGTCACGGGCAATTGATTTAAACGAATGAGTAGAACATTCATTTCGTAATTAATTCCCTCGAAATGAGCAACTGCTTTAATGTATCAGTGATTTAATGGTTAATGCTTTTTGTTGTGACTTTAAGTCTGGCTAGTTATCACGTAATTTATTCACCAATCGAAATACGACTTATTCATTCCTGTGCTGTGCTAAATCAATGACGTTCGACTGGTCTGATCAACTTAACGTCCTTATTGGTACTTTGTTCGCCTAGTCTGTCCAACTGAGTCCAGAACACCAATAACAGCTTCCGCTATGCGAATCCTTTATTTATATACTAGTCAAATAGACCGCAACGCACCATAAAATACGAAATAACTTTTATACAAAATACAGTCAAAAGTGGCTGTGAACGTGGGAGATGGTAATCAAATAACTGAGTATAACTTAAGAACAGTAAATCGTATAATAATGATCTATAGGTCAAAAGGAAGCTTATAATAAGAGGAATATAGATATATACAGTCTAATTACTGAACAGCCATACAATAAGAATATATATAGAATATTAGTCCATTAATAGTTCTCAGGAGTTACTCGCAATTTAATCTTCACTAGGATATAACACTCTTGACTTTAACCCAGATTCAAATTACGCTTCGCCTACTTCGGTTTGAGAAACTGGATAGTATCATTATCCCTCACACTTAAAGTATAGCTCATACCCAAGTATGCAGAGAATACGTTAAAATTTAATCTTTCCAACTTATATTGATAATATTGCTGTATCTTTTCAAAAAAAACTTGTTTTAACCTTACATTCGAGTTACTATAGAAATCATCAGTTTTTATTGAAGTTGAGGTTAATCATTATCAACTGTTTCCTTTTTCCCTTTACTCACTATTTAACTCATTGGTTATTTGATGTGCAAATTTGTTTTTCTTCATTTGGGAATGGTTCTCTTTTTGGAATATATTCAGCTGAACCGGAATTTAGTGATCAAGACTTCATGGATAATTCAGCAGATGAAGATGATACAAATGAATATGACTTTACAGGTACTTAATAATTTTAAAAAAGATAATAAGACAAGATATTATATTTAATTACTGGTTAGCGTTTTTTTTAGCGAGTTAGTTTTCTACGGGATGGGGTTGCCTACCCCATGCCCAACCCTCCTCCTTTACCCAGGCTTGGGACCGGCAGTAACTCTATAGGAGCTACAGGCTGAGTTTATTATATTCAATTACTTTTAATTTTTCTTTCAAGTAAATGAGAAAACCTATTAAGACATTAAACTAAAGAGAGAAATATAGTGTGATTCACTGAAGAATTCCTTTCAATCTATTTTTAATGCTTGACTTTCAGTTATGCTTTAATCATTATGATTAGTGTTCCTACTATCCGATGGAGGAGTTTTGAAGCTACAATCTACTCGATAAAATCCAACTGCCTTAACATATAAGCTATTGTTTTGAGAATAGGTAGACTGCAATTCATAGTAGAATCTAGGAGGCACGTTTTTATCTTATCTGAGACTTGTTCGTTGGATTTGCTTGCATCTTAGTATTAATGCTAAACTGGGAATAGACGAATTTTTGCTGTTTTCTGACCATCAATGATTGCAAAATAGGCACCAGGTTGGAAGTTGTTCCTGACTGAGAAAATAAGCTGTATGTACGTTACACTATGTATTTTGGATGCGAACTGCTATGCAATCGCATACTAGGAAGGAATAGCTCTCCCGAGCTTATTAGTTTTCGCGATTAAACTATCTAAGTTAGAGGGTATAATGTTTGCAAAATCCTCATTCTGAGCTAAAAATATCTTTCATTATCGCTTTGATCTATGTCGATCTTTACTAACATTTATAGGATCTTGTGAATTTTAGACGAATCAAAGTTTTTATTTAAACTTTAGTTAACGCCAACTGCATTTATATTCTGGTGATATTGATCAATATATTTAACAAGTGTGTACTAGTGTTTGATATTTCAAGTACTTACCTTTTAGTCTCCGTGATCTAAGTGATCAAAATTCAATCCATTTATTTTGGTTTGATATACTAAGTAGTTTCACTGTCCTTTCATACATAAATTCTGACCGAAAACTGAACAGATAAACCGATTCTTGATGACAGAGAGTTACGTTAAAATATATAAAGTGGTCAGTTTTTGTCTGTTAAAACCATTTTACATGAAACTTGACTAGTTGGCCAAATATCATAAATGATACATTTTGTGTTTCTTTTTATTCTTCTGACTTTAGAAATGGATAATATCAATTTGTCAGCTAATTCAAAGTCTAAGAAAACGAAAAAACCAACTGAATCGAAATGCAAGTATCACAAATTTAAAGATGACGATGAAGGAGCGGTTAATGATGATGATGATGAAAATTCTGAAGACGATAGTGATGATGAAGACGACGATGATGACTATATTCCTGATAAACCAGGGTAAGTTCATCCTCGTAAAGATGATACTGTTTAATAAGACATATTTTTGACTTCATTTTTAAAATTCTCAAAACTCATGTTGTCTAGTGTAGATTAATGTTTATTAGTTGATGGTGTAACTGAAATATAGCCAGTAAACTAAGTAACAAATTTCCATGTGTTACACTACACAGCGTCAAATTGTGAATTTGGTTCAAATTTCACAGTGAAGATCAGTTCTCATAAAACGGCAGATTTGACGTGACGAGTGCCAACTGACTCAAACGGAATTTCCTCTCAGCCATCTCTAATCACTTTTTAACGTAACGTTAAATACTTCAGTTTAAAGGGTCAACAACAACTTTATACTTAAACTGTTGGCTACAACACTTACTTTCTGACCTGTTGGAATGTTATACAACCTCTTCGATTTTAATTGCGCAATCAATATTTCTACGTATATATATACATAGTTTATTGAAAACTCAGTAGGCCTCAACATACACAAGGGGAAAACCAAGGTCCTCAAATTCAAAACAGAGAACAGCAATCCAATCACTCTTGATGGCGAAACTCTGGAAGATGTAGAATCCTTCACATACCTGGGAAGCATCATCGATGAACAGGGAGGTTCAGATGCAGACGTAAAGGCGAGGATTGGCAATCCAAGAGCCGCATTCATACAATTGAAGAACATATGGAACTCAAAACAATATCAAAGTGAGAACCGTCAATACGAACGTCAAGACAGTGAGTTCTACTGTACGGAGCTGAAACTTGGAGAACTACAACAACCATCATCAAGAAGGTACCAGTATTTATAAATAGTTGTCTACGCAAGATACTCAACATCGATTGGCCGGATACCATCAGCAACAGCCTTTTGTGGGAGAGAACAAACCAGCTTCCAGCTGAAGAGGAAATTCGGAAAAGACGATGGAAATGGATAGGACATACATTAGGAAAATCATCAAACTGCATCACGAGACAAGCCCTATCTTGGAATCCTGAAGGGAAGCGGAAAAGAAGAGGCATGCCAAAAAACACATTACGTCGTGAAATAGAAACAGATATGAAAATGATGAATAGGAACTGGAAGGAGTTGGAAAGGATTGTCCAGGACAGTGTTGGATGGAGAATGCTGGTGGTGTGCCAATGTTCCTTCACGATGAGTAACAGGCGTAAGTAAGTATTGAAAATTATTAAAGTAGTTCATTGTATTATTAAATAATTAATTTTATTTATTTCCTTATTTTATTATCATTTATGTGATTCCTATTTTCCAAGGATTGTTGTTACACTTCTAAAACTCATATCGATCAATGCTTCCTTCCATTAATTAATACTTTCCACTCTAATGATTCATATATAAAGTTTCCATTTCCTGTATGTATGTTTACTGTGCAATCAATCTGTAAAGGATATACATAAATAAATTGTGATTGACGCTTTGTTTACACTACAGTAGATCAAAGAAATGCTTTTTTCCCCAACATATGATTGATTTCAACTTTTCAATTTACACAGATTCACTTATGTGTATAGCTAAAAAAGCACACACTTGAATATGAGATGAATATCTATAAAGTCATTACTACTCGACCTACTTAATTAATTATCTTTTCAGTATGGGGTTGTGGAGGTTGTGAATGAAGCAGCAATCCAGTACATCGGAGTTTTCAATGGTGGTCTAAGATTGATCGGTTCATGATTTCAATTCTGATATATATTTTTTGAGATGTGAATAGGTTTTTATGTGTATATGATGATTTCCAGATTCATTTTTCAATTCAGGGTGGATCCGAAATCGCTATCTTAAGATATATTACAGGGAAGTTAGTCGGCACTCTTGAATTTCTATTTACTATTTGATTACCAGACCGAGAGTTTCCACCCAAAACTGCCCAATATTAAGTAATCTAATGGTTAAGCGCTCATACGCGAGACAGGTAGGTCCTGGGTTCAAATCTCGTAGGGGGCAGGAACGTGGATGTGCACTGTTGAGGAGTCCCATACTCGGACGAAACGGCCGTCCAATGCTTCCAGGTTTTCCATGGTGGTCTAGCTTCAATTGATTCATGATCTTAACTACTGAAATTAAGTTAACGTCTTCAAAAGATGTCCTATTCGTTTTTTCTAAAGAACTGTCAGTACTACTTCATTCGTTGCCACAAGTAGTCTAGCTAGAGAAAACTTAATTCAGAACTGACATACCAAAACTCAACAAGACTATAATTTATAGATGACCTTTAAGCGACCCTAAAGTTACCTTGACAATGTTCACTTATTAACTTGGACTAAATGAGGTTTATACACAAATGTGAGGAATTAGAATTATGATTTACAGTTGATGGTCAGGGTTCGGAACTAGATTTAGTGTTTTTAACATGAACTAACATCAGTTAAAATGCCAATACGTTATTTAACCAAATGGATGAATCAATTTCACGTTGAAATTCAAGATCTGTTATCCTATATCTCATTGGTTGATCCATAAATTATAGTCTCACTCAAAACGCTTTTGTTTATAATTGGTGAAATGTTTTTAGATTTAAATCTATATTAACTGATTGTTGAAATTGCTATCTTTTTAAACTCTCTCCTTTGTAGTCAATTCAATTTAAATAATTTATTCGCAAGTGCTGAAGAAGTTGGTCATTTATATGATGTACAAGAAACTGCAAAAGAAAAACGACAACGGTTTTGGGAACAAAAACGTTTATATTCACAGAGTAGTAATAGTAATCATAAACGACGACAATATCGTGAAAAAGGAGTTTCGAAAAAAAGGAGACTAGAAAATCGTGATCATCATCAATCGTCTAGTCGAGGAAAAATGAAACTTAAGAGTCAAAATAACTCAAAACGACCACGTCGTCATTCATAACCCATTCACAATACAATTTGTATTTTGTTTCTCAGAGAAAAATACTTTTTATTTCTAATTCAAGTTATTTTTCTCGACACAGAAAATAATTTTCATTATAGTCACAAAAGTCTAAGGTACATAAATCAGAGACGTATGGATCTAACAAGAGGGAATTTTGCCATTTGTTAATATAATTTATCCACTGTATTGTTGTTACCAAATAGAGTAAAGTTTGGTTACGATGAATAACAAACGTTGGGCCAATAAATCGTCCGTTATAATAAGTAGTTTTTAATATTCGTGGTTTAGACATTAATTAGTTAGGCATTTGTTAGTAATAAGAAAAAGTTATCATTGTGTTACTGTTGATGAGATCCAGAGTATTTCTGGGAAGATGCTCATAAGCGCTCTAAAAACGCTGGGAGACACTTTATCCAGTTAGCACTGGGCAGAAGTATCCAAAAAACATTTAGAAATTGAGGAGTCATATGTTACATTTCTGATTGGATGGTTACCTATACTGCTACTATGTTTAGTAGGGTTCCAGAACTTTTTAAGAGCCCAAAATCATCTGAAACGCTATAAACACCATTGCCTTTCTGTACATGATCTAATCTTGGAGTAAAGCGTTCTTCCCATATTTCGCGCCTTTGAGGTTGTGTAGATTTAGCCTGGGGTTACTTGGAGAGCTTAGGAAACCAATTCACGCATTCAGCCAGAGGACTTATCAGTTACATTTGAGAATAAGATTTGATTTGAATAAATGAGAATTTTACTTTCACACTTTCGCAGTCTACAATAGTATTACGTGACCGTATTCTGTTCATAGACGGGTTTTCAGTGTCGTTATACAGTTATTAAAAATTTCAGTCAGTTGTTAGACAATTTATATCACCTCAGGCATATATAGTGTGATTTAGAAGGAAAAAATAGATTCAAACCACAATTATAAGATAATCTTAAGATTCAAGATTTATAGCGATAAATGTTGAACTCATCTGAGTCATTTCATACGCCTTAACTGAATTGGTCAGGTAAATCGGCTGAACTCTAACCACGTAGTCTGGATGTACCAAGATAGTTCAGGTCAGAGATCAATGATGTGATGTCACGTTTTGGTTTAACTAATCCCGATTTTTTTTGCAACCTACTTCTAGACTGGCTAATATCGCGTGTTGAAGTAGATAGTCGGGGATGCTTTAGAGTATGGATATAAACACTGCGGATGAGATAATTTATATTTTGGTAGGTATGCTAATGTACAAAAGTTTAGAATTTATCATCAGATAAAAAAATTTCTTGTTGACTTAGTTACTGGCACTTATGCTGACGTTATAGAATTTTTATCTATGATCGGAGTATAGACACAGACAGTGTACTCTGTTTTAATATAGAAAGTAATACTATGATGAGTTTCGCTAGTCGGGTTTTAAGTGTTATGGTTCACTAATATTTGTTTCCTTATTTTAATAGTTCATATTTTTTATATGCAAAGAGTCTATGTTATAATTGACCAATCTCATTCTAAACATGACCTTCATTTCTGGTTTGTAATTGTGACAATACAACTTGTGTTATCGATATCTAGTTTTTGCTTAAATGGTTTAGAAAGCGTTTATAGTCACACAACTTGGTCTCCCCCTGAGTTATATCATAGCGTACATGGTTCCTTGACTTAAAAGTACGGAATTAATCTATCTTGGTCAAGAACTTCTTTATTGTCAAGTCAACAATTGATTCAAATTTCGTTCATGAATCCTGAGACGCTTAGTAGAATGATCGATTATTTCAAAAATCAATCTTACATTTTTAACCGATTTTATTTAAGTTTTTTCGCTATTCATATCACATCCCAGTCAACAGTAGCTGATCATGAGCGAAAATCTCAAGTCATCTGTCACTTTTATTACAATCAAATGCACTAACTAATCACTCACTAATCAGAATATCACATACTAATACATCTTATTATCATACACTTGATAAACAAGCTTACTGATTACATATTGTCATAACAATACAATTCAATCAGTCAAATTACAATCTGAACAAACACACATGACTAGTGTTCACATTTACATGTATGAGCTACCGATCAGTAAAGCATGGTTACTTAGTCATTGTTAGTGTAAATATTACCTACTACACTGATACTTATGTGTTATTATTTTATTGCTGGTTATATACATTTCCAGTTGATGTGCTAAACAGACCGAAAAAGTGTTTACTTAAAAGTATTCCACGAGAACAAAAACATCATAGTTGTATTTGTTTAAAACTATCACTAATAAATGTCGTTAAAATCTTACATTAAGAGTAAATCCATGCCTGCTAATTGAAATGCAATCTATAGTTTAATTTTACAGAGTTCTAGCTTCACAGAAAGATTTAGTGAAACTATACTTTTGGAAAAGGTCAATATAACTTAAAGATTAAGGAGTGCTGATCAGTGACCGGATTCTAACTACTTTCAAGTTCACTGATGATTTTAGTGTTGTTACATGTTTTGATTTGGAGCATTACTTGTAATATACTCCTTCCTTCCTTACTTACGCCTGTTACTCATAGTGAAGGAACATTGGCACACCACCAGTATTCTCCATCCAACACTGTCCTGGACAATCCTTTCCAACTCCTTCCAGTTCCTATTCATCATTTTCATATCTGTTTCTATTTCACGACGTAATGTGTTTTTTGGCATGCCTCTTCTTTTCCGCTTCCCTTCAGGATTCCAAGATAGGGCTTGTCTCGTGATGCAGTTTGATGATTTTCCTAATGTATGTCCTATCCATTTCCATCGTCTTTTCCGAATTTCCTCTTCAGCTGGAAGCTGGTTTGTTCTCTCCCACAAAAGGCTGTTGCTGATGGTATCCGGCCAATCGATGTTGAGTATCTTGCGTAGACAACTATTTATAAATACTGGTACCTTCTTGATGATGGTTGTTGTAGTTCTCCAAGTTTCAGCTCCGTACAGTAGAACTCACTGTCTTGACGTTCGTATTGACGGTTCTCACTTTGATATTGTTTTGAGTTCCATATGTTCTTCAATTGTATGAATGCGGCTCTTGGATTGCCAATCCTCGCCTTTACGTCTGTATCTGAACCTCCCTGTTCATCGATGATGCTTCCCAGGTATGTGAAGGATTCTACATCTGCCCGAGTTTCGCCATCATATCAGGGTTATTATATATGAGAAAATAAACAAATGTTTATTTACATTATTATTATTTTTAATGTAATAAATTAGTAAATAAATAAAATAAAGTACAAATTTTTCTGTATTAATGAGGTGTAAAATATGTAAGTCAATTGATAAAGTCAATAACAACAACAAAAGAACAAACAAACAAACAAACAAACATTAAATACATTACTGATTAACTAATTAAACATTGAACATTCATTTCTTTGTTGTTTAAAACAAGAACTGCTTTCTTTTTTTTTACCGCCATTTTACTCAATATGAATCAGTATCATCACTGGTATTATTTCATAAATGATAAATGAATAGATGATTGAAATGTATTCTGATGATAACAATCATCATTATACACACACACACACCCATCCGATGAGATAGAAGATGAGAGAAGAAACCAAAGAAAAGAAGAACGAAAAAAAGAAAACAAAAGAAAGAAAGAAAAGTCAGTAGAAAAAACAAAGAGAGAAAACATTTGATTCCATAAACAAATAAATAAGTAAATATACAACATTCTTCAATGAGTCAATTATAAAATAAAATAGAATATAAACATTGGGAAAGATACAAGAATAAGTAAACTGAATAAGAATGAATATAATAAAAGAATAAATAGCTACTTTATATATTCAATGTTCAGTTTGTTTATTTGTTTAGAAAAAAAAACAAACATTGGTAGGATAGAAAAAAAACAACTTAAAAAATAATGAATTATTTACGAATGGTCCATCTGAGAACTTCATTTCTTCTTTGAGATTGATTAAAATGAGATGAGGAATGATTTTTATCTAATATAGTACGTTGAAACCAATTTGATGAAGAATCATGTTTGTTAAAACTAAGTCGATGTGATTGTTTATCTAGAATATATAAATATAATAGGTAATACATAGATATATAAATGGATCAAGGTAAAGAGAGACGTTTTATTAAATACACATGCACTTTACATTCACATTCACACACACACGCACATAGTAACAGAAAGAGAACAAAACTTATTTACTGATCATTGTTAATATTAGTAAGAGGGAAGCATATTGAACTATGAAGATTACATAGTAACAAACCGAGATATATTAGATTTGAAAAAAAAACACAACTATATCAGTAATGTATTCTCGATTAATTAGTGTATATAATGCTTTTTGTAAGCAATGATGGATAGTAGCTAGCAGTGGAATCCAGGACATGCGTTTCATCCTATTTGGGACTCATCAGCTGGATGTACCTGCATCTCAGAGTTGATGTTCACTATGGGACTCGAACTTAGTACCATTCGCTTCAAACGCCATCGCATTATCCACTTAGCTACTGAGTCCTGATAGCCAAATAATACCTAGTCAGTCAGTCAGTCAGTCAGCTACAACGTAGGACCAGGCACATATGTGCATCGGTCCAGGTTGCCATACCTCATTAGCACAACAAGATGAACACCGGATTCATAGGAGTGGTTAGGTCAAAGGTTGCAATAAGGATATAGTATAGGAAGGAAGAATTAGTTCGTAGAAAGAAAGATATGAAGTGATTTAATCTCTTAGTTTAAGGGAAGACAGGGAGTGTATACACCGACGCCATTGTGATCGATTCTGAGCCATGTCACCAAGAGTCTCCAACCATTGGTTACGAAAGTCACGCGGACCCCAACCAAGTAGTCTGCATCTACCAACATGGCTCAGACTAGAAGTTAGTGACTTCAAGCACTGATGCCACGTTTTGGTTTGGCCGCCCCTAACTTTCTTCCAACCAACCCCTACACCGGTTAGCATTGCACGTCGTGGTAATCGGTGTTCAGGCATACGTAATACGTGGCCCAACCATCTCAGTCGATGAAGATTCATAACCTCATCAACTGATTTACCATCATTCCCTAATACCCTACGTCTAACCTCACTATTACTTACCCGGTGATCCCAGCAGATGCCAGCAATATTTCTAAGGCATCTGTGGTCAAATACTTGTAGCTTACGGGTGTCTTCTACTCTTAAAGGCCATGTTTCGCTGCCGTAAAGTAAGACAGAACGGACTGCCGCGCAGTATACTCGTCCTTTTATTGATAGACGGATATCTCGCCTCCGCCAAAGGTGACGTAAGTTGGCAAAAGCCAAACGAGCTTTTCGAATCCGTGCTGAGATTTCGTCAGACACCAACCCATTAGGGCTGATCAGACTTCCAAGATAAGTGAAGTTGTCGACGCGTTCGACTACTTCACTCCCTATCCTTAGTTCAGGTGTTGACGCAGACCAGTCCTGAAGCAACAACTTGCATTTAGAGGGAGAGAAGCGCATCCCAAACATTCTGGCATTGTTGCTTAGTGCTACCAGAAGACTCTGCATTTTGTCAGCGTCTTCACCAAACAGGACTATATCATCTGCGTATTCTAAGTCGATAAGTGGACCTCCTGGAAGGAGACCAATACCCGAGAATTCAGTCGACGAGAGTGTTATTTCCATCAATAGGTCTATGGTGAAGTTAAACAAAAATGGAGAAAGTGGACAGCCTTGACGGACACCACTTGAAAATGCAAAAGTAGATGACAGTTCGCCATAAGCCCTGACTCGACTAGTGGTGTTCGAGTAAAGATCCTTCACAAGGTTTATGTACTTCTGAGGTACGCCTTTCAATGACAGACACTGCCACAGAGTCTCGCGGTCTACAGAGTCAAACGCTGCTTTTAAGTCAAGAAAGACCACCATCGTCGGACGCCGATAGGTATGCCTGTGTTCTAGAACCTGACGAATGGTGAATATGTGGTCGATGCAGCCACGACCAGGTCTAAAGCCAGCTTGGTTCTCTCGAGTTTGTAGTTCACGAGTCTTAGTTAGGCGTCTGATAATTATCGAGGCCAGTATTTTAGATACTATGTTTGTTAAACTAATCCCTCTGTGGTTGTCACAGGATGATTTTGACCCTTTCTTATATATTGGGACGATGTGTGATTGCGACCAGTCAGATGGGATAAAGTCTAATTCCCAGATCTTAGCTAAAATATTAGTCAACCTAATCGCTAAAATTGGACCACCATCCTTAAAGACCTCTGGAGCCAATCCATCTGGACCAGCTGCCCTTCCTCGTTTCAGATTAACTATAGCCTTTTGAACTTCAGCAAGAGTTGGGGGACCTACTTCAATGTTCCATTCACATTGTCTGGGAATGGAGGGTAGTTGTAGAGTAGCTGAAGGCCAGCTGAACTGTTCTGTAAAATGTTCCGCCCATCGTTCTAAACGTCTGGACTGGGAGCAGATGAGAGTATCATCTTTTTCCGAAATAATCTCACTTACACTTGACTTATTAATTCCAGTTTCTTTTATTAGTCTGTAAAGCTGTCTTGTGTTCCCTATAGTCGCTGCCTTTTCCATCTCTTTTGCTTTCGTTACCCACCACTGCTCACGGTCGTTCCTTAGACTTTTTCTTAACCTAGATCTGATTTGTTTTCGCTCTTCATCACGTTCAGAACCTGATGGGACGAGTTTGCGAGAATCCATCAGTGTGACAGACCTTGAAGAAATCCACTGGTTCCTTGCAACTCTGTGGTTTAAGTCACTGATAGATGTCACTGCTGTTTCCACAGCTGATTGTATGCCCTTCCAAGCAACATCTGGGTCAGCCTCGTCTTCACAACTACCTAAGTGTGACCTCAGTTGTTCCTGGAACCTACTTTTGGTTTTCTCGTTACTCAACTCAGTTCTAACGGGTCTTTTTAATGTGGCTTTTTTGCGTCCAGTGAGGCGCAAGCAGACGCGTGCCCGTATTAGGGCATGGTCGGAGTCCAAGCAGGTACTCCAGAATGAGCGACAATCTTCTACCGACCCTCTCCAACGATGACTGATGGCAATATGGTCTATTTGAGTCCATCGTTGGTTTGGTGTAGGGGGTCGCCATGTTAGACGATGTCTCTCCTTATGCTTAAAATTTGTGTTTGCTAAAAATAAACGATTGTCTGAGCATAGCTGCAGCAGACGATCACCATTATCTGTTCGCTGTGTCGGAATACTAAAATATCCACCTAAATGCCTTTCTGTTTGGTTTAAGCTACCTATCTGAGCATTAAAATCACCTGCTACGAGTACTATGTCTGAGCGTTTAGCTTTCTGAAGAAGTTCGGACAGCTTTCTGTAAAATTCATCTTTCACTTCATCTGAGCTGCAGTCAGTGGGAGCGTAGACAGAAACGACAAAAAGGCAACGACGTGTGTCCCTATCCTTCCGAGTTCTTACGTAGCCGTTCAGCCGAACAGCACATAGACGACTGTTGACGGGGATCCACTCTAGCAGTGCTTGTTCGGCCCTCATGCTTAGGGCTATGCCTACACCTGCCAGTCCACGAGAACTGGCCATCGGGTCACCAGATACACGGAGGGTGTATCTCGTTGGCTCTCCGTTCTGCCGAGGTGAGGTCAAGTGAATGACCACACTGGGATCCTGTATGCGTGTTTCGGAGACACAGCATACATCAATGGAAAGAGACTCTAGGGTTTTAGCCAAGGAAGCCTGCTGACCGATTTGACATAGAGTGCGTACGTTGAAAGCTCCAATGTGTAGTTTTGAGCGAGGTTTCAGTAGACCTGGGACAGAGTTTTGAGCACTAGAATCGTTGGCTATGGTGACACTTGAGGAGGAAGCCGAAGGAGGAAGTTTAGGGTTGAAAGTCGATGTAGGAGGAATAATAGGAATTAAAGAGGGAGGTTGATTATGAATACAGTGGTCTTGGGTGCTGTTAGAGGTATGAGGGCGGTTATCACTTCCCGGTTGCCCACACCGTGGAAGGGTTCTTCTGGAGGTGCCTGAAAAGGAAATTGGATTAGAGGTGATCTTAGTGACCTGGGAGCGTAGCCGCAGTGCCCAAGGGACAACTGCTTGAGGTCGGTCGCGCACGGCCTTTTCGTGGAAGGTTTTTGACGTGTTAGCTCCGTTCTTCAAAGGGCCTTACCGCCGGAGACGGAAATCCGTGAGGTAAGGTGAGGTGTGCATTTTTAGGGTCGACCTTTTCTAACCCCACCTCTCCTTGTGGGAAGGCAGCATCGCTGTCATGCTGGTTGTCTGAAGGAAACACCTTACTGCTGTCACACCTCTGTACAGTCAGCAGTACGACTTCGCCTTCGGACCTTGGGTCTGTTGCTTTTAGTCTTACCGCTCTTCAACCGACCTGTCTGACATGGTAGGACCTTGAGGAACGGTTGTTCCAGCCAGTATAGCTCGGTTGCTTCATCACGATAGGCAAGCCCGACCACCACGTCAAGGTAGCAACAACGGTCGGGAAAAATAATACCTAGTGTATATAATGATTTGTTACAATATGTTATTTATGTACTAAGATAGGAATTGATTTTCATTCTGACAATGATTACGGAATTGTTCTGCAAAAATGGACATCATTATTATTCCTGTGTTTGATAACCAGTGTTTATTATTTTTTTTTTGGAGTTCGTTCCTATACTACTTATATTAATTCCTATGTAATATCATATTAAATCTTTAAAGATAATTTCAAGCAATAATGATTTTTATGATCTGTGTGTAAACTTTAAAAGTGAGATAACACTAGGAAGAGCTGTTTAACTCTCGTTATGTACTTTTTTTTTCCCGGGTGTTACGTACGATAATATATCAATGAAGAATATGAGTAACGATGAACTGATTCAACCATCACGTGAATTAATTTTATTTCAGTATTCATTGAAAGAATTAAAAAGATGCACAACAACATAGGTATTCATTTTTTGGGGGAACAATGCAAAAACACATTCCATCTATATATAAATAGACAATTTACAAATATATTCATGCATGAACACACACACACACAGATATATATAAGAATACAAACAATCAACAACATAAACATATTACCTGCATAAACTTTATGATAGTTCTAGAATCAATGAAGTTTTCAGTAATGAAAAGAAATTACACTCAATAGATTATCAATAAGAGTATAAATAAAAATACAGTTTCAAAATGATCACAAAAGGAGTAAGTAATGAACACCTCTGGATCAATTGATAATGATATATATATATATATATATATATATATATATATATATATATTTTCTTCTAATAAGTCAGTTACATAACTGTGAAGCATCCAACTTGTAACAATCAATTGAGTAACATCTCCAAAGCTTATATAAACAATATGACCTAGGTTATCTAGAACACTTTCAATATTCAAGAATTGTATTGTGTTCAGTAATAATGGTTAGTTTTCTTTTTATGTTATAGATGAGCGTTGTATATTAAAGTGTCATTTTGTTATATTTTATTCAAGTTTTAATTTGTAGTACTTTGCTTGCATTTTCTAACCTGGATACTAAGTTAAGTTAAACTGATGTGTTCATAGTAGATAGTTATGGATAACTTCAGATAGATAGAAATAGAATTTTCAGTAAAAAATTTCACTCCAATATGCAGTGCTCACCACCGCCTGGAGTCCCTCTAGGGGCTACTGTCGGTCTCAATCCCGGATAAAAGAGGAGGGTTGGGCATGAGGTTAGCGACCCCATCTCGTAGAAAACCAACTCGCTAAAAAAGCACTAACCAGAATGCAGTGCTCACCTATCAAATGAAAGTTATAATAACCGAAAGTGCCAGAAACAACAGTCAGTCAGTAACAACGTAGAACTTCGTATGTATGTATATCAGTTCGAGTTGCCATACCACATTAGTACAGAGATGCAGTTGTCGATTCAAATCGCGTAGTGGTTAAGGTATTAAGAGTATAAGCAGTAATCGGAAAGATTAGGGTTTGAAGATATTATTCAAGTAGTATAATCCAGTGAAATAAATTTGGGAAGAAAAAACAAGGACTTCAGAGGATTAAAATTTGGGAGGACAACACAATTATTCAATATTGAAAATGTTACAGATAACCTCAACTACAAAATTATAGAATAAACATACAGTGTAGGTTTAACTCTACTTTATGAATTGTTCGATTCGGGTGTATCTACTACTACTACTACTACTACTACACTTACATAACACTGAAAACAAGCCTTTAAGAGGTTTTATTTTATAGCAAGTATAATATTATTTAGTAGATAAATTGAATTAAAAACATACTTGCGAATGGAAGAAATAATAATAATAATAATCCAATCAACTTTTAATTGTATAAATCTGTTAGACTTTATGTATGCATAAACAAAATCAAATTGTTATTGCCAAAATAAAATACAGAAATGATTAATTAGCATCCATGTAAAGAGTGGATATAATAATAATAATAATAATAATAATAATAATAATAATAATAATAATAATAATAATAATAATAATAATAATATCATTAAGCTATAACATATTTTTGGCAAAATGTTATGCAATACAAAGAATAACATGGGAACCAAATAAGAAATCAGGTTGCAATAAATATTTTTCGTGAAATTATTCCTAAATCATAACAACTACTCAATTATTATTATTATCGAAATATAACTTCATTAAAAATATTAATAGATCCTATTTTCAATGGTTGAGATCATGTGCCAATTGAAGCTAGACAACTATGGAAAATCTGGAAGTACTGAATGGCCGTTTCGTCCTATTGTGGGATTCTTCAGTAGTGCGCATCCACGATCCTGCTCCCTCCGCGAGATTCGAACCCAAGGCCTATCAGTCTCGTGCGCGAGCGCTTAACTTTTAAAGGACTGAGTCGGCATCTAATGGTGTTGATGTCTAACTTCAACAAATTCACGAAACTGAAAGACATATTCACCATTGTCTTCAGTGAGCTACTATCTCACAACTGACCCGGTTGAACTCCGCTGGTCACTGCTTTTCACTAGAACTCCAGGAAATACCTTTTGGAGACCGTCACTAGTGAGCATATGTTGATTAATATTGGAAAGGTTTTTTTCATGGTGGTCTAGCTTCAATTGACTGATGATCTCAACCATTGAAATTACTATAATATCCACAAAACCCTTCTGATATAAATCCCATTTTCCTTGACAGTTTTAGATTAATTACAATGAAATATAACAATTAAAACATTAGTTAGCTTACATAGGAGAATGAAGAGATTGAAAGAACAAGGGAACATAGATAAAAAATAGAATGGATTAAATTCTGTGGTCAATCTAGGAAAGGAAAAATATGGTGGTATTTGGGAAATAATAAAAAACTGGTTATATTAGTATATTCAATAGGAGAAATGAGGCAACTACAACTCAGACGTATGAACAAAAATGTGAAGATCAGAGATAATTTCAATTTATTTTAGGGAAGTATGCCAGCCTGGGGGAATTTGAATATATACTCATTTTTTTCACCAATAAAGCACACAAATAGCTTCATCGAAGTCAGTTGTCAGATCTCAAAGTTTAAGGGTAATTTGTCATGACGATTTAAAAATCTAACATGATGATCGTCTAATTTTTGTTATATTGAGGTAGATATTCATAGTTTTCAAACGGAATTAATAGATCTTGGACGTTGACAACACGGTGAACAAACACATTAAATCTATAACACTGATTGAATTATATTCTTTACTGATAGATGATACGTTTCATAATCCGAATTATTTTGTACATGAAATGGTTGCATTTTGTTTGGCCGACTTACATTCGTGGATGAATGATTTCATTTATGAAATCTAGGAAGTTGAAATACAGATTTTAACTGGATGCAAATCTAAAGTATACACCTACCGAATTGTAAAATGAACCCTGATTACAACACAGTATAGCGCAAAGAAAACTGTACACAGTTGTCTCACGGATGAATATCAACAATAAATACTCTCTCCGTGTCTTTTCTATAGGACTTCAACACAACTCGGATCAAGAACACGTGACTAGACTGATTAGAACGTCAGTATACTTCTACGCCAACAACCGACAACAATAACAATAATAGTAAGGGTAGGAAAATATATAACATCTAATAGCTGTCAGATTATCTATTAATGTGAAAAGGCAAACAACAATTTATTACCTTTCTCGCTCACACATCACACCCAATTTGAGAAATTACACCAGAGTACAAGATCGAAGACAAAGAAGTTGGAATAATTGAAGTAGCAATGATAAGAAGAATTAAGCATTGGAAATATGATGGGACAAGGCAGAATATATATATATATATATATATATATATATATATATATATATAATGGGAGAGGAAACAGCTTTTAGCTGAAGGGGTCGGTGGAGAACCATGATGAACGGGCTAAGCTCCTGCACGAGGGGTAACAAGGCTAAGTAAGTAAATAATATATATTCGAGATTTAAAGGAAGACAACGAGTGAGCGTATTCGGATCATTGTAAACGATTAATTTTGAATCGTTTACATTCACTAGACCAAGTTTTTATCGAACTAATCTAATCTAAATAATACAATTAGTAGTAGCGATAAACTATACATTAGAAATATACTTCAAACTAAGCATATTCAATGAATATGCTTAGTTTGAAGGTATTAATAATTAAAATAAAGTATAAAGGATGAACGAACTCTATACAACTATAGTAGTGAAGGGGAGCTTACGTGGGGGAAAACAATTTATTGTTTAATGAAAACTTATAGGGTGCTTTAATAAAATATGAAAACCATACATTAAAAACAGTATTTGCATATCCTCCTTCAGTTGTCCTCTGTATGCTTCATGATTCTTTCAATTATGTTATTACAATTTCTATCTGTTTCTCTTCATGTTCTCTTCAATTGAATCTTATCAATCTTCTGCTGGCAGGCATTACATATTTGACTGTTGTTATATACTATTTATATTTGTCACTGTAAGTAGCAAACACTACACTTGTGAATCTTCAATCATTCGACGTCTTGGATAGATATAAATGTAAAATTCTACACGCTTCAAACGCAACAGTCCATACATGAGAATAAAATAAACCAAAAAACATTTCACAACAGAAACTGTATAATTTATGATTTGCCAAAACAGTATTAAATAAATTTTATTAGACTACAAAATTATAATAAAATCAATTTACCTGCATTTGTACGACTATCAATAACACGAGTTAAACCATTTGACATTTGTTGTTCTAATGATTGTTTAACACGTGGAGAACGACGTCGAACAATTAAACGCATAGTATTTCCGCCACGTTGTATGATTTCAATAGCTTGTCCATGTGACATACCAATAGTTGAATAACCATTGATTTCAACTAATTCATCACCAACCTAGATATAGTTATGTTATGAAATAGGAATTTTTAGTTGTTTATTATGTGTGCAGAAATAGCAAATATTCACTTACATATAAATAGTAATGGTAGTAGTATGCAAAATTTATGAATAGCTAAAGTATACCTTAATGACTGGTGTGTGTTACTTATGTTGCAGATATAAAGAGTATGCAACACCAGAGAGAAGTGCAATGTCTGCGAGCAGAAAGTTGAGAAAATTGAAGGAAACTGGAAGCAATCAAAATAACAACAGAAATGAAGGAACAATGAAGCTTTTAAGAGACAATTCAAAGATGTGCAAATGATGTATGATTTTAACATTTTACTAAATCACTGTGTGATTGTGTTATGTTCTTAATAGCACTGTTTATTATCACGTAATAAGATCGCTGATTAGAACACCAACTTATTGATCAGACAAATAATGCATAAACCAGTACGAGCAGTATATAGTCAACTCTGTGTTCTTATTGGTCCTCTGAAATAATAGCTTCTCGCATAACCCACCAGTTCAGTTCAGAACACTAATTATCAGCCTCCACTATATGAATAATGTATTTTAGATATACTCAGTTTATATACAAGCAAATCAGACCATATCATATCATAAAGTAGAAAATAAAAATTATACAAGAATGGGTAAAAGTGGTTGTGAGAGACTGTTATTTATTTATTTATTTTAACACATAGATATTGGTACAACGGGGCACCAAATACATATGCACCACACAAATCTCATTCGATATGTGTGAGGGCTGTGGTATTGCCCGGGTGCTTAAACAGAAGCAGGTGGTTTTCTTATGGGGCACACACGAAGCCTTCGACCTGAAGGTCTGATCCACAAGGCAGTGGAGCATCGTGAGGAGATGCAGTTTCATGGAAGCCGGTGACCAACGATTGGTCCACACGCCATTTGTTCCTTCAGGATACTGAAGCCCATATGCACCATTGGTTTGGAATCAGGGATTTCTAACTCCCCTAGGTGGACTCTCCATGTCCACTGACTCGGTCAAAGCGCCGGACATTCGCTTTTCGTCCTCTTAATTTCGTAAACAACACCCCCGCCACGGGAAGGCAGTGAGTAGGACTACCCGGGCAGAGGCTATATATGCGTGGCCATGTGATAGCATTTCGAGAGGGTGAGCGAACTCTCCCCACTCTCGACCGTACCAGGGCATTTGGGGGTATAGTAAGTTGTATAATAGTAGTCAATAGGTTAAGTGGAAGCTTATGATGAAACAAATATGAATATACGTATAATATAGTTACTTAATAGTTGTACAATAAGAGTATAGATAATGACAGTCCGTAAATAAATTCTAGTAGTTTCCATTAAGTTACCCTTCGCTCGGATAAAACCGGTTGTTAAGTTAATAATTGGTTTCGCTTATATGACTGTCCATTCACTATAACTTTCAATGATGTTTGATAGTGATTGTGAAGAAATGGAACCTAAATTTTTTTAGCTAATCGAAATTCAGGTATATGTATGAATAATTCATTGTTTGAAAATTCAAAAATAGGATATACGTTGAGTTTGATTTATGAATTTTAGCTGAAGGTAAATATTTAGGATATTGAATGAAAGAAATACTCTGTAGGAATTAAGACCAATATTCGTGAGACTAGTTCTTTGAATTTCAAGAGTCATTAAGTTAAGCGATGGCGTTTAAAACGAATGGTACTGGGTTCGAGTCCAAGAGTGAACAATAACTCTCTGAGATGCAGGTACATCCAGCTGACGAGTCCCAAATAGGACGAAACGCGCGTCAAACTGGATTCCACTGCTAGCCACTATTCATCATTGCTTAAAAATAGCTTGTGAATTAGGGTAATATCGAAGCACACGCACAGTATGCCCATATGCCAATAACAGACTGATCAATTGAAGTCTTAAACCTCAATGGGAAGATACAAGCCAAACAATACCAAATGAAATCATTAAGTTACTGTCAATAATTCATAAATCATGGTCTATTATTCTTTAGTATTTCAATGTTTATCGATTTTAATCGTCTTAACAGATTTCATTTATATCTCAATAAGACATAAACTAATCGACATTGCGTTTTAAATTTTATTATTAATGACTTTATTCAATATTACACTTTTGGTAAAATATAGAATTCTCAGTACAAAGTATTTCAACGAGTTTTCTCTTCTTATTTTTTGAACGATCTTAAAGACAAATACTGAACGATCACCAGCAGTTAGATGTTGGCAGTTCAGGAATTTACATCTCAAAAATGTTCATTCATTTCGATGCAAAATTGTCAACTATCGCGATGTCTCTGATTGTACTTTGTACGGCGAAAGGTTGTTCGCTTCTCATAAACGCGCCTGAATAGGCTATGCGATTGACAGACATTATGATGTATTAAAACAAACACAAACAGATAACTTCTTGAAATATCTAGATGGCAACAATAGGTAGCCTAGATATTCAAGCAAGTGGCCAAAAATCGGTGAAGTTATACAAGTATTACTACGAAACAAATCAACTTGAAAATAAAAGCTTTGAAATTTTCACATGAAATTGAAGAAAAGATAGGTGAGATTGACTATCACCAGTCATTTACTAACTGATAATACCAAGGAGGATAAAATTCTGGAGTATTTAATACACAGTAAATTGATATGACACATAACGAGTCTATGAAAGAAATGATTTTTATCGAATGAAACGACACAAACTACTTATTCAGATATAAATTATGTTGGCGGTATTAATTCAAATGCAAAACAAAACAGAAATTCTTTTGTTAATATTGGAGATAGTTACATTCTAATTTCTTTGGACAAATCTAAACTTTTTGAGTTATGGACTTTTGTAAATCAATTCTAAAAAACGATGTTTATGACAAACAATGAAAAAATGTACCTTTAAATGACCATCCATTTGAGCAGCACCACCATCTGCAATACGTAATACAACTAGTGGCATACGATTAAATTCTTGTCCACCACGAATGGAGAAACCGAAACCTCTACTTCCACGAAATAATGTAACCGGAAATTCAACTGAATCTCTCATTGGCAAAGGATGTTTACGTCCACGTGAAGCTGAGCCTATACGATAGAGAAGACAATGTGAGAAGACTGTATTGTAAGGATGCATATACATATACATATAATTCACGGTAGAATCACAGTCTAAACATTTCATTCTATAAAATAAGATTGGTTGGATGGTAGTGTTTAACAGTGATAGAGATTGTCTGATTGACAATAAAACTAATAAAAATTTACGCAACATTAGAAAATAATCAGTTGCGAAACGAAACAGCTAGAATATATATTATTAAGTCAGAAAAATAGAAAGATGGTAAAAGTACAGCTACTCTGGAAATACAGAAGTGTTTTGCTAAACCATAGACTTATTAAGTTTGAAAATACAAGAGTAACAATACCGAATTCCTATTCAGTAGAATCTTTTACCCAAAAACTACAGTTAGACGTTAAACTATAGAGTCGATACTGGTCAATTTCAGAGAAGTCTGTTAATAAGCCGAGACAATTGTCTAGTAACTTGACCATATTTGAAATTTTACATAAGATTACAATGTATTAATGTGTTGAACAGAAAAAAGAAAAGCTAGAAACGTGGAACTTGGTACTGGGTAGGTGAAATTCCCAGAAAACTACATACCGGTTATTCTTATTTTTGTAAATTTGAATTTCTGTTGCTTCAAAGTCTAAACTCCTTACGACAGAAACTTTTCATCCTTATTGCACTTAAAGTAATCATTTTTCCACTGATTAGTGGCTGTTTTAGAACATTAATTATTTATCCTATTTTATGGTCTTCGTATGTGTATTTATACCTGTATTGTGTTTGTTAAAATTATTCTTTTTTAGGCTTTACCACGTTAGGTAGTAGTAGTAGTGGTATGATTGAAACGAGAGAAATTTGACCAGTTTGTAAGTACTTATCTAAAAGAAAGCTGACACTTTTTTGAAAATACTTCAGAAGATCGCTACCCATATGATGAAGTGATTTTGGCGCAACTTTGTTTTTTTTGAGTTGGATGGTTATGTCAATTAGAATTAAGAAAAGACCGGATGAAAAACTCAGTATACGTCCAGCTTCAAGGTCAGCAGATGGGATTCTGTAAGGATTGGTCGTGCACAGACCAGATCGTGACACCACAGATCACTGTTCAACAATCAATTGGATGGGATTCGTCACTATACATCAATTCCCTTGACTATGAGAAGGCGTTTGACAGTGTGGATAGGAAAATCTTATGGGACTAATCTTCAGAAACCAAATATGAACCGTATCTCATTGATGTACAGGTTTTCGTATAGAGTAATCACATTTTAGAACCTTTTGAAGGACAAAGAGTCAATTTGGCTTTCAACTAATTCACTCAAGAGAATACTGGATACATACATACGAAAACAAACGAATATATTAGCAAAATATAGATTAGAAAAAGCATTTGGAAGTGAAAAGGATACAACAATAACAGAAAATAGGGAAACACTTGCCTGAATATGGCAAAATTTTCAAAGCTATGTGATTACCACTTTCTCGAATCAAACGAACTACTTCATCATGATGTAGTCCACATGTTGGAATACCATTTACAGCTAATATCTGATCGCCAACAGACAACAGACCCATACGTTCAGCTTGACTGCCAGGAACAATTTGAGCTATAAATATTAAACAGAAAAACCATAGCTCCAGTTAATTCATTCAAAATGGGCTATTTTTTCCTTTATTATAAAATATGATAATTTCCTAGTAGTGAAAAACAATCTAATATATTAATAAACTTGAGGCAATTAATAAAACTCCATGTTCAGTTTGAATATATTCATAGTTTGAGTCAATATGATATTCAAATATTAGAGGCCGTCACCTTAGGGCATGTAATCTAGATCTCGTGCTAATCGGTAGTAATAAAAAAACAGTTACATTCCTGTGAAAGATTTAAAATGACATTGTTCCATGTCACAGGTACATTAATAATTAGTAGTTTGCGCTGTAACTAACCAACTGCAGGATTGAGATATCAACAATAGTCGACCACTGCGTAGTAACCAATACCTGATCTTAGTTGCTAGCATGACATGATGACAGGGGTTGCTTATCGCGACCACTTTATTGAACTGTACTGGCTAGAACACTTGTTTCTACCATACATGAAAAGTCAGCTAGAGAACGATAAGATTAAATGTAGCAAATTAAGCCATCAGGATGAAGTCATATTGCCGAGTGTATAATAGTGTGACTGCAGTAACGTGGTCCCCTTGGACAACTGTCATCAGCAGAATTTTTGTATTCTCATGATCGAAGGTAAGGATTAACCACATCTCAAATTGCCCCATGAATTTCTATCGCCTGTGGTATAAGGCGTTACAGAAGTTAACACGTCAAGAACAGATTGGTAAGATAGAGTGTATCCGGCCTCAACCAGTTATCCCTTTGGGTCAGTGGTTACACTTTCAGGCTGACATTGCCACTACCAACCAAGTTTTGTTTCCACATCCATCGAGAAATAATATCTTCCATTGTCCTGTGTAGGCAACTGGAAAGTGACAATTGCCCACATACCTTTAATTGATTTGACAAATATTGTGTTATCCATGGTTAAAAATTGAACTCTCAGGTATACAGACACTTTTTATGCGTAATAATGTCAATATTAAACTTTGTATCAGACAAATTCTCAATACATCTTTTGAAAAAAAAATTGACGAGAATCAAGGTAAGCTGACAGAAAACACCAGATTAATTGATAATGTATTGAAGATTTGAAAAAAGTTCACTCTTCATGTTAAAACACATACCAATATATTCTGTATTCTGAAGATTATTATTATTGCTGTTATTACGATTCGCAGCAATAACATTTGAATGTTCATTTAGTGAATTATGAATTGGTTTGGTATTAGTCAAAAAGAACCCAAATCCATCAGATTTTTCACTTCGTGATATGACAACATCAACGGGTTCCGATGAAGAGTGTGAATTGAGATTGTCAATTTCAACCTAATCATATGAATAAACATTAAAATAAATGATTTTTACATATTTATCTTGGAGATAATTTTAAATTTTAAAATGAAATGACTGTGAACAGTCATGAATGGTAGGGAATAGTGGAATTCAGGATAGGAGTTTCACCTCGTTCAGAGCTCATCAGATGGATGTAAAAATATTTTAGAAAAAAAAAGTTGCCCATGTATCCTTATAGGTCACGTTTCCCTACTAGGAAGTTGAGATGGTCGCACAATGTCATGGATTAGTTGAAGCTAGACAGTAACACAATTGATTGTCAAATCAGTAGTCTAGAAATTAAGCGATGAAAGCACTTAACTACTTCACTCTCTATCACAACTTCAGAGGCTGACACAGACCAGTCCTGAAACAAAATTTTACACTTAGAGAGGAGATGAGAGAGAAACGCATTTCGAACGTTCTTGTGTTGTCATTTAAGCCGATCAGAAGACTGTGCATTTTGTCAGCGTTCGGTTTAGTATATCTTGAAACCATTGTTTGCATATTTCTCTCATAGGTCAACTATAGAGTTGAAAGTCACAACATCGATTAGCACCGAAGTCTAATCGGTGAATATACTTCGAAATAAAGCACTTAACAAAAAATAAACTGATATGAATTCATTTTTCTTTGTCTGATAATCCGTTTAAAATCTATTTAAGATTCAATTTTATGTAAAGCATAATGGACTATGTAACCACTTAACAAAAGGGAGAGAGAAATCCAATAAAATGGAATAATAACATCTTTTTTTACATGTACATTATACAATTTATTAATATTATTAAATCAGATTTACACATCCATTCTTCTCATTTGGACTTTAATAAACGTCACAATGATAGATAATGGGATTCCTGTCTATTAAGTTTATCTACGTATTATATATTTTATTCAGACATGTTACTGAACTAATGGCTCTGAGAGATTATGTGTATATATATGTCAGATTGGAGAAAAGGAATAAACTGAATACAAACCTGTCATAAAATGTTATGTTACTTAGAGATACATTGAAGTAGGATGATGATGGTTGTGGTGAAGGGGTGGGAATAAATAGTAAAAGATGTCATTAGTGGTAAGTTGATCTATTTAGTAACGACAAAAAGCTTACAGTTTCTTTTATATATATATGCAAATCGAGACAACAGACAACCAGAATTATTTATCGGAAATATACGTTATTTTTCACCGAATATGATGATGATATTACAATTTTTGTGATAATTAATATACATATATTTTTATATGCAAATAACTACCTTTTCATGCAAGATATGTGTGAATCATTATCGTTTCATGTTATTTGCACAAACAACCAATAAATATTTTATTGAATAGACTGAAATACATATTAGCAGTAAATAGTCGTTGGTGAGCGGCCTATGCTCCTTCACGAGGAGTAACAGGCGTAAGTAAGTAAACAGTCGTGTGTTCTTTTTAAAAAAAATCTGATCAACTACCTAGGTAGTTTGGGTAACAATCAAATCCCTACACCCATCACTAATGGTATACAAGTGATGATTTAAGAAAGAATGAGGATACCTTTTAAGGAACACTACGATGATTGTAGCAAAAATAGAAGGATAGAGCGTAAAAGTCCATGATTATTAGATGGGATGAACATAGATGCATCATACTGTAGATTAATCGTTGAGCAATGGATAACTTAATGTTTATCTAGTTTTTTAGTGGTGCTGATCAAATTCTATCGATCAAGTTACAATGTGGTCATCAATCTAAGTAACTCGAAACCCCATAAACGATGCTGCATATCATAGTGACTGAAAACAGTAGGCAGGAAACTCTGGGACTAGGATCTGAATTAGTTGGTACACATCAGGAAGAATAATAGGGAAATTGCTACTTGATCCATGCAATTTAATCAGTATTAAAAGACTAGATAAACCTAACATTGACCACTGCTCATCAATCAATTAACAAATTATGTATATATAATATATTCACACCCTATATAAATTAGTGGTAACGTCTCACACTGTGAAGCTTGGTGAACTGGATTTGTATCCAACAGGAAACGCTAGTTTTTTCGAGATTGTGGATTGTATTTCGTTGACATGTCTCAACAACGACAAAATCTATATCCAAGGTTTCCTGATGATCCCCTGTGTTCACGTACCATAGATTGATTATTTTAATGATATTACTTGTCGTCAACTGATATTAATTGCAGTAACAGAAATTAATACACGATTGTTTCATCAGTGCTAGGGACTTGTCGACAATATACATGACAAAACATTGTAATTTTATATTTAACAAAGAGAAAAACATTATTTATTCACATAGCTAGAATGCGATGAACCTTAATTTAGAATTCAATAAATTCGAGATATAAATGAATTATTATCCAATTCCCGAGTACATAAATCACTGTTTCCTACTAGAATTTCGATAAATCTGTTTCATAACTAGCTATTTATCAATGAATACATCATTGACTTTTTATTGATTTTCAAGGTTCAACATCACAAGAGTGCGATTGTGGATGCTTATTGCTAATGAGTACCAAATCAGAATGAAATATCAAGTCATTTTATGATGAAAATCACTTTTATTTCAAGAGATTATTGACAATTGAATATAGATAAATGTGTCAACTAGAGAAATAATGAAAATCAGTAGTACATACTATTTACAAATCAATACATTGGATGAAATTCAAGACTTTCAGATCTAGCAAAAAAGCATACATAATCTTGTCTGTTGACCAGTTGCTAATTAAATAAATTCATCGAGCTAATAACCCTCAAATGTCCTGATACCGTCGAGAGTTGTGTGTCCGCTCTCCCACTCCAAATGCTCTCACATGGTCATGCATATACAGTCACTATCAGGGAAGTTCTACTCACTGCTTTCTCGTGGCAGGTGAGTTGTTTACGAAATTGAGATGACGAAGTGCGGATGTCTGGAGCTTTAACAGGGTTGGTGGACCACCTGGGGAGGTTTGAAAACCCTGATTCCAAACCATTGGTGCACATGGGCCCCAAGAACCAATCTTTGGTCACTGGCTACCACGGGGCTTCATATCCTAACGTTGCTACACTGTCTTGTGAATCAGACTTTTAGGTAGAAGGCTCCGGGTGTGGCCCCTAAGAAAACCACCTGTTTTGGTTTGGACACAGAGGCAGTATCCTAACCCTCGCACAAATCGAATGGTTTATGTGGCGTATATCTATTTGGTGCCTCCTTGTACCAATGTTCATGTGTTCAAATAAATAAATGAACCGACCTAAGAAAAAAAAACAAGAACTAACCTTTCCTCTTTGTAAACCCAATGTAACTTGACCAACAGTATGTGCAGCTCTATCTAATAATTCTACAACTTCTGCATGTGTTGCTCCAATAACACGTACACCATCGATTGATATTAACTTGTCTCCAGTACGTACAACTTCACTAAGTTGAGCTGAACCACCCATACGCAGAGCACCGATAGATACCTAAAAAGAAATTTTTTGAAAAAAACGCGTTACATCAACATGAATTATGGGTCTAGAACGATAGTATGTTATCGCAATAAATGACGATCGAAATGATCTTGAGAGTTTTGTATTAAATATTCATCGATGACAGAACAGATGTGTTTGAAGTTAAATTGTGTGCATATTGTTGTTCATGGTTGATGAATTTATCAAGTTGCTGAGTCACCACATAACTTTAACATTATTCGTGTGTTCATTTATAAACAAATTACTTCATATTATATCTACTCAACAGTATTACTCGTATGATATCACAATGGACTATTTACCATCCCCCAAATGCAATAATATGGCCGAGAATGGGGAGGGTCAATTCTCTTTCTTGAAATGTTCTTTATATGGCCACGCGTATATTACAACCACTGTCAGGGAAGTACTACTCAATGCCTTCTCGCGGCATTACTGTTGTTTACGAAATTGAGAAGACGAAAAGCGAATGTCCGGCGCTTTAACCGGGGTGGTGGATACGGACGATCCACCTGGAAGAGTTGGAAAACCCTGATTTCAAATCAATGGTGTACATGGGTGTATGAACCTATTGTTGGTCACCGATTATCATGGAACCGCAGCTCCTAACGTCGCTCCATTATCTTATAGATTAGATCTCTAGATCAGAGGGTCAGTGAGTGATCTCTTAGAAGGAACCACCTGCTTCGGGTTTAGGCAACCAGGCAGTATCCCAGCCCTCAACCAAAATTAAAGTGGTGTATATATATTCTGGTACGCACTCGAACTAATGTTCATTTGTTTAATTAAATAACTAAAAGACTCTTTACCATCAATCCGTTGTCTTTTAAACCCAATATAATAGAGTCCTCTTAGGTATAACACATACTATGTAATACATAGTCAGTAGGTTTCTTAAACTTTGTATGAAGACTTAAAGGTTATTATCTCAAATCCGATTAAGTTGGCAATGCATATCGCAAATTTTTTTCTGATTGTATGATGGATGAAAGCATTAGCTAATTACTAGAATCAGAAAAAAAAACAGTACTCAAAGTAAGTCATTTCGAACACATGCTCGAACGGTTGCACATAAAGGTGTAGAAGTTATTTTATGAAAATCCAATACGTTCCAGTGATAACAACCAACAATATACACAATAATGATAATGATAATAATAATAATAATAATAATAATAATAATAATAATAAGCGGACAAACAAAAGACTTTCTTTAGACAACAAACAAACCTGAGTATTTTCTTCAGCTCCACCGACTAGGTTAAATCCAAAACCAGTTGACTGACGCTTTAAATGTACAAGGAACTCCCCAGGAAGCATACACAATGGCGCTGTTGAGGATGTCATTGCTGACGTCGTTACCGCTGTTGCTGATCTGACAATATTACTGTTTGGTCTGTTGGATACGGATGATTGTGAATGACGCAATGGAAGCATACGTCCAGGTCGAAGTAATGAACCATAAGTTGTTGATGAATTAGGTGATTCGGGTGAAAAGTTATCCTTATTTAAACCAACAACTGAAAAAGAGGTTAGAAAACAAGAGGAAACTTAAACGTAATTTGTTCAACTTATATACTGATCATGAAAAGGATCTGTAGGTAAGATGAATAACTTTTTGAACGTGTTGATCCCTCAATTTTTATTTTTAACTTGGTTACCAGAGATACCGACTCGTGTACTTGCTTTTCATTAATTCGTTAAGTGTGGAAATCGAAGATATTACCTAGATGTCCAAACCGAAGTAGATGGAGTGGGATACAAATCTACGACTTAGTGACCGAAAGTCGAGTAAATTACCACCAAGCCACTACTTCCGTTTTGTTCTAATAAGTGAATATTTCAATTAGGAATCACCGATTGTTGTCTGGAGAAACACCAGTATCTGATTTAGGTAGAAATGAGCCTGGAAAAATATCCTATGAGTGCTAAATCAGCTCATTATTATAACATTATTTGTGATTGGTTATCCTAACTGATCATGTGTTTTTAAATTCAAAGCAATTATTTTATTCAGTTGAATTTTGAGAATTTGACCGATCGACCATTTCAGCATAGTCATTCAGAACAGACTAACTTCAGAGTTTATGGAAAACATAAAAATTCCACTTCCTATTTAAAGTACACTCTAATGATATTGTCTAAAACAATAGTCAAAGGTTTGCACTAAGTGACATAATCTATCCTCATAAATTATGCTTATTAACTGCCGAATAGTACAATGAAAACTGTTACAAAGTATATTTGCTATTTAACAGAGAAATATAAACACTTCATTAGTTTAATATGTTTGAACTGTTATTTTGTAACTGATATTCTCGTAGTTATGATCACTTCTATGTATAAGAATTAAAGATAGTAGATCAGCAAACAAACGAATAAAAATCAAATAATTATATGTTGAAATCTGTTATAACTTTCAGCCCTGTCAACTATCATGTAACAAAATCGCCAATCAGAATATCGACCGCCATGACCTTGAGTCAATTCTGATTCCTCATTGGTCCTCAATATAGTACGACCTCTCCTAGCTGTATCTGTTGAGTTTAGAACACAAATATCGGCCAAAAGTGGCTGTGAGAATGGGATACTGTAACTTATAGATTGGGGATAAGTTCAGGATGGTAGATAATATTGCAGTAGCCAATAGGCTAAATGAAAACTTATGATAAAAGCAATATATATATAATTCCTAGTGGTTACCATTCATTTATTCTTCGTTCGGATGTAACAAAATTCACTTACATTGATCTGCTTATTGCAGTGAAAATTGCATGAAAATATGTTACTGCCAAAAACACACACACACAACCACAACAACTTAACACTTCATACTACACAACGCACAAACACAGAAATTTACGCAAACAGAAAAAAGTGAATACAGTGAATTACTGAAAAATCACAAACTAAATTGAGTAACCTAAACAACAGATTAAAATAAACAAATATATTGATGTGATGAAGCAAAAACGAAACATAGACATCTCTTGCTATTTCTCTAAGTCTGAATGTATGTCCACTTTTTGTAAAATATAATATGTTAATCGATATAACTCTACAGATGCACACACACACGTATACTCTTCCGGTCGATGGATACAAACAAGCAAACAAATAAACACATACATGTATACACAAAAGTACTGGTTTCATTTCTTTAAAACAATTTTATAATTTAGTAATTATTAAGTAACAATTGATAGTTAGCTATCAGTGTTTTGATATCATCAGTCAATTAGTCTAAGAACATGTGAAGTAATGACAAATGAAAAGTCATCACTTTGATTTAGAGTAAACGAAGGTAGATAGCTGAAGAAACTATTCACGAATACAGAAACATACGAATATTAGTGTGAATAACGATGACTATTTACAAATTAAGCTACTTCTAGTATAAATCACTAAGCCAAAGAGAACTCTATTGAAAATCAGAAAGTCTGTATAGTTGTTTAAATTCTTGTTCAAGACTATTCAGAAGTTGTTTCATACATGAAACATTTCGGTTTTACACTACATAATGTCAGTTTTAATCGGTGTATATGTGTACAACACATAGACCAGTACTATTCAATTATCATAAATGATATTTAAAGGAAGTTAGAAGAGTTCTATTTCGTCTCACAGTTAACAGTTGTGTAGTGAACAAGAACACAAGTGGGGACAACTAGATTAATTTAACACAACATAACAGAATATCTTGGTAAAATCTGAGAACCATATAGTAAATATTCCATTTGAAAAATGTCCACCAATTGTCCCAGACTTTATCGTTCCTTCATTTTCATACCAATCACTTATCTTCGATCTTCCCAAACTTCTGCCGCCAGGCATTTCACTTTCGATTGGTGATATATACCACTTATATCTGTAGACAACAGTAGCACACACCACAGTTGAATTACTTAATAAATAAAATTCAAATGTCTAAATGTATCTTTGCTATGTGAAGATAATATTTGTAGATAACTTTTCATTAAGAACTAATATTAGTAAAGAGTATTATTGAAAACAAAAAGGGACAATAATAAAGTTAATCTATTTTGTTTTAATTTGCAATAACTACATCTTTCATGCAATTTTAAATGATCAAAAGACCAATATATGTAAGAAAGTGTAAATATGACGAATCAAAAAACCCTCAAATTTAAGTAGTAAACATTTTGCGAGATAGTTCTTTTGTTCTTATCTAATTTCGTCGCAAATATCCATATAAAGATAACATTTTCTTCCTCTGACTTATTAGGGAGATTTAGTTTCCAACTTAGAATGCGTGGACGACATAGTGCTATTTAATGAAGATGTTGAGATACTGAATAGTTCACTGAAAACCGTAAATAATTATGCGCGCGCATTTAGGATGGCTCGTTTTCCCTGTAAATGCAAAATGTTCCTCCAGCGCTGCTCTGCACAACTCGTAAACTGACCATAACCGAGTGAGGAAGTTGAGCGCGCTGTCTATTTGATTTAACTGGGTGATTTGATATCAGACAAAATCTTGGCATGGTTTCAGAAAGTTTGATCTGCTTTGAACATTTTGCCTCACCTGTAGCATAGAAGAGATGTTTGTTTGCCGAATAAAGGACGAGTAAACTGAGTAGTGATGCATTCTGTATTACTCTATGGCAGTGAAAAATGGTCCATGAAACAAAAAAAACATAAACAGGATGCGAGCTTTTGATCATAGGCATCTTTGAAGCGTCGCCAGAGTATTGTGACCGAATGACCAATGCTGGGGTTAGACGTTTGATGAGATCGTGAATCTCCATCGACATTTATTTGTGTAACGTATGACCAACTCGTGCACTGGATGGTGTAGGAGTAGGCTGGAATAGGCTCTGTATAGTTCTTACTAGTCATGGTTGGTACGACTAGTTGAAAAAACCGCTCAACTACACCACAACGAATTATTATCCTAAATCCACTAAAAAGATGTCGTGAACAAGATGATCACACATGCTATCAGTGGTGTGAGGCTACCCACATAGTGGATTGACATTTCCTTTAGAGGGATTTGAATAGGAGGCTATGTTAGTGATAGTCTTAGAGACCTGGGAGAGTAACCGCAGAGCCCTAGGGACAACTGTGTGAGGTCGTTAACGCACGGCCTTTCTATCGCGGGTTTCAGATTTGTAAACCCCACGATTCAAAACGCCTTATCACTGAAGAAGGAAGTCCGCAGGGTAAGATAAGTTGAGATATTTTTAGGGTTGACCTTTTCTAACCTCTTTGTGTTGTGAGAAGGAAGCATCGTTGCGGAGGTTGATTATCTGAGAGAAACCCCATATAGCTGTCACGCTCCTCTACAGTCAGCATTATGACTTCGCTCACGGACCATAAGCTGCCGCATTTAGTTCTACGGTTCTCCAACCGACCTGCCTGGAGTACTAAGACCTAAAAGAACATTTGCTTCAGCCAACATAGACTGTTCAGGTCATCATGAATGGCAAGCCCGATCATAAAGTAAAGGCAGCATCTAGGCTCGGGCATTGTATAAATGATTTCACATTTATGAAGTGATTAGTTTTTCATAAAATAACTTGCCTTTCAACCATCAGGTTTCATTTTAAAACGGCCCTTTATTTGGTTAGGGATAGATCAATAGGATAGAACTTATAAAAATACATAGACCTGTAATATGGTTACTGAAATGCATTTATATAATTTTAATTTTAAGAATAAACGTAAATGACCCACGATTACAGTAATAATATTTTATTTACCGCTATCATCAACGGGATGTACTCGTCGGCGTCGATCCGAAATCACAGATAAACCCATGTTATTATTAATGTTGCCATTGTTATTATTGGAATGATGAATATAATCTGTTTGGTTGAAATTTGACCGACTAATTAAATCGGACGGTTCATTTTGATACGAATGTTGATAGTGACGCTGATGATATTGATGATTAGGACTATCTAAGCCTAAACGCCTATCCACATATGGATCGGGGGTTTGTGCACGTATATGCGACGAACTACTTGAAGAAATACTATTTTCTCCTGTACTACCGGAAGTTCGATGATGGTAACCAATTCTGGAAGAAAGCTGTAAAAGAGATTGAATTGAAACAAAGGAAACTAATGAGTATTATCATTAATCTTTTAAAATAAGATTGCAACAGACTTGTATGCGGCAGTCGTTATAGATTGACATCAATCAGGGTATCCTAGAAAAAAATAAAGTACTAACAAGACGTTTAGTCCTAATACGAGATTCTTCAGGTTTCATCAGCTAGAACCCAATGATTTGCATTCCCCGTCAGTTATTTTTACGCAACGTAGAACCTAACATACATGTGCATCGATTAAAGTCGGCACACTAAGTATAGAGATGCCAGAGTAGTAGAAGTATTGATAGTGATAGCAGAAAATATCATTTGCGAAAATATATATTTGTCCAATAAAACAATCCTAGTATAATTTAGAAACTTAACATCTAAGAGATGATAAATGGCCGATTCGCAGCGATGTCATTCAATGATTACGATAATCGTACCGTCCCTAACCAGGTAGTCTATATTTCCAACCTGAATCAACTTGTGAATTTTGTCTATATAATATTTTTTCGTAAACTAATATGTCATTTTACTATAATTCCTTTTCTGCTGCATAATTGTTCTTCCTTCTGATATCTAGTAGTTTAGGGTCACTGAGTTATCAGTTAGTTTTCAAGGAATAATTGGAACTTGAACACATTAAATGCTTATTCAAGCGGTCTACCACTATACACCTACACATACGTTCAATATGTCTTTAATACGGTTGAAGCTACCTTGAAATATCATTTTTCAAATTTGAGGTTTACATCGAAAGAGATGACTGAGCTATTAAAACATTTCGATAACGATTCGTCAACTAAAGATTAACCGATCAGGTAGTACTCTTAGTTCCTAAATGAAATGTGTGATTATAAATCGCATACACAAACCTGTAGGCATTTAAAGACTGAATTTCATTATTTACAGTCGTTGAATACTAAGAGTAAATATTACTGAATTTTACATTACACGGCTTTTATCTACAAAAAATGTATAACTCATGTTTTATGTGCAATGATGACTGAGAGAATTTCAAGTTAAACAGTCTGTAAAATAGTATAGATGGAATGATTTGAAAACGAAATTTTATTTCTCTAAAGCAAAGTGATACATTGAATCAATCATAAATAGCCAAATGATAAGTGTACGTAATTGGTCAAGATCTGGTTTTCATTTTAGAGGGATAAGACACATTACGTTGAGGTCGCTTAAGGGATATATATAAGACTATACATATGTGATTTAGTTTAACCAAATAATTTGGGCCAAAAAAAACTGTACTATATTACGGAATCAATAAGCATTCAGATGAGTATTTTAAAGTCACAGCGTGTTAATCATTGAAAAATACAATGACATCTATTGTTTGGATGCTGAAGAATTTCAGTGAGAATATTAAATAATTGATAGATGAAGTCAGAAATATGATCTGTCCTCAATTGAAAGATAACAATGTAAGGAACTAGAAAGTGAACTGAAGATTTAATTTTCATCGATTAATTAGTTAGGTTTTCGGACATATTGAAAAAGTCACAAACAAAAATATCTATACAATTATTTCAATAATGGAAAAGTACATTCAGCTAAATATCACTGAATATAATAATGATCGGTAAATCTGAAAGTGTTTTAAGAGGACAGAATATTTTCTCCATAAACATTTCGTAAAACATTATTTGGAGTTCAAATCAAGCAACATGAAGGAAATCTAGGTAAGGCTGAAAAATTAGTTGAGTTACTATAGAATTTCGAAGAGAAAAATCATCATGGAGAAATATATTATTAACAAAAAAAACATATATATTTCTTAATTAATCTATTTTTATACTGGTTGTTTGAATCTTCCCATTGACGTTTAGGACTACACACGATCAGTCGCTTATTGGCATGTGTACATCCTGTGTGGATTGCCTCAAGTCAAAAGCATTATAAGCAGAGATGGAGTGAACATCAAATCTACGATGCAGGCAAATAAGACGAAACGAGCTTTCTGGATTCTATTGCTTGCTAAAATCCGTCTCTTTATAATACTTCTTAGTTGTTTAGTTCACTGTATTATAAATAATTCTTTCATAATACTTGTCTTCTTGAATGATTAACTATGAACTTCCTGTTATCGAGGTCATTCGAAAAATTGTTCTACGTCGTTGGCACAGTATAGCTTCACTCAATTCTGATAGAGTGAAGGATAATTCAAAGATGAATAGATAATATGAATTTATTTGTCAAAGTAAAAACATCTAGCAAAACTATATAAAAAATTCAATTTATAGGGAAAACACTTACATGATTTCGTTGAGGTTGAGGAGTAGCATAAATAATACTCAAATTATTATTATTAATAGTAGTGGTATTTATGGCATTACTATTAACAATAACATCAGTGGGTGGAGAAGAGGGGAAAACACCGATTATTGATGTGTTTGACTGTTGGTCAGTTGATTTAACATGAAAGTCTGCAACAGAGAAAGAGAAACGAACTGTAAGTTACTTAATCATTGTAAATATTTTTATAGAAGGTGTATATTTAAAAAAAAAGCATATCATGTTTAACTTCTAATCGTATGTTAAAAAAGTCCGACTTTATCGGATATCCGTACATGTTAGATGTTAGGTAAAAGTGAATTGACAAGAAAATTAAAAGGGAAGCACAAGAAAGAAGCTTTATTCCAGCTAAAATATCAACTACTTAATGAACCAGTACGCTTCTAACTACCGCCAATTGGAGTTATGAATTTACATGTATAAATAAAAGTAAGTATATGGGAAGAACTAAGAAAGAAAGATTTCAAGATCAACTTTGTCTAAAACGAAGCATTTGATGGAGAATAAACTTGAGGTATATATATTACAAACAAATAATGAACACTGAATCAACTTTAGAAAAGCGTTTCAGATTAACGGAAGGACATTAGGCCTCTTAGCAATGGCCTACCTTCCCAATCACTTACAGAGCAAAACAAAAGAGGTTCAACTCGTCATATATCGATATCGGTCGCGGAAACCATTGAAAACCAGAGAGCAATCTATAGTTTATACGTTGTAGTATGGGAATTTCTGAGCAGTGAGTACTTGTGACCCATCCAGGGAACGAAAACAGAACCTATTTGTTAAAGCAACTGAACCAACACCCGACTTCTACTAATTCACGTGATCCAATGCTATCGGTGATAATTATTTCCCTGCCATGTTTGATCACCCCCAGTCATGACATTTCACTGGAAATTCGTTAACATCGTGAATTACGTTACAAGAGAGTTGAATGTAGTTTGGTTAGAGGGATTAAACGTTCACAACAAGAAGTACAGATCCTAGACTTGATCAACGGCAGGGTTGTGAATGTGCACTGTTGTGGAGTGGCGTACTATGATGGAACGACTGTTCTAGTGCATCATGGTTTTCAGTAGTACTCTAAATAAGATCAATTTATGGCGAAATAAATCTACCAATGAAAATTAATCTATCCAACACCCTTAAACCAAAAATAAAACATCATTAACGAGAAAAATAAAAGATTCCACTAGGAAATAAAAAGTAAACAAAAAAGACATAAACTTAAACCGAAGAAACATAAAAATTTAAAACGAAAAAGAAATGAATGAAGAGTTCTTACGGTTAGATTAAAGAGAAGAATTTCTAGAATATTCCTAATTCATAGGAAAATAGAATGAGAAAGAGAGAATTAAACAAGTTAACAACATAGAAAAAAAACAAACAACCAAACAAGTACAAATCTTCCGTGAATGACTCATTTTAAAATAAGACACATAAATTAGCATAGAAACCATAATGAGAATGAGGATAAAATAACAAACTATTGAGTTTATTGTCATTTTTGTACAATCGTTTTCCTTTAAACAAACAAACAAAATAATTGGATGATGATATGTACGCGTACTCGTGTGTGTGTGTGTGTGTGTGTATTTGCGAGTACACGTCTACAAACACCCAATGAAGATATGAAATCAGCAAAATCACAGATAGAATTAAGATAACATTGAATTAGAGATTAGGTTTCCTAAAGGAACTCTATTTAATGTGGATATTTACCTACCACCAATAAACAAGCAAACGAAAACGAAACTCATTATATACTGTTATTTTATCTTTCATACAGAAAAAATGTGCTCAATAGTTAGATGGGATTAAGAGTAACAATGTAACCAGACAAAATATATATATTTCATAATGCCAAAAAAATAGCGAAATAAAATAATAAAATTTTGACCCCCACCCCCCAAAAAAATGTAAAGTAATAAAGTGATAAGAGAAAAAGATAAAGAAAAAAATGGATAGGTAGTAAAAATAGATAAAAATACAAAAAATAATCAATATTGAAATGATGAAGATAATTTGTAGATTAGTTGGATGTTTTCTGTGATATGATTTCATAGGCAAATGGTCTAATTAAAAAGTTTTTATTCTCGTTCTGGATAAGATCGTCAGTGCTGATTCTACATAGAAGTGTGTGTCTGACACTGACTACTAGGTTGTAAGGTACGAAAATGAAAGCTCCATAATTAAGCGGTCTAGTTTAAAGAACACATTATTAATAAAGTAATGGACATTGTGATTAGTAGTTGTTTTTGAAGATTTGTATGAAACAATAGGTGTGAATAACTGCAGTCGATAGTACGGATTACTGGATACTAGCTCAATGTGACTGGGTTAACATGTGACATGAATGTGCTTGAGTTCTACTGCAAAAACATTTCCGTGTACATGATTTTGAACCACAGTTAGTGTGTGAAGGGGTAATGAAAATAATGACTAACCAAATCTAAGCAGGTGGAGCAAAACCCAAAAGTAGGACCTGGTAGTTAAAAGCCGAAAGTTTTAACCACTAAACCATGGGTTAAGTGGTCGTAAACTATGATAAAACAGTAGTCATTTTTTGATGAAAACGAATTTTAAAATGAGAACTAACATTTACGATAAATGAAAGATGATACAAGTAAACAGGGAATTTAAGATGTAACCCTTGTATAAAGAATAATCAAAGATATCATGTTAAACAAACCTAGATAATTCCCCAAAAGTCTTGAAAGGTTGGGGAAATGTTGAAAATACTTTGGCCAATCCATGTTGCTTGGAAATCTCTAAGAAAATTCTAGAAGACGGGGGATTGTATTGCTAAGGTCACATAAAATACTACAAATGCCCTTGTTTTCTGTATACAAGTTAGTCTTTGAAGCAACGCTTCTCACACACCTCATGCTCATTTTTTCTGTTTAGGGTTCAATGGTGCAAGATTTCAGTGAACAAGAAAGCGGTTAGGAAGTTGGGGTCTTAGTGTTTAAAGCAAATTTATCAGATTGTAGTCAGGAATTTGAATATCACTGTTAAGTATAGTTTTATCAATGTTGCTTTAAAATGTCCTCTTTATATCAGGATTAATGATACTAATTGGTTGCCCAAACTGAAGTTAATGGAGCTGAATGTGAACCTGACACCTAATGATTGAAAGATAAATCCTTAAACCATCAAGCTATGGTTCTAGGAGTACTAAAGAAAGAAATAGACGATGATTATTTTCACGTTTGAGGTGCTGTTAACAATGTGTGATCAGGTATCTGCTTAATGCATAAAACATTTATCTAGTATGAATTTTTCACTGAAAGACACTATTAAATGTAGTCTAAAATGCGTGTTACTAAGCTCTCAACTATTTCTTGAAACTTAATACAATAAATCTATGACCAAAAGCACATTTATTTACGATAACATTATCTTGATCAGTAAACAAACTAATTTTAAGTAAAAAAAAACATGCAAACAATGTGACAATTTTTAGATGAGTATACTACTTAATGATCTATATATTAAGCCGACAGACGTATGTTTGTATGTTTAAAAATTTGGCGTAGTACACGTGACGACGACAACAACATACAGAATAAAAGTATAATATTTCGAAGCGAAAGAAAAAACAAGCCAGTAGCTAAGCGGATGACAGAATAGTATTTGAGGCGAACAGTACTGGGTTCGAGTACAAGAGTGGACATCGAATTTGCGATGCAGCCACATTCAACTGGTGAGTCCCAAGAAGCACGAAATGCGCGTCCTGAATTCAACAGCTAGCGACCATCCAAATCGTCATAGCAACAACAACAACTTAATTTCCTAAAGTGATTCAATTCAGATTGTCATCATAACAAACATGATAACAATCATCCATGTGATATTTCGAACTGGCTATCTTCGCTATGATTTATAACACACGCCAGTTACAATAATAGATTGTAATGAAGTATTATCGTTTAATTCAACTGTCAGACTTAACAACTGACGTCTTCAGACTTAAGAAACCTTCTCCCGATTCAACTTAACTTCAAGGTGACATGAGGAAAAATCCTATTGTGTGGTTTAAGATCTATGTGAGTAGCCATCTTTTGATATTTCTGTGAAGGATCTTAAATCCACTGAACGTACTCCTACTACTTCGTTGTCTTTTTAATGGAAAATCTGAAAGTTGTGTTTTTGTTCTCCAAGATTATCCCAGGTTGAATGCCCTTCATTCTTGTAACAACCAAATATGCTCTCCTACTGTTGATTCGTTACTTTCCTAAATATATGCTAATTTTTTATTCCACTTTTAAGGACATAATCGTTGTTTGCTTGAATCAATCTTCCATAGTTTCCCTTATTAAATTTCACCAGGCAGATATTTTTATACTTTTGGATTGAAAAAGACCACCAGGAAGGGGATAAATGGTTGTTGTATACAGTGTAGTAGGAGATGAAAACTAAGCTAATCTCATCATATGGACAAGTAATATGGATTTTGTGAAATACTTTGCAAACTTCTTACATTACATTATCCTAAGCGTTTAGTATTAGCTTCGTATACAAGTTTATGTATGAAAGAATTTAGAAAAAGAATACATAAACTTACCATTTATATACTGATGATTAGCTATGTTCCCACGATAACGCTGAAAACAGAAAATCAATTCAGCGGAAAAGTGAAATAAATAATCCGTTAAACAATAATAAAAATGACAACAAAAGAATTACTTAAAAACAAAACTAACTGGATATATTAAATTGTAAGAAACATGAGAAATGATAATACTGGAGAATTAGTGTAATAGGTTACAGAGATTCGGTTCCAACTATTAGGCTTCGAATGCAGACGCAAATTTGAGCAGTTGGTTGTTGCTCCAGTTATCACATAAATATTGACCCAGTAGCAGGTACAAAAATTAAGTGTGATTCAGTAATGAGGCTCAAAAGTCTAAGCAATCGACCTGAAATCATATCTTTTATGTGAGGCTTGATGAAGCTAACAGGGTATTTATACAAAATTGAATGGAATTAAGTTTGAACCGGTGACCTAATATTTAAAAGTTTGTGTGCATTAATTAACAGTCTTTTAAATTCATGAAAGTATGAATCGGTAATTAGTCATCAGCTATCAAGATAACCAAATGTTGAGTGATTCAGGAAGTATTACTGTTTAACACTACGATACTTCTAAATGTATTTCCTTTATAATCGATAGCAGCCAAGCGTATTTTGATTAAGGGCATGATTATATCTCACACAATATCTTGAATTCAAAGTAGTTGATTATTAGCTAACCGAGTTGCAACATGTCTAGAACTCCAACAAGAGAGTTGCGATGTATCGACAGATAACAGTTCTTTACAGCTTTTGTGTACCTAAGCACCATGTCATAAAATAACCATATCCGTTTTCCCTAACCAGTTCCAGAGTTGACAAATGATGCATGATGTGGGAGTCACTAAGTGAATTATCGTCACCGCACCTGAACATACACTGTCAGATTTTGAAATTATCAATATAGTTTACAACTGGATCTGATAACTTTTTCAAAGATAATAAAAATGAAATATGGAAACATTGACAACCCTCAGATGTGATGGGACAAATTTAATGAAGATAGATAAAAACTATATTCATTGATGAGTTTCTAAACTCTAAACTATTATAACTAAACTATCATCACGACAACGCCAAAAATAACCTAGATTAGGATATACAGTTTTGGTTTTGACTATTACGTGGATCAATGTTATCAGTCAAACCAAAAATTAGCACATACTTACAAAACGATCATCCATATACACAAACATAAAGATACAATTATTCATTCGAATGAATTAGAATTTTTCTGATCATTTTTATGTTATGTTACAAATAAATAAAAAAAAATTAGAAACGTGCATGATATTAACCAAAGCATTAGGCTTAGTTACAGTAATTGAACAAATAAACACCTTATCAAAAAAAGAATAGGATAACATTTACATAGACTAATAAAGCTTTTAGTACAAAAAAACAACACCAGAAAACACTAAATATATATGCCAGTAGATACAGGGAAAAAGCCAATTGAAATGAACTAGATAAGAGACAATAAGTGATCAGGAAACACAAATATGTTATAACGTTACAATTGTACTACAGAAAGGATATATCAACCGACATTCCCCCCCCCAAAATTATACATTAAAAACTGATAAGCATATATCCTTTTTTTCTATTGCTAAATAACTGCCTACTAAATTATCATTGAACATTGATGAAAGTACATTAAACCAACAACAACAAAAATTATATAAAAACATGAATAAATATAAACAAGACAAAAATGAAATGTGAATGTGTGAATGTTGATTATTTAATGTATTCATATTTTTAGAACTTGAAAAATATAGTAAAAATGGAAAGTAGCTAGTAGTAGAATCTAGGATGAGCATTTCGTCCTATTCTGAGACTCGTCAGATGGATGTGTTTCAGAGTTTGATGTTCACTTTGAGAAGATATAAGTAAACAATACCAAGTGAATTTATGTTCTATGTAGTGAAATGTTTAAAAGAATATTATACAAAGAACTTTATTTATGTAAGTCCAACAGTTTCATTTATATCTGGATTCTTTATATGATCATTAATGAGTTTACAAATGATTCTACTTTGATTTAAGTATAATTTATGTACAAATCCATTGGTCAGTATAGTATTATATGATAAAGATTCGAATACCCAAGACTGGTTAATATATAGTCAATATTAAAATAGTACTTATTATCTAGTGAAATTCTCTTTACACAATTTGCTTTACAATGTTTATTTTGAATATAAAACAAGAATGAATGGGTCCTTGTTGGATTTAAATCATCCAGCTTCGTGAGAAAATCCTAGGAGTTTTAGTGAGAAGCCGTGACCAGTGGAGCTAATCCGTGTCGGGTAGAGACAGGTATCTACCTCAGTACAATGGGAGATGGTCGCGCTAATTCGTAGATTATTTGAGGTTAGACATAAACACCATTGGATGCTGGTTCAGTGGTCCAGTGGGTTAAGCGTTTGCGCACGAGACTGAAGGCCCTGGGTTCGAGTCCCGCGAGCGGGATCGTGGATGCGCACTGCTGAGGAGTTCCACAATAGGACGAAACGGCCGTCCAGTGCTTCCAGGTTTTCAATGGCGGTCCAACATCAATCGGTTTATGATCTCAATTAAACACTATAAAGTACTTTAAGTGATAAATCTATTGGTTAGCATTATTTAAAATTTGACAAGTTGGTAAGTTTGGCATTCAATATTTGTAAAAACAAAAGTTGCTAATCATAATAAAAACATAAAAATTAACATACCTGTTCATTGAAATTCAATGAATTCATTTCAAGTAATTCAGTATCCAGTAATGATAACGGGGAGGTATACAAACCTGTAAATTATGTAGAGAAAAGAATAAATCATAGGATTATTTATGATAAATTGAAATGCTCAACATATTCACTACCATCAATATAAATGTTAATTATGACATCTTGTTGTGTTAATCTAGTATGACAACTTGCACCAACACGTATCTGTGTCGGGATCAATGTTAATTATGTCTGTCTGTCTATTAATCAATCAAAACATATGCATAATGAAGAAATACAATTATTGAATAGCCACAGTTGCGAATAAGTGCACATTTAAAAACATATCACTCCTTTTCTTGGTTACCCAAGGCCAAAGCTCTATTCAAGGACAATGAAAGCTTAAAGTCTTATCCATCAGCGTTAATCAAACAACTTATAACAAGGTTCAAGGTACGCCTACAGTAAATCCAATTGATATCGGCTTAATCTACGACATATATAGCACCAGACATACACAATGCTTGTGAATTCTGAGCAATATTTCTTCGGCATTACTCACAGGCTAGCAAAGATATTTGAGATCTACTGTAGCCAAGCCAAGAAATCCATTATTCTTTGTATAAATTAAATCAAACATGGATAAATGAAGTACAAAAGCTACTTATTACACAGATATATTTTGAAATGATAAGGGAGATCAGTAGATCAGATAGATATTATCAGTACTGTTGAGTTCTCTGAGCTAGATTATTCAATTGCGGAACTACATGTATACGTGATCACTAACGATGTTGATCAAAACAACAATCAATGAAAGCTCCATAACTGAACCATTAAAATCAGAGAATTCAATAACATTAGACACATATATTCATAATACATAAATGACTGAGGCAAACGTGTTTAATTGAACTATGAACTGTACAATAAATTATTGCCACATTACAATATTTTAAATTCCAATGGTTAAGATCATGAGTCAGTTGAAGCTAGACCACCATGGAAAACCTGGAAGCAATGGACGGCCGTTTCGTCCTATTGTGGGACTCCTCAGCAGTGATCTTAACCATTGAAATTACTAAAATCTCCAAAAAAAACCCATCTGATATTAATATTTTAAATGTTTTTAATTAACTAAAGCTATTTTTCTTCATTTCAATCCAAGCGATCAATATAATCCATTTGAAAATAAGGGGGATAAAACAGTTTCCTGTACAACACTCACAACAAGTAACATCTTTTACTGTTTATTGTATTATCATTAAAAAAGTATGACATAATCTTGAAGCCAAACATGAAATAGAAACAAAAATTTAGGTAACTATTTATAAAAAATAAAGTGGTACTATGCCTGTCAATCTTTATGTAAAACACTTTATATACAATTAAACACATTGTAAATGTGACTAATCAGATGTAATTTATGATTGAGATTCAGTATAATAGAAGTGATAGTAGAATTGTGAAAATTACATTTATTGATTATTTCAGTATCCCCTGGTATGTAATTCTATTATGTAATTTATTCAATTTTGACAGTTGTTCAGTATGATATTCATTTATGCAATCATGAATTAAATTCAATTAAATAACCATTGAAAAGTGAATCTGTATGTAAGATATAAAGAGGTATCTTTCCGAAAAAAAATATTGTTCTAAGTAAAAAAAACTGGCTTTTCTATTATGATATTCCACATTTTAATGAAACACAATGGTTCTAGGTGAAGTGAACAGAACACGGGTGAGGACAACCGAATTATATTTAGCACACCATTACAGAGTTACTTGGTAAAATAGAAAAACCATACTATAATACTTAATTTGCAAAATGTTCAATAATTGTCTCGAACTTCGTTATTCCTGCATTTTCACAGTAATTGCTTTCTATTCTCGCTCTTCCTTTCTTGATCTTCCCCATCTTCCGCTGCCAGACATTACATTCCTGACTCGCGTCATATACTACTTATATCAATATAAGTAGCACGCACCACATAGGGAGCTGGAGTTAAATTTACTGTCGGCTTGGATATCATGAGTGAAAATCTGTATCTAATTATCGTACAAAATTCACTTGATCATATCGGTGACAAGAATTGTATTTAAAGAGATAGACTGAGGATGTATTTTATTTTATCGGTTGCATTCATTTCACTGTTTCGTCGGTTCTTCAACAATTTTTTAAAAAAAATTCACATATTTCTCATATGATGGAGAAAATTCGTAGTTCAGGTGGATAATTTAGGTGGCATTGAGCTCTCTGAGATAGATGGCTGAATCCCGAAGCTTTCATTATCATTCTCAATAAGATCATTGAGATGAACCAAAACAGCACTTGTGGAGTAAATAGGAAGACCACTTCTATATTAAGTAGGAGTTCAAGATCTTGTTCATGATGACAATAAAAGCTTCATCAAATTCGGAAAAATGAATACCACCAAAAATACATATTTATTTAACTGGTTTTGACACATGTTGCTTCATTGGTAAATAATATAACTACAAAACTATTCAAAATGAAGTGTGGAGTGAAGTTTGAAAGTACAAACCTATAACCACATATATATTGATTAAACCATTGAAAAAAAGTAAGGATACCGACTATTTACACAAAACACACAGCCGTCAATGAAACATACTAACTAAATGTAAACAATATAAAATCGTTGCAATTGGTGCATTAGTGAAAACTTCAAATATATGATAATCTACAACGGAATTCAACTGGAATGAATAACAAATGTAAAATAAACAATTTTACATAATACTGATATACGTCGCCAGATAAGAAGTACTATATGGCCCGAATAGTACAGTGATAACGTCTTTGAAGTTAAAGGTAGGCAAAACGAAAAGAAATCTGTCAAGAAGTAAGTGTTACCACAGGAGTATACGTACGTCTTGCTGACGAGTGCTAAACAGCACGAAACTCAGGTCTAAGATTTACTGTCGACTAGCTTCAACTATCAACTTATGTTATAAATATCTAGCAAAGTGATTAAATGGATGAATATAGACATAAAAGTTAGGAACGGGTAGTGGCGTTGACTGATGCAAGGTCAAAAGCTAAGTGTAGCATCAGTTCCTGTATTATTGCCGGTACGCGTAGCTAATGAATGTGAACTAACATGCAACACAAATTTATAGCTTTCCGAAGATGGTACGCAATAACTGAGTTACGAGTGACCCAACTGTTTAGTACATTAGGATCTAATTGAAACTCAAATAGTGAATAATTACATTCACATCGACTGATTTAGGCTGAATGTGAATCTCTATTTATTCCAGACACCACTTGACCTCAGAATTGTTTTGATTGATGTCTGGTCAACATTTTCGACATATTCCTTACTTAGACGAACAATTTAAAAATATCACAATTATCAACCTCATAACTCTAAAATATGCGATTAATATTTGTTCTTGTATAGAACGAGTACATCTCGTGATATTTACTGTTTTAATGACTTTTCTGTTGCAAAGAAACATGTTCACAATTCACATCATTGTGGATAGATAAATATCCAACATTTTACTCAATTTCCATTCAGTCGATTCACTCACACCACATTGGCAATCACACAATATACTTTAACTATGGAAAGTCAAACGAACATTCAAGTGACTAACGTTTACGGAAGATGATTGTTTGGAGTTGTCGTACAATCAGTAACGTACAATTAGTAACTTCTCATCATGAACTGACATTACCTGAAAAGCGGTTGGAAATGATTATGAGTTGGAAAACTGTGTCACTTTTGTTTGAGACATTTCTCAACAGTATACGACCACTGATCCACATTATATCAGATCGAGAGTATTTGAGTTTCACGATGAACACAAGATTACATTTAGCCAGTAAACTGGTGTTCAGTAGAAGAGATATTCAAAATTATTGTACTTGGTATGCATTGTGATCTTTACAACATATCATCTGTTTGTCATGAATTCAATTAAGCAAGTAGATGATGAGAACATATGATCGATCCCCACATTGGAAGCAACCTCTGTTTACTGTTATTGTGACAGGAGTTTTTTTATTGGACTTCAGTTGGTGTTGAAAATTCCATTTAACTACTTAAGTATTAGGTAGTAGCTAAATGAGTAACGAATTCCCCCGTTTGAATCGTGAGGCATTGGGTTCGAGTCACAGAGTGAGTTACAGCACTGGGATGCAAGTACATCCAATCTAAGGGATCCTAAATAATAGAAAATGCATGTTCTGTATTCCACTCATAACAACTACCTAACTTTGCTAAAAATTTCAAAGATACGTTAAACTGAGATTTTTTTTGGAAAAAGATGGCGCCATTTAACCCAACTTCGATGAAGACTTTAATAGGTATATTGAATCATTCCATCTTATTATTGAATAATGAGTTAATTTTGAATGCATTTTGCCTGGAAATTCATAGGTCATATACACAAATTGGCGGTGAGACAATCAATCATTATGGAAAAACGATTTGTAAAATAAAAGCTGAAACTTGATATATTGTATGATCAAATGATTGAATGAAAAAACATGATTCATATGATTAGTCGTTTTCTAATGATGGAGAAGAATACTAATTAATCAGTTGTATTCATAAAACTAGAAAACTAAACTCCTATCCATATACAGTAGGTTTACATTAGTGAAAAAATTGTTATTTCAGTAATCAGAATAGAATATAGTGAAAACATTTCTAATTGTGATATAATGAGCAGGAAACTTAATCTGTTAATCAAGTGCTTATGTTATAAGCTGTTGTGTGACTTCTAAAAATCTATTTCCTATTCCTGTTGAATACGGTAACTCGTTTACCAAGTACATATTCCTATACTCATGTTTAAGCCATAACTTGAGCGTGGTTAGTTAAACTAACCGACTGCCTGAATTTAAATGAGTTCCGAACCGATGATTTAATGGATGAAATTCCAAAAACTAATCTACCACTATATACAAGTGTCGTTTTGTTGGATAAATGGATCATCTAAACTATTCTTGTTCATAATCGCTTTCAAATATTTTTCCATTTCCACCATTCATCCTCATCTTCTGTTCTCAACTCCTTCCAAATATACCACCAGTATTAACTACTCAAGCTCATGAAATGATCCCCAAGGTCACGTGATACCACTCTCAAAGAAAAATATTTAAACCTCAAACATTAGAAATCCGGTAACAGGTTTCCCTGGCTAAGACTAGAATATCGTGACATCGATGCAAAATATCTCTGGAACGCATATTAAAGAATAGTTCCTTGTAGAGTTTGAATCCCACCTCACATATAATTCTACAGTTCGGATCAAGTTTAAATTCACACATCGAGATGGCAAATTAGTCGGAAGCCATGGTAAAGCTTCAAACATTCGTATTTAACTACACTGACGTATAAATGATCATAAATATAACAAGCTGGATCTCCTGTTCCTAGAGGAATGTAAAGTTTTCAATTCACGTAGGAGTGAAAATTTACGTCGACAAAGTTATAAAATAGAGGACTAGTCATGAGACTGAACATACTCTCTGTCCAACCGATTGATTAAGGAGCACAGGATATCGGAAGATAATGTACTGACATAAAATACAAACGATATGAAGGTTTTAGAACAATCAAATGTCATTTTTGTACAATCTATAAATATGTGTCCATTCGTTGATATGTTGGATGATGATGAGTTGATAAAACCAAGTGACCTCAAGGGAGGAGATTGCAGAAATTCCATAGTTAAAATCACGAATCGATCTTGGCCAGATTACTATTGGTCGCCATATCATCACAGTGAGGGGTTCCTCAAAAATTCCCTATTCATGACTCTGACATCCGGTAATGAAGAACAGGACCTTCGGTCACAAATGCAAACGCTTAAACTACAAACCAATGACTAAAAATCCAACGCTGTTAATGTCCAACTTCAACCAATTCAAGGTATTGCAATAAAATCCAATATATCAATACACAGTAACCCTGTCAAATTTGTGGATATGGAAACTGATGATCGTATAACTCCTTTTTGTTGACAGATACACATTATAAAGAATTAAACTAATCGCCTTTATGACAAGAGAAAAAAAGAGTCATGAATTAATGTGAATTAAGTGCACTTTACATTATGTCTTCCACTTTAATCACGCCAGACAAACATTGCAACACTATGTAATTGTGGTATTGTGATTTCTTTAAAACCATAGTACCATAAATCAAATATGAAGTTAATGACATTTGTCAGCTCTAAATCATTGATTGTTGTTGTATGATACCCTTTGATGTATTATTCAATACTGAACAAATCACATTGTCATAGTAATTAACTTTAAATAGTCTATTTTATAGACATAAAAAAAAGAAATGTATCATTTAGTTACACGAAATCACAGAGTATAGAACTTTTTAGGTGCAAATACATTCATAAACACAAACAGTTGATTAAATGTTTAATGATTTATATTCAACTGCATTGTTTGAATGAATAACCAAGAGAAAAGATTTAAATAATTTATTGGTTGATCAACTGATTGATTGTATATTGAATATTAAAAATATTGAGAATTGAACAAACTACGCTTACAGAAGAAGTTATTACTTAAAAACTTACTTACTGATGGCAGTTACTCTCAATGGGGCATAGACCGCCGATCAGCACTCTCCAACCAACTCTGTCTAGGGCCTTCCTTTCTAGTTTTATCCAATTTTTGTTCATTCTTCTCATGTTTATCTTCATTTCTCGGCGTAATGTGTTCTTTGGTCTTCCACTCCTCCTTTGGCTTTAAAGACTCCATGTGAGGGCTTGCATTATGACACAGTTGAGTGCCTTCCTCAATGTGTGTCCTACTTACTAGAAGCGCTTTTTTCTGACTTTTTGCTACACTGGGATCTAGTTTGTTCTCTCCCACAGTAGGATCCGAAGTATTTTGCGTAGACAACTGTTAATAAACAGTTGTATCTTCTGGATGACATCTTTCGTAGTTCTCCAAGTTTCCGTCCAATACAGTAGAACTGTGTCGACGTTTATATTGAAAATTCTGACATTAGAGTTGATTGACAGTTGCTTAGAGTTCCAGATGTTCTTCAGTTGTAAATATGCTGCTCTTGCTTTGCCGATCCACTCATTCACATGTACATCAGATTCACTGTGATTATCAATGATGCTGCCCAGATATGTAAAGGTTTTTACATCCTCCGAAGCTTCTCCATCAAGTATGATTCGACTGGTGCATGCTGCGTTGTATCTTAGAATCTTGATTTTCCCTTTGTGTATGTTGAGACCTACTGTTGCTGAGGCTGCTGCCATACTGGTCGTCTTCGCCTGCATTTGTTGTTGCGTGTGCAATAGAAGAGCCAGACCATCACTTCAATCTTAATCAAAACCGCATCGATAATGTCAACTATGAATCTTGACGATAAGAGAGTCGGGATATTTACGTCGTATAATGATTACATCACAGTTCGACTAAAACGAAACAGTGTCACAATTGATGGTGAAACCGTATGTTACTAACACTAAATGTGATTCGTCATTCAAATGCTAGTTTGTATGTGTGATCTTGGTGTGCAAAATAAAGTGATAGTTACAGTAGGATTATCTCTTCATCTAAAGGTGAAGTTTATGCAAAAGAACTGAAACCCGTAACATAGTGAAGGTGAATCGAGGACTCTGAGCATTACTAATTACAAAATTCATGAAACAAATAAATTGGTAAGTAAACTTGAAATTAAGTTAAGGATAACAATAAATTTCCAAAAACAAATGATACAAGATGTTTAGCTGATGACCAGTAACACAATAGTGAATTATAAAATGTAATACACAGAGAACTTACCACCACGTTGAACAAGTAATCTTGCTTCTTTACCAACTGGACATTGTTTCAATATTTGAACTACTTCCACATGTGGCATATCTTTTACACGTTGATCATTAATTTCTACAATGACATCACCAACACGTAAGCGACCACATCTTACTGGATCTGAGATAGCTTTCACATGTTGACCTTGGATATGATCAGCTAAAGTAAAGCCGAAACCATTGGTTTGTTTAAAAATCGACACCTAAACAGATATAGAAAAAAATTACATATTAAAATTAAATTTTATCATTTAAAGATTGAAACTACACAAAAACTGATCACAACACGGCTCCAGTGTAACAATAAAAATCACGTTCATGCAGGGGATAGGTGGGCATTTATGACAAACGTCTCACCCACCATAGTCTATGATAACTTACATTTCCATCAATTCATTCGCCATTTCAACTCAATCCTCTACGTTTAAACATAGACCGCCTACTTGATTATTCCACCACAAAAATGAGTAGCGCTTTGAAGATATATACTAAGGGATTTTTACGTTGTTAATGAATAAAACTTAATAATAAATAAATAACGGTATTCGATTTATCAAAACCAAATCGTACTTATATGATCACAACTTTACCTAATACTGAACAAGTTATATTCGGATAGAGAATACAATGTGATTTTTACGCTGTCATAATTTATATGAGGGATCATTTACATCCCAAATATCTGATTTGCATTTCTATCACTTTGTATCACAAACAGGAGTAGTTATCAATTAGGTAATTGGGCATGGAAGAAAAGCTTTCGGTGAGAAAAACTTACTCAAACATGGCGGTCACTGCTAGGAAACAACGGTCTAAGCACATTTTACAGATCGAACTGTGCAATGTAATCATACCAAATTGAGATCATTACATTCAGAGATACTAGAATATGTCCACTAAGAAAAGTTACATATATTATTATGTAAACCGTACATGGTAGTGGTTGGTCAGTAATGACATCCTGAATAAGCGAGTGGTAAAAATGCTGAATAAAAACTTTGATGATACAACTTCCAAACTTCAAAGAAACACAATTTATTTCGACGTTTCAGACATGTTTTGTTGATGATGAATTCCAACAAATGTGAAGCCTTCTAGCTTTTTTTTAATTCGAACACCAAAAAACTACCATGGACAGAAAAATCTATATGAAAAATTTATGGATTTTCAAATTTTTGTTTGGAGCTTGCTATGTTTGAAAAAATTACGAGTTCACCTAAATCTGAGAACGGAACGAAGACTCATTGACATAATAACCAAATAAGTTAACTATCCCGATGCGTCCCAACCCCGCTACCTAGAGAGAGAAGTCCAGATTCAGAAGAGGGAAATGTATTTCACAAGCAGCCAGAAGCACGAGTAACAACCATAAGCACAATTCAAGCGTACATATACGGCATAAAATGTCTTTGAGAAACGTTACAAAATAGCTGATTTAAAGAAACAACGAGGCAATGGCATTTACGGTTTTCCCAAGTGGAAAATGAGATGTGAAAGTGAAAATGGACGTTTTCGGCGTGAAAACAAGAAATTCAAATTTCCAAAATAAAATCACAAAAATAAGTTATTTACCAAGTGAGTTTTGAGAATCTAGCATCCATATAAGAGCTTGATTTGTATTGTGAAAATATCCACTTAAATGTTCAGAAAAGATTTTATTCACTTTTTCAATGTTTACAATTAAAGAAAAACACATCTATCAGTATAAGGAGACTGTTGAGATTTGATTGTGATCGTGGATCGATCAATGTTAGACAACCATTGAAACACATAGAAGCACTCAAAAGCCATTTCATCCTAGCACTAGACATAGGATCTTTAAGTGTCCCAACGAGAACTTAACCCTTCACACCTCTTCAGTCAGTCACAATGTAGAACCTGTACGTATTTACATCAGCCGTTTCATACTAAGATGAAGCAACCTTCCAGTGCTTCGAAGTTTTAAATGGTGATCTAACATTGGTCGATTCATAATCTCAATCAAAAGTATATCTTTTGAAAAATCCGATGAACTATTTCGTAGCTCATAGAAAGCCATATATATATATATATATATAATTCACGATGTGAATTAATTTAGAAAATTCAAGTTCAATTATCTAAAGGAAAACATTCAATAAAACCAATTTTGAGAAAGATGAATGAAATGTAAACGAAAAAGTTATATGCTTAATCTATTTTTCCTAATTAATTTTCTATTTCATTCGTTAATAACTATAAATTTATAGGTCAAGTGGAATTATACATTTTCAGGATAATTCGAGTAAACATTAGTTCATACTAGTTTAAGTGAAGATCGAAAGAAGTACCATATATGCATGGTTGTGTATATGCATGTATGCCTTGTAGAAGCAATATTATACAATAAATTACTGAACGTACTACTTATAAGAAGAAAACAATTATTAAAAAGGCAGTTATATGGAGATCACTTCAACTTGAAATCTACTATAACAAAAACTGATTTTAACTAGAGAGCGACTGAAAATCAGGAGGCATAAGATAACTACTTTATCCTAATATGAGACTCTCCAACGTACTAAAAGTCAAATCAAAAACAAAGAAGCCTCGTGGGGAGAAAGTGAGCTACACTTTAGACTAGTGAGTTCGGAAATTCGCCAAGTTAACATATCGAATTTTATTCAATTCATGGTACTGAGCTACCAACATCACTCGAGGCATTCAGTGATGCATGTCCTATTCTCGATATAGTTGAAATCAATGGTTTTCCAAGTGATATCGATTCGAGACTTTAAATCAAAATAAAACAACTCCAAAAGTAAACCACCATGAAAATATTAACATTTCAATATTATTGTAAACGTGGTAAGATACGAAGTCGTGAAGTTTAGATGTAAAAATCAATATTTATATTGATCAAATTGGATGGTCATTTGCCAACAACTCTTATTTGCTTAGTTTGCTCTAATTTATCGATATTGGAAAACGCCTGGAGACCCCTCTGGAGTTACTGTCGACCCCGATCTGGGGTAAAAGAGGAAGGTTAGGCATAGGGTTAGCCACCCCATACCGTATCTTATGATATCAATCAGATTTAGGGTAGTTGTCTTCAGACACTTGATATGAACTATATTGTCGTGTAACAAATGTGACACAGTTTAAATAAACTGATAGGTATCTGTGTGTTAATAATGTAAAGTAACATGAGATGATAAACTTTTTCTGACTGAAAAATTTGCACCCAATCAAATCGAATTATTAGTGATGCACTAGATAATGGGTACTATTGATAAGCAGTCGTATTTAAAGAGATTTAAAAATTATCAACAAAATGTTACCCAACAGCTTCGTTTGGTTAAAAGTGAACACAAAATTAATGTAGATGTTGTGTGAAGTTAAAAATCTATTGATACTCATGTGTAAAAGAATTCCAACAGTCATACAGATAGATTTTTATATAGGATATATTTTGATTTGAAGATCAAAAAAGTGATCGTAAGCTGCAAAAAACCCATGAACCGCAAAAATATATCAAAAGTAATTCAGGTTTATCACTCTTGAGTAAATAATTTACTACTTGGTGTAACTGTGCATTTATTGATTAGAAAGAGACATAGATGCCTCAAGGTCATTGAAGCTCAATAGTATTTGTACTATGTTTGACAGTAATGGTAAGTATAATCCTATTTTTTAATACCATTACTAAGATGCCGCATAGACTTGATAAGTTTCAAGAATCCATAAACATTTATTTCATAAAGAGATAGAAACTTAACTGATATTAGAAATCAGTTAATGGATCATTGAGAATTACGAGGCACTCAAAAAGCCATTTGTTCCTAGCACTAGACAAAGGGTCTTTAAGTATCCTAACGAGAACTTAACCTATCACACCTCTTCAGTCAGTCACAACGTAGAACCTGTATGTATGTACATCGGTTCAAGTTGACAGACAACTTAAGAAAAATTCATTTAGAAATTTAAGCATTTCATTAGAATTGTAAAGGATAAATTTCCCAGATGTTTTATATCTTAACAAGAACAATTGACATAATGAGTTTCCAGTCGGCTTACGGTGAAATACATTTATAAACGATTGAGGGTTATTCCAATATGAGGTAGAAGAGAGTAACTCAAATAAACCGGATGTCTATCACGTGATAACAATTCAGTTCTACTAATCCACCAGTTAACAGAGAAGACAACACTTACACGATAACTGTTTCTTCCGAAAAGAAGTCATGTTTCAAGAGGAACATCTCTGTCTATTTAGTAAAAAACAATCATCTTGGGATACATAACAAACTTAGCAAATTAAAAGCGATAACAATCAATCGTGTAGCAACAGAAGTTCTTGTAAAAGTATGAATTAAGAAAAATATCATCGATGCTATCCTATTGGAAAAAGTACTAACATGAATAATATAATAGGACTGGAAAAATTGGTGTCTTGGCAAGATGAAAATGAACAATAATAACAACACTGATTCAAATATCAATTACCTTTAAAAATTCCGGTCTTTGTGAATTACGCAACTTTCCAACACAGCTACCACCATTTAAATTAGACGGACTAGAACGTACTGCAAGTAGCTCTTGAGATGAATTACCATTATTAGACGATGATGATGCTGATGGCGGTGGTGTTGGTGAAATCGAAGAATGTGAAGAGATTACACCAGAATTCCTTGATGAATTAACTAGATGTAACTCCGTCAATGGTAGATTATCTAACGTATCCTCACCAAGTTTCAGATTGTTTAGGTTATTCTACAGGTAAAGGGTGGGGGGCGAAAAGTAAATATTTGACAATACATGAAAAAGACAACAGTGATACTAAGACCAAAACACAATTGAATAGAAGGAAATGGTAAGAGATAGTTAGAAAGACAAACATCTGAATGACGATCAAGTTATAAAAGGCGAGTATATATACATAAATTCAGAAAACGCTCTGTGCAGTTAACAAACTGATTACTAGAGATCGAATTCTGTGGCTTCATTCGTAGAATAAAGCAGGGAAACACAGATAATAAAGCCAATTGTTAGCGGGACATAGACTAGATTAAGCATGCTCAAGGCATGATTGCTTTGGTGCACGCTGATTGGCTGATTCTTATCCAATCAGCACTAGTCGATAGTCGGAGAATATTCTGGAATCTTCTTATGTAAAAACTATAAATATACCGACGTTTTCCCCTATTGTACTTCCTACTGGCTTCTGACTTGCTATTTGGAATATAAGCTCTTTCCTGTTCAACCGTGTTTTGATTTGGGGACTTGTCGAGTGAATCGGTGTCCGAGAATACTAAGCAATAGGAATAGCTGGGTCATAACCGTAAGAAGAAAGAGATTATAACAGTGGCGACGGGGAAAAACTAAAGAAAAATGGCGATTTCTTTAGAACAGTTGCGGTTAATATTACAGCACCAGCAGAAGTTGTTAGCCTTGCAACAACAACTATTGAGCACACTTTTTACTCGACCAGAAAATAAGAAATCTGTTTATGATGCAGTAACAGACATTTCAGAAGCATATCTAGTGGAGGGTTCAAATCCCTTTATACCTGAATCAGAACGTAATATTTGTAACGTTTCCGGCTCACAGCAAGAAAATCCTGTGCTGAATGCTCATAAAGTTGTGGCAATACGAGATTATCAAGAGTCAGACCCTGTAGATGAAGCCCGGAGTCCAGAATTGAATGAAGCACTACTGGTCCTGTCTAGCTCTGAAAATAACTTTCAGCTAGAACAAATTTATGGTCCACGTGATATTAACCAAGAAAGCTATGGGGACTCGTATTCAGAAAATAACTGCAGTGACACAACGAACCCAATTATACCGAATGTTACTCAAAATCATTGTGAGACAGAAACTTATATTGAATCAGCTTATCCGATTTCTAATGACAATGTATCAGACATGGGTTCTCAGAACAATGCATGTTATTTCGATGAAATTTCTCATAAAAATCAGGAAAATATATCAGCTGAGTCAAATTATGGTCAAAAGTCTAATTTAATTTTGTTAGATGATGATTTCCGTAATGATCCGTTATCCACTGATGAAATTCCTAATGGATTTGAAAGTAATGCTTCTGAAGAATTAAACTTTGACCTCAAATCAAAGGTCGTTCATTATCATCTAGTCGTTTCTAGTGGATCCGACATTCAATGCGAGAAACATCGTTTAAATAAAGTCCTATTATTTGTAACTTGGAGATATAAGGATCCGACATTGTTTCGCGGAGGAGGAGAATGTTGGAGAATTAAAAGTTATGCATACTTTTTTTAAAAAAAAAAATCGAAACGCCGGGAACAGACACGTCAGTCTCTGTGCAAGAAAAAAGTGATAATTCTTTATTGCTTAGACGATGGACTAATCTAGAGCACAAGCCAGTCACTCAGTTGCAGTTGGACCCTAGCACCAGATCCTACGAATCTGCTCAGAGGGGAGGTGTTAGCGGGACATAGACTAGATTAAAGCATGCTCAAGGCATGATTGCTTTGGTGCACGCTGATTGGCTGATTCTTATCCAATCAGCACTAGTCGATAGTCGGAGAATATTCTGGAATCTTCTTATGTAAAAACTATAAATATACCGACGTTTTCCCCTATTGTACTTCCTACTGGCTTCTGACTTGCTATTTGGAATATAAGCTCTTTCCTGTTCAACCGTGTTTTGATTTGGGGACTTGTCGAGTGAATCGGTGTCCGAGAATACTAAGCAATAGGAATAGCTGGGTCATAACCGTAAGAAGAAAGAGATTATAACACCAATGATATGAAACAAAATGAGTTAGTCGATTGTGGTGCAGTCAGTCACACAGTGTGGAGAATGACACTTTGTATCACCTGCAAATAATAAATAAATTTTCAGTAAGAGGAATTTACTCTCACTTGTAATGGTCTCTCATATGGCCGTCAGTTTCAAACATTTTTCAAAGATATTTAATCCATGGCTTTTAAATGGCAGAGATATGTTGGTAAAAAGGAAGGGGGTGAAGAAAATGCCTAGGAATGAAAGCAGGCTGATAATTATAGTGTTGACTTTAAAAAGTTACACAAACTTCTTTTAGATTTATAATGAACAAAGAATCAATGAACCTGAAGCATCAAATGAAGTATGAACAGAGTTTCCTGACATCTTTAAACTGTTCCGAGAGTTAAACTTTCAGATTCGAGGGTGGTCCTCTCAAAAATTTCTTGGTGAATTACTTGTACACGGTCATACAGACTTTTATAATCCCTTTTTCTCGCTGATTTTGGTGGTTAATTTTGAAGACAAACATAGAATCAAGGATAGTTATGCTAAAATAAAACGCGCAGACTTAACAAGACCTTGTGGATGTGTCCATTGAAAAACTGTAGAAATGAGTGGCAGCTATGATCTAGCAGAGATTAGTGATGATTATGTTGTGAACTGTCTTTGTATTCATTGAAATGGATCAAATCGATTTTAAAACTGTACTCTTTAACAATTCATGACTTGTCATCCCTTTTTCTATTTCTTCATATAATCGTTAGTTCGTTTAGCGTAAGATATACGGCAGAGTTTAATTGTATGAATTCATGTTGAAGAAAACGAATTTATAATGCTGAATGCTGTATGGAATAAAATGAACTTCTGAAAACAAATAAAGCATGGTAAACATTCATAACTCATCTATTTACCTGAGCAGAAATATCAATCACACCAGGTACAAAACCTGTCGCACCAAGATGATTACCGGATACTGAACCATTAAAATGTGTTGGCGGATCACCACCAACTTCTCTCCGTAATCGATAACCTTGCGATACTAGTAAATTAATACTAGCTCCAACTGGGATTGACTGGAATAATGAAACCAATTGAGAATGTGTATAACCAAGAACATTTGTCCCATTCACGCTAACCATAACATCACCAACAGCTAATTGGCTATTCAGTGAAGCTGGACCACCTGGGACAAGATGTTTCACCTAGATAATCAGTAAATATATTGAAGAGAAAAAGGAAATAATAAATCACTAGAAAGTGAATAGATTTTGAAGCAGTTAATCTTCTAAGACTTATTTACTAAGCATAGAATTTATGTACATGAATTTATACTGTATTTTAGATGTTACGGCTGATAGTCCAGTGTTCAATTCAAAGTAAGTGATGTGGGATACCAACCTACAATAAAGTAGGTGAGAGTCAAGTACTTGAACTATTAATACACTCCTCTACAATATATTTATTCAGCGACTCTAGTTAAACGTATTTTGCGAAGATTGATTTCCATCTGTAGGTTGTATTTATCAAAAATTTATCTCAATTAAGGTAGCGTTTTAAAATCATAGAGTATAGGATAACGGTTTCGTCTGTGTATGGGACTACTCAGAAGTGTTCATTCACGAGTAAGTCAGAAGGCGTACCTAGGTCGCCGTGAACGCTTAACCAAAAGAAACATTATGTAGGTGGCGTCCAATCATACAATTATAAAGTTGACCAACAGTCACGAATAATAATATTTAGATTAGAGTACTTGTAGTATGCATTCATTCGTCTCAATGATTATCTAAATGACGAGATTTTATGTAATATAATCAAGTATTATTTATAACAGCATAGGTGAATAACGACATTGTAAAACCTATAATATCCTTGATAGTTTTAAATTTCTGTACTGATATGATGTGGCTGCTTGAACTAATGTGAACATGTGCTAAGTAAAACCACAGTTTATAGCTAACTGACTACCAGACTGACACATATTCTGGGTTAAACAATTAAATAAAAGTTAAGAAAAATGTCGTATATTCAGTTATCTTTTTACAAACTATATTGTAAACTAAATTTGAATATCTGTTCTACTGAACACCAGTTTACTGGCTAAATGTAATCTTGTGTTCATCGTGAAACTCAAATACTCTCGATCTGATATAATGTGGATCAGTGGTCGTATACTGTTGAGAAATGTCTCAAACAAAAGTGACACAGTTTTCCAACTCATAATCATTTCCAACCGCTTTTCAGGTAATGTCAGTTCATGATGAGAAGTTACTAATTGTACGTTACTGATTGTACGACAACTCCAAACAATCATCTTCCGTAAACGTTAGTCACTTGAATGTTCGTTTGACTTTCCATAGTTAAAGTATATTGTGTGATTGCCAATGTGGTGTGAGTGAATCGACTGAATGGAAATTGAGTAAAATGTTGGATATTTATCTATCCACAATGATGTGAATTGTGAACATGTTTCTTTGCAACAGAAAAGTCATTAAAACAGTAAATATCACGAGATGTACTCGTTCTATACAAGAACAAATATTAATCGCATGTTTTAGAGTTATGAGGTTGATAATTGTGATATTTTTAAATTGTTCGTCTAAGCAAGGAATATGTCGAAAATGTTGACCAGACATCAATCAAAACAATTCTGAGGTCAAGTGGTGTCTGGAATAAATAGAGATTCACATTCAGCCTAAATCAGTCGATGTGAATGTAATTATTCACTATTTGAGTTTCAATTAGATCCTAATGTACTAAACAGTTGGGTTGTAATTTTAACCCATAATCGGAAAGAATTTCATTCGAGTTAATTAGATGACTCATAATTAAATACACTGTTTGTTGACATATATTTCTATTAGGTTTAATGTCAATTTAGTTGATCTAACGATTCCCTATGATACTGTATTATTGTTGTAATAATGTATTTAATGGCATCCAGATTTTGGCGCACCATGTGCAATAGATTTAAAGAATGTGTGGTACATGAAACAGAAACCTCATTGAGACAATACAAACTGATAACTGTGTATTGATTAAAGTTAGATGTTAACACCGCTGGATGCTAACTCAGTGGTCTAAAAGAGAAACGTCCACGCGGGAGACCAACGGTTTTAGGCCTAATTCCTATGGTGGGATGGTGAATGCAGAATGCTGAGTAGTCGTTTCATATTAAGACGAAACGACCACCCGAGGTTCCAATATTGGTATATCTTAAATAGGTTCATAACTTCAATAACAGTATACAGTTTGTGTGTTTTGTTAATTGCTTGTAATCGTTTAACTGACCACAATGCAAGTTATCAGTATTTCAAGTGTAGTCTAATGAATGATTTTCTCCGGTACAATCTTTCTATTCATTATTCAGTTCAGTGTTACTATGGTAATGTTAATCCCTGGGGGTATACATACAATTTATTTCAATACTCAAACATATTTCTTAAAAACTATTAGTCAAAAGAAAAAGTGTATACAAATCAGACTGAAAACAGTCTAATGAAAATATTGCTAATTTTCTCTATAATGGGGAACAACAATAGTGTTGAACGCAAAAGATAAATACTGAGGCAAATCAATGAATTTATTCTTTTGTTTTGTTACATACAATAAAAGGATCATAGAAAAATATAAACTGCATTTCATGTTTTTTATCGTGCTAATTTTTGCTGTTTGTGCCCATATGAAATTTGAGAAGTGCGAGTGACAAACATTTGTATCATGATACATACAACCTAGATGAGCCGATTTAACGAGTTGTATTGATGTAATTATTATAGAGACTCTTTGACCATGACACTATTACGATCAATGATATAACACACTGACAGTAATTATTAAGTGTTGTTCTGTTTGGAAATAATTGAGAGTTTAAGTCAATGTTTAATTAATGTCGCTAACGAAAAACTGAAGTTATTTAGGTATACTAGTGATAACACAGACTTTAAGGATTTGTGACGACTTTCTTTTGCTTGAATTATTTTGACGGATATATAATGTGCTATTAGCAATTTGTTTTAACTATGTGTTCATATCTTTAGTAGTGAATGACAAGAAAAATTTTGCAGTTCGAGATGCTATATCGTATACACCAGTCAGCCAGTAACAACGTAGAACTTCGTACGTACGTACATCAGTTCGAGTTGCTATACTACATTAGCACAGAAATGCAATTGTCGATTCTCAAATCCCATAGTGGTAGAGGTAGTAAGAGGAGTATAAGTAGTAATCGGAAACATTCGGATTTGAAGATATTACTCAAGGAGTATAATTCAGTGAAATAAATTTGGAAAGAGAAAAAAAGGGACACAAATAATTCAGAAGATTTAATGCTTAAAAGTTCAACACTTAAACTATTCACATAAAACTATATCTGATGCATAAATAACATCAATTAATGCGGTAATTATAAATAAACAATTGTCATAAGTATAGAAATTACAGAATGACTATAATAAACAGAATCTTTTTATTCACTAATTATCTCAATTAAGGACAATGAAATATTTATATGTACACATACATACATTCAAGTAATGTGATAAAATTTCCAGATCATATTGATGTTAATTATAAATGATATTTGTTTGTTTGTTTGTTTACTGTAGAATGAGATGGAATAAATAAAATGTCAAGGATCAAATGTAAAAATAACTAACAATATCAATAAAATTAAATAAATAATTAATTATCCAATTGGATACTTCCGCTTTATTATTGTGTTATTATTATTATTATAATCGCTACGATTTTAATTAAATAAATACCCGTGTCATGTACTAAGTAAATGAAGACAATCAGTATAGCAGCAGCACTAAGCCTCAACATACACAAGGGAAAAACCAAGATCTTTAAATACAAACATTGAGAACACCAACTCAATCACACTTAATGGAGCATCATCTATCAACATGGAGGATCTGATGGTAGATATGAAGCCACGGATTGGCAAAGCAAGGGCCACATCCTTACATTTAATAACAATATATTCTGAAAATAATAATCACAGAATTCACACCAGTTGAAGAACATGTGGAACTCAAAACAACTGGAAACCAATATCAAAGTCAGAATCTTCAATACGAAAGTCAAGATAGTTCGACTGTACGGAGATGGAACGTGGAGAACCACTACAACCATCATTAGAAAATTACAAGTACTTATAAACAGTTATCTACACAAAATATTCAATGTCCTTTGGTCGCATAACATTAGCAACAGCCTACTACTGTGGAAGAGAACAAACCAGCTTCTAACTGAAGAGCAAATCAGAAAAAGGTGTTTGGATTGGATAGGACATACATTGAGGAAATCATCAGACTGCATCACGGAGCAAGCGCTAACTTGAAATACTGAAGGGAAAATGGAAAGAGGAAGACCAATGAATACACTGAGTGATGAATCGGAAGCAGACATCTAAAGAATGAATACCAACTGGAAACAAGTAGAAAGGATTATCCAGGACATAGCTGAATGGAGAATGTTGGTGGATAGCCTATGTTCCTCCACGGGGGCTAACAGGTGTAAGTGTATTTTCAACTTTTAATTTGTTTGAGAATCCAATAGTTATGGATTTTCAGGAATCTAAGGACTGACTATGAAGTAATTGTTTAAACTATTTGGAGTACTAAACAAGGCTCCAAATAAAAATGTATCATATGTGAACATCAACAATCAGTGGGATAACAAGGATGAACGATATGAAGTTGGCACTAGATAGCCTTTTCGTTTTAGTTTGAGGCTTCTCATCAGTACGTATACATGATCACGTCAGAGGTCTAATCTAGGTTTCGTAGTGATAGCACTTTCGCAGTTTAATGAATAATGAATAAGGTAATCTTTCAATAATAATAAAGAAAATTCCTTTTAAAATGCATGTTACCCAAATAAACAATACAAATCAGTTTAATTTAATGAAAAACGTACTTGTAAAAATGCCGACCGATTACAATCGGAACCACCGATAATTGTAAATCCAAAACCACGTGGACTTTTCACTAAAACTGTATTAATCAGTGGACCTCGTAATTGTTTTAAATCGGAACAAAATGTCACAGGAGTTATACGTCCATTATCATTAATGGATGATGAGCCTAATTCATTCTGACTATCATCATAATTATTATTGGCGTTAACATCATTATTTACATTTTTGATGATATTATGATTATTATTGATAGTAGTATTAGTTTTAGTTTTATGATGAATTGTATCAAATTGTGATAAATACTTCATGCGTACTTTTTCACCTAATTGAAAATCTTCAACTGTTGGCGGTTCATATTGTGTATGTTTATTAATATGATCAATGTAAAATGTACCATATTTTATATCTTGCACAATTTCCCAACCATATGGTAATACATGTTCACCAATTTGATCTAATTTATCCACTGAATAAGCTGTTTGATCACAGAACTAATAGAAACAATTTAAAAAAAAACCCACAAAACAACTGTAAGCATAATTAACTATATTGGAAAAATAAAAATTGTATACACAGTGAATCAGATATTATACATACGAATGTAACTGATTTACCAAGTGTTTGTCGGGGTTTATGCACTGTTTTGATATATTGTACTTATGTGAAGGTGGAGTAGTGGTGATTTAATGATTAAAGTAGTAGGTCACAGAATCAAAATCTACTTTTCGTACTTTACATAAAAATGTATGATACTCACACGGTCATGTTGTGCACCGATGAGTAAGTGTATACTCCTAACTTAAATGGATGGTGGTACATGTGTTACTTAAATCTAACCAACGCTTACCTCAATGAACAATCTTGGCTAGCATTGAAGTATATTGAAAGAAAGCTACAAAGCAGCCATACAAAGTGTTACTAGTCCATGAAGGCATTAGTTACTGGCCTGATCTGTATTAGTGGGTGTAGACTACCTGGTTAAGGTTCCTACGATAATAATGATCAATGGTTAAATGCTGGGTGATTTGGGTCAGAATCGATTGCAGAAACACATGTATTCACTCTGAATTTTACGCAAGATTTTCAGTTTAATTGATTATCAAATACTATTTACTTCATGAATATACTCTTTCATTTCCAACCGTGTCTTCTATTTAGTCTTTGTCGACATCGCGGATACTACTGTTAACTCAAATTTCGAATTCAATTGTTGATTGTTTAGGATTTCTAACAATGATCCACTAGGATATTTAACATTTTATTGACCTATGAATACATTAGCTTACAGTCTACTCAACTCTTTCTTCTAAATGGCTTAGTTAAAACATTTTTGTTGGCATTGCTCTCTCTTTGTATAAACAAATGTGTGTTTTATCGACATGTTAAACAGGTCAAATTAAAATAGACAATGTATGATGATAGCTTCAATTTAGAGGTTTAATCTGTCTGCCTAATAACAATGATAAACTCATTACTATTTACTATCTCCACCCAATGGATTTTTCTATAAAATATGTAAACTTAAAATTAATCAATATTTCAGCTACTTAACGCAAATACCTATCGTCCTTCCTCTCATTCTTTTATAACTTGTATCTCTCTTATTAAGTCTATATGAATGTAGAGGGGATGGCAAAATGTTTAAAAAGAAAGAAACCAGTACAGGGAATAATGAGGACCAAAGAAAAAACAAACTGAAATTGACTAGAAGAGGAAAATAGACTTCATTTAAACAAAGATCCATATGATGAAAAAGCATATGCACAAAACACGATGTACAAAGTATGAGATATTGATTTAAAATCACCTCACAAGAAAAAGATGTAAGAAGTCGAATTATAATTGAAAATCGTTTATACAATACTATCGGTGCATACAAACAATATCGCTAGAGACTCCAGTTATTTATGAGAAACATCTTGCTGTAGTATTGTTGGCCGTACGCATCTGCACTCGTACATTAAATTCGATGTTTTTAGTTTCACTATTAGTCAACCGACTTGAGTGCGATAGTAGAACCTCAGGGAACAGCCAATGTAGTTAGGTTGTGGTGTGTGCTACTGATGTCGATAAATATAAGCAGTATGTATCATCAATCGAGAGTGAAATGCCTGAAGGCAGAAGGTTAAGAAGATCGATGAAAAGAGAACGAGAACAACGAATAATTGGAGTGGAATCAAGAGAACAATGAAGTCTGAGAGGATTGATTGACATTTTGCAAATGAAGTATTCACTTTATGAATAAAATGATATATTTGTAATATCCCGATCAGTAGAAAAATTAGATTTTTTAGCGTTTCGTGACTCAGTGTAAGCCACTTCGTCAGAATAAATAACCAAATCAAAATTAATCCAAGTTTAAATAATACAAAAGAACGATGCAAGTATACTAATTAATTAACTTTGACTTGGTTATTTATTCTCTGAAGAAGTGGCTTACACTGAGTCAGGAAAAATCAGATATATATATATATATATATATATATATATATATATATATATATATATATATATATATATATATATATATATATATATATATATATATATATATATATATATATAGTGGGTTGTATATCAATACAAATGTATACAAATTGCGTTAATAACTGAAAATAATTAAACCTATTATCTTGTATGTAGCTGAAGAGAAGACAACAAAATACAATGAATTCATTGTATTCTGCATATATTGTCGTTATTGTTATGTTTAAATGTCTGAAGCAGACGAAATGTGCGGAAAAGTATGAGTATTTGCATATGGTCTTAAGTGTGCGATTATTGTTGTTCTTCCATTGATATTTAAAATAGTTAACTGCTCATCGAAGAAAAAAACAGTACTTGTTATATAATACCGTGTACATTCTACTGTTAATTTTACATAGAAGTTTATAAGTAATCCATTAACTAATACTAAAAACCACCAAACAGTTCCTGAAAGTTAATTATGCAGTTTAAAGGTTAGACTAGTTCTTTAAAATTAACCAGTAAGTCACGAACAATGTAAGGAGTGGACAAAAATGTCAGTCATTCATAATCAATTTAAAGCCTGATACAGATATGAATCGTTTCAAGAGTCCTATATGAATACGGGCGAGGAAATTTACAAAATAAATACTGAAACAGAATAATAGTAGTACCAATGAAAGTGAAACAGATTAAGCATCAGAAAAGGGATGAATCTAAGGAATATCAAGTACGAAATGATACTGAAGCTCAGTGTTTATGGTAGTATAAAGAATAAACTTATCTGAGCCATTGTGATGTATATTAAACCATGGATTGCATAGACCCCAACTAGTTGGTCTAAATTTACCAATATGACTCAATTCAGCAGTTAATGACTTAGTGAACTGATATCATGTCTTGGTTTGGGCATCCGAAATTTAATTTCTAACCTACTCAGAACATTATTCATCGCGTATTTATTTGTGGTTGAAGTTCACTATGTATCATAATGCACGTGGAAGCCTTTATCGACAATTATCGAAATGTCACATTATTTTGATAACTTCTTTTTGAAGCTATACACTATCTCCTTCGTTTTATACACATACTAGTAACAGCAGTCAATTAAAATATTTAACATAATGTTAACAGTATAATTCCTTATCAATTCATTGTCAGAAATATTACATCTAGGTAAAAGAATAAAAAATATTTAGAAAATGAAACAGATTTTACGATTCTGTATCTGTGTCTATTTATTCATCAGTTAACATATACCAAATTAATTACACAAAAAATTATTACTGAACGTCAATAAGAATATATATATACGTACAAATGTACAGAGATTACGATTAACTGTTTTTTTCCAGGTCTTGAAATTAATTTCACTTAGCCAGACTAAAAAATTACCAACATAACATTTCTACGTTGTAATTTATGATAGTTTGATCGGTAATAGAAGAAAGTTTTATGTGCACATGCGTGTTATGTAACAGGAAGGTGAATAATTATGTATATGAATAAAGTTATGGATCAAAGTTTATAACAGTCAGTCAATTTGTGGGGTTTGATTATGTGTTAAGAGGTATGAAAGACCGTTATCACTTACCGGTTGCCTAAACTGTGAAAAGATACTTCTTGTTGGAGCGCCTGGAAAGGAAACTGAGAGAGAAATAAACTTGACGACCTCAAAACTCAAGGAATAACTACATGAGTTTGGATACACATAGACTTTCCTAGAGTAGATCTCGATGTGTTGACTTCGTACTTTGAAGGTCTCACTGTGAATGACGGAAATCCGTAAGACAAGGTAAAGTACTTTTTCAGGGCATATCTTTTCTAACCCTCTCCTTCCGTTATGGGAAAGAGTACGGCTGCAGATGCTGGCTATCTAAGGGAAACACTTTCCTGTTATCACGCTCCTGAACAGTTGGCAGCACGACTCCATGCTCGGATTTCAAGTTTCTGCTTTTATTCTTTCTGTTCCCTAACTGACCTGATTGGGATGGTAAGACGAAAGATATTAAATCTTCGAGACAATATAGCTTGATTAAGTCGTCAGGGTGTGCTTCACCTCATTATGTTGATGCAGTAGGAAAAATTGGACCAATACACATTTGTACCAGGATCTACGACTAACAACATTCCAATCATTGACATAAATCTATAACACATAATACAGTCTGTCTAAGGGCATTATATTTTTCCCAAATTGTAACTTAACAGACTACTAATGCTAATGTCTTCTCACAAGATATACTCGACAACATCACTGTTAAAGTTTGTGTTCTTTTTGTATTCGTAATTATACACCGACTATATATATATATATATATATATATATATATATATATATATATATATATATATATATATATATATATATATATAAATGTACATATACCCAGATACAAACAAATAAGCAGACACAGAGAAAGTAATACAATCCAGTTAGAAGAAAAAACTGTAATAATGATAATAACATAATAATAATAATAATAATAATAATAATAATAATAATAATAATAATAATAGTGTATATGTACGAATATGTTAACATAGTTAAATGGTAAATATCTAGACAAGGAAGTCACTTAAATCAACAAAAAAACAGAAGAAAAAAAATCTGATACCGATACTGATGATAAAAATGTCAGACAAATCGATTTGCATAAGCGAGAAAGGGAAAAAAGCAGAAGTAAAAAATAAGGGCTCTGAAAGATATAGAAAATTGTAGTAATTAATTAAACTTTTAAAGTGTAGAATTAGTTAGTTATAAACAACATAACTATTGATAAATAAAAAAAAGAAGGAAGCCAAATGAAGACAAGAAATGAAACAGTAGTAGAGAAGCCAACTAAGCCGATGATGTAGTAGCTATGTAAAACAAATAATGAATGAAAATATATGAAAGATATATATATTGTTGCACGCCATCGAACCATAATAAATGTAGGTGAATAGTAGACAAGTCATGATTTATTAATCAGAGGATTTGTATAAAATTCTCGTACAAGTGAGTGGAGAGATTATTGGATGTGTGACCAACTATAAATTTGTGTGCTTGATTTTAGACCACACCTATCTGGGTAAAGATTAATTAAATATTACTATCCTAAAATTCAAACCGAAGTATATGGGATGGGTTGTGTACTTACACTAGTTACGAGTTGAATGTTTTGATTTTTGTTTGTTTGAAATATAACGACAGTAACAAAATACAGCTACATGTACTCGGTTTTAAACGATATTTTTTGTGCAACGGTTAATAATGCCAACCCTTTATTTAAACTGAAGTAGATAATAGGCAAGAGTTGAAAGCTGAAAGTTAACATTTACAATGTGAGCGAGCGCCAAATAAGTTGATAACAATCGAAAAGATATTCAAAAATGTACGTAAGTTTTAATTGCATAAAATGTTCCAATATTCACAGTAAAATAAAACGAAAACAAAGTAAAGGGAAACAAATTAAATATAAAAGATTAGTTTGTCATTTCTTAACACTGTAACTAGTTGCAGTCAAACTACAGCTGTACATGATAGTGTAACAACGAGCGAAAGTGTGTAATCATTGTTGATTGTATAACCTTGCATTCTCACCTTTGATTATTCATTCATTTGTTAACTGACAAATTATCCACATTAAACGTAATTTTAGTCGGATATTTCATATGTATATAACAACTGTGCTACTTTCATCCCAGTGACTTCTCTACTGAGTGTTGGTGACACTGCGACGGTGTATAAAAAGTGAAGAAGTGGTCAGTTTATGGCATGGAATTGTGGTACGAAAGAGGAGCATAAGACTGGTATCTATTGGTCTGTCTACTCAAACTTTCTAGTTGAGGTTATGTAGATGGTACAGAATAGTGGCGATTCTGATGTAGCCTTTTTACACTCGTCATAAAAGTGAAACTCTGTTAACAGAGAGAAATACTTCTTGGTTGTATTTCTAAAGGAACTATTTCACCCATTACATCTTATTTACGTTCAGTTTTACCTCCAATCTTATTTCTTTGACCTCTTTTGTTTCTTTACAACGTTATCTTTTTATTTTGCATAAGGAAGATAGTTTTTGGTGGCCAGCTGTACCAGTATGTGTGTTAAGTAAAGAAAAACCATTATATTCATCAAATTTAAACGATTCCCAAACGTGATCATCATAGCGAAATCTTGACTCGCTGTCATATGAGCAAACATTTACACACACATACAAACCAAGTTTGGTATTAATTCGTCTACATTTGGGCAGTAACCGGTTGCTAAATCCTTCCAGCCTCCTCCCCAAATCATATTCATTCTTAGCTTTTACTTATTTCAACTAGATATGGACTTCTAAGCTACTTTTTTGATCGTCTTTCTGTTAAGAAAGTACTTTAGCACTGATCACTTAGCTTTACATCTAAATCTGTCAATCTTTATTCACATTTCATAGAATCTTAGACTGATTTTCAATAAAGTAAAGTACGTTTATGACTTTTCAACCAAAAATAAGATACCACGTCTTGTGTGACATATCATTGTAAGTAACAAACATAATGCACAGAAATATTGAGAAAAAAGTAACTATATAACCTAAAAAAGATATTTCTTAACTGGAGCTACCTGTTTTTCAGGACCTCTCCGAGATATTGATTGTTAATGTTTTGTGGATGGGCAATTTTGGCCTTCAACACAAATACTGTACACCGCATAAGTCATGTCCCCTAAAATCCTGTTAATATTGTAGGCTAAAGTAAGACTTCAACTACAATGTGGTGGAAACGCTTACTGTTTAAATAAACATTCAATCATAGATAACATGAAACAGAAGTAATATAATAAGTAGTTTTCCTACTTAGGAAAACTTATAAAATGAAAGTTATTGATACATGAAATCTTTATAAGCCATGAAAAACCAGAAAGGACTGATTATCTGCTACTATACACTGTCTATCTAGTAGGATAGATTGTCAGGACGCCAAGAGACGGTTAGGTCTAAACACAGAACCAATACATGAAGTCATTTACTATTTGACTAAACAATGTTAGAAGAAGCAAACATTTTTAGTTGAATTTCACAGAATGATCTTATTCTATTATTGTTGACCTGAAGTAGTGATATAACTTGAACTAAATCTAGATATCAAATATTTTTTATACTTATCAATTCTTCAATGTTCGCATATGTTCTCCTCTAATTTTTTTCTTTAAAAATGATATTATTTTCATGTATATTGACTTCGTCATATTTTATCTTGCGCTAATTGCCTCTTTAGTAGATATGATGGGAGATACACTAACTCGGACTGATATAAATATGTACCAGGTCCAAACAATATTTATAGAACTCATTTACCAAGTACAGGTCTATATATACTCGGCTATAAGCGACACACTATTTGTGTGAGATTTAATGTTCAAAATAAATGAGTTTACAAATTATAGATCGAAACGACAGTGCTTCAACTATCGAAGTACTAGTGTTGATGACTGATGGTGAATGAAATTGAAATAATTATCAGAAAAGAAAAAACTGTACAAAATAATGTCTACTAAAAAACAATTACACATCATAATACATATATACTTACACTTTCAATGAGTGAACAACCATTGGTCATCGACGTATTGACATGGTTAGACATAGTAGTGGTATTCATATTAGTAGTATTAGTATTGGTAGTAGTTGTAATAGTAATAGCATTGGCAGCAACTGACATTGTTGTTGATGCTGTGGACAACGCGGTTGTTTTATGATCATCCACTAGATGTATTTCACTGGGTGACCATAGACTAGCTTCATCATTCGAAAATTTTGGACGCGGTAGGTACAATTTACCATTCAATTCATTTAATCCATTTAACTGTGTATTGTTATTGTTGTTATCGATTGTTTTTGTCAGATAATTTTCAGTTGTGCATAAAGTTAGCAGATTAGTCGATGTTTTACCATGATTAATATTAATATTATTAGTATTACAGACAATATTAGCATTTTTTGTAATTGATGAATTGCGAATTGGTGGAGGCGGTGGTGGAGAACATGTTGCTAATTGTTGTAATGGATCATTTAATTTTACACCAATACTAGAGTTATTATTACTGCTACTACTACTACTGGTAGTAGTAATGTTACTGCCATTAGTCCCCGAAGCAGTAGTGGTAGCATGAATTGCAAATGTATTAAATGAGCTTAGTGGTGCCAATGGCGGTGGGATCCTACATGCATCATCACTGATTTGTGAAATGTCTGTAGAGGATAATTGGAATTGTTCTAAAAATACAGGATCTAAAGCGGTAGAATTAGGGTCTGGTCGAGGTGTACCATAATGATTACCTAGGAAAACGAAAAAAAGGAGGAACTAAACATTTTAAAGACAACTTATATATAAAAGAATAAATAACCTTCGAGATGTGTATGTGCATATATAATGTGACCTTTTAGCATATAGCATCCAAAATGATTAATAACACACGACCTTCAGATCGGAAATTTCCGAACTTCATAGAATAACCTATGAGTTATAAAGTATATTATTCCCTAGAGAATAAATATGCAAGTTTAACTGTCAGTAGGTATTTTGATGCTAGGATCCTAACTTATCCCGTTGATAAAACAAAAATATTTCAATGTCTCACTTATTTAATGCCTTTTTGTTTTACTAATACGAAACCTGACAAGTAGGATCTACACACATTTGTTCCAGATCCTGATTCGGTTAAAACTGTCTGACCAGAATCAACATTAATGTAGTTAGGGATGTTCTTGACACGGCGAATCAGTCGATTACACTGCAAAGGTATTTAGATTAAAGTGTATAATACAGAGGTTACACATACCCCAACCAAGAGCAGGAATGATGATAGATGTAGGACTGATTTTAACAAAAAATTAACGGTTATTAGGTCAAGTCACGACATCAAGAAAATAGGTTACCGAATATTACCCTAATTCAAGTGGAGCAGTAATAACTTTCTGTAAAGTAATACGCGCGTAATCAGTAATAAATTTGAAATGGGTAGCAAAGATACATACACATTTACTAATTATTTCCCTGTAAATCTTCAGAATATTTCTTTTATTTATTTGTTTTCCATTTGTTTATATTACTGTCCCTAGTTTACGGGTGTAATCGCTTATAGTTGTGCAGTAATGTATATTAATACACAGGGTTCTTTGCTATTGTCCTTATCTCTCTCTTTTATTGACATACAATCACTGACTGAAAACCAGTAAGTGCAAATTCATGTTTTTTCCCTAGATAACAGAGACAAGTGTAGTGAGGTAGTACAGTGATCGAAATACTGAGCTTTTAACCATTTGAACACAGGTTCGAATGCCTATTCATCTACTTTAGACTGTCGTGCCTGGACAGTATCGTAAAACGTGTTGCTCAAAACCGATTGAGATTTTAGTTCGAGGGTTACATTAATTTTTTTTGCATTTTAAATAGAATACACGACAATATAAATCTGTTTAGTGATGGAATTGGTTGATATTACGGAAAAAACCTATATGTGTAACTATTTGTATTCAATCAAACAAGCATTCATTTTCTGTATTTTTTGTTCAAAAGTTTAATTAAGAAATAGTTCAAAATCAGAAAGACATTGTATCGTCTTCATCATAAAATTGGTACTACAAATAACGAATGATAAAACGTCAGTATGCCATAGATACATACTTTATAGTTAACTGAAGGAAAAGCCGATTAATCAGGACTTGATTACAGAGATTTCTGATTACATCTTATAGTCTGAATTTATGTATATTCTATGGAAAAGAATTATAGTGTAAAAAGCACAAAGTAAAAGTTATGAATTGTAGTTAGATGCCGGCTCAATGGTTTACAAGTTAAAACCGAATTTCCTGGGTTTGATCCCCGTATACAGAGTTGTCGATGGGCATTGCTGAGTCCCATACTGGGACGAAACAGCAGTTCAGTGTTACTAGGTTTTCAATGATTGTCTAACTTAGATCGGTTTATGATTTCAATGAATTAAAGAGTTTAAATTTATTACATATGTATGACTAAATATTTTATCAAACAAACTACAATACGGGGTTTTTGAGACTTTCACAACATAGATACTATTCAGAACTGGTCATATTGGACTATTGAGAGAGATAAAAAAACAGTATCATTGTCTTGTACATTATCATATATGTCATCAATATAGACATACATATCTAAGCAACTAATAATCATCACCCACCATATTGTTTCTATCACGATACTGGCTGAATTAAGTGAGCAACTCATTGCATACTTGTGCATGTGTATAATACATGTGTCAATAAATCTTTATGCAAATAAATTCAATCATGTATGAATCAGCTCATTACATATTCACTCTTGCAACCAATCAGAAATCATGGAAATTTATTCAAATCAAGGTCAAAGTTAACTAATCTGTGTAAAACAAAACCTACTGAAGCTAGAAACTATTGTGCAAAAGCTACTACCATCAAAAGACAACTGAGTTAGTAACCACACTATCGTAATAAACAATACAAAAATGCGACAAGATATTATGAGTCATAAAGGTTACTACTATTAACACTGGTGCCATTCATCATAGGAAGAAGCAATAAGTTAATTGACAGCTTAGAGTATGCTTGCCCTTATCAATATACACATGGATAGGACTTTTTTTAGCTAGTAAACTGAAATAGAACAAAAAATTGAAAAGAAAACAATTCATCAGATTTTTTTAAGAATGAAACTGGGGGATGTATGTAGTATGTAAAATAAGATGAACTAACAGAAAATGTGATTTCAAATAACACCATTAGAGCAAATTGAAGACTTTATATGCTTATCCCCTGCAATACTTACTTACGCCTATTATTCCTCGTGAAGGAGCATAGGCCACCCACCAACATTCTCCATTCAACTATGTCCTGTTCAATCCTTTCTACTTGTTTCCAGTTGGTATTCATTTTTTAGATGTTTGCTTCCAATTCATTGGTCTTCCTCTTTCCATTTTCCCTTCAATATTCCAAGTTAGCGCTTGCTCCGTGATGCAGTTTGATGATTTCCTCAATGTGTGCCTATCCACTCCAAACACCTTTTTCTAATTTCCTCTTCAGTTAGAAGCTGGTTTGTTCTCTTCCACAGTAGTAGGCTGTTGCTAATGTTATGCGACCAAAGGACATTGAATATTTTGTGTAGATAACTGTTTATAAGTACTTGTAATTTTCTAATGATGGTTGTAGTGGTTCTCCACGTTCCATCTCCGTACAGTCGAACTATCTTGACTTTCGTATTGAAGATTCTGACTTTGATATTGGTTTCCAGTTGTTTTGAGTTCCACATGTTCTTCAACTGGTGTGAATTCTGTGATTATTATTTTCAGAATATATTACTATTAAGTGTAAGGATGTGGCCCTTGCTTTGCCAATCCGTGGCTTCATATCTACCATCAGATCCTCCATGTTGATAGATGATGCTCCATTAAGTGTGATTGAGTTGGTGTTCTCAATGTTGTGTTTAAGGATCTTGATTCTTCCCTTGTGTATGTTGAGGCCTACTGATGTAGAGGCTGCTGCTACACCGTTTGTCTTGACCTGCATTTGTCGGTGTGTATGGGATAGAAGGGCCATGTCATATGAGAAGTCCGAATCGTCTAGTCGCATCCAACCTTTTCATTTCATTCAGTGCTACTCCTCAGATGTCGAGGTTTTCATCATCCAGTCAACCACCAGAAGAAAGAGAAAAGGGGAAAGTAGGTAGCCTTGTCTGACTCCAGTCCTCACTTGGAATGAGTCTGTCAGCTGTCCTCCGAGCACTACTTTACAGTGAAGTCCGTCGTATTGTGGTGTGAACTACTTACATCCACACAAGGAGTGTATAACCGTGGTCAGGCATAAAATGTATCTCAGTAGAAGGTCGATGAGGAAAGAACGGGAACGGAACGCAATTGGTATGAAAATGCATGAACCATGAAATCTGAGACAATGGATTGATGTTTGCAACAGGAGCGGTCGAGTTTGATATGATGGATTGATATTTTGCAAATTAACGATTTACTATATGGTTCTCAGATTTTAGTGAGATTCTCTGTAATTTTGTGCTAAAATACATCCGATTGTCCTCCACTCGTGTTCTGTTCACTACAGTATGAATTCCGGATGATGTTGACGCTTTTCTCAGGTACTCCATACTGTCGAACAAATTTCCATAATGTTCTCTTATCCATACTGTCAAATGTTTTCTAATAACCAAGGAAGTTGATGTATAGTGACGAGTTCCACTCAATTGATTTTTCAACGATGATCCGTAGTGTCGCGATTCGATCTGTGCACGAAAGATCCTTACGGAATTCAGCCTGTTGATCTCGAAGTTGGGAGTCTGTTGAATCTTTCATCCGGTTAAGCAACACTCTGTTGAAAACCTTTCCTGGTACTGACAGTAGTGTGATACCTCACTTTTGCTCAGATCTCCTTTCTTTGGTATCTTCATGAGGTATCCTTCTTTCCAGTCCGTCGGCACTTGTTTTTCCTCCCAAATCTTCCCGAATAGAATGTTGAGCATGTCTGCAGTTACTTCTATGTCTGACTGTAGTGCTTCAGCTGGTATATTGTGAGGTCTTATTGCTTTCCCACTCTTGATTTGTCTGGTGGCCATCCTGATTTTTTCGGTCGTTGGTAGAGTGACATATATAGGAAGATGTGTATTGCATCGATATCTGGTGGATTCAATGGTACCGGTCTATTTAAGAGTTCCTCGAAGTGTTCCATCCGCCCCTCTATCCTTGAATTTCAGTGATTGGCTCTTCTTTTTTGTCCTTGACCGGTCTCTCGGGTTTACTATATTTCCCTCTCAGTTTTTTCGTCGTGTCATATAGTTGTTCATCCCCTATCATAACTTATCAATTATATTATTAGTTATAAATGTTTTGTGTTTAGTGAAAATGCTAAATATTGTGACTATCGAATTCCTATTTGGTGTAGTTCATGAGCGACATTTTTGTTGGGGTAACAGGAAGATTATGTTGCCAACTTTGCACATATCCCATTATTCAATAGTAATAATAATAATAATAATAATAATAATAACAATAATAATAATAATAATAATAATAATAATAATCTGTTTGCCAAGTACATGTTTATGTATGCATAAACATGTTTATATAATAGACCCTAAACCAAACTTTTTATAAGTGGAAGCTGGCAATGTCACTGGACAGCTCAAACTGATCAGTCTAACTTTCTAAATGTAGTAAATACTCTATTCACTTTACGCTTATAATGAAGCAGACAATATTACGCTGAAATCTGACATACATCCAATGAGAAACATATCTTGCGATAAACCATTATGTACGAAAATACAATGTCCATAATTATATCTTAGCATAATATTATAAACAAACACAATACACAAAATTAGAAAACTACCGAATAAAATACGGATGAAAACAGTGAGAGTATAATACCTTTATACATTCCACTTTCTAATAATTGTCCACTACGTTCAAGTGCAAGAAATTGAGGTACATTCATAAAACGATAATGAACTCCATCTACTTCTTCTGCTCTGGGTAATCTAGTTGTACCTAATAATAAGAGAATATACGAAAATATTTATATAAGATTCATAATTAACTGTCAATCACCAACCGTATAAAAGAACAAAGAACTTTGAAGGTGAATTGAGGAAGCGGTTTAGGTTGCAGCAATTTTCAGAACTGGAATCCAAAATAAACGAAATGTGTACGATAGTATAAAAAAAACAGGAGTGATAGGATAAAAAATTTCCCAATATCAAAAAGTTTTTTTTAATGTTTACTTACAAGGTACTACACGTTGATAAACATTCTCTCGTATTTTTTCTTGAAGGGCATACTCTGATGAGTCCATTGCAAATGAAATGGCCAAAAAGCTTGACAACATTGTACTACTTGTGACTAATGCATGAGGTGGACTAAGATGCAATCGAACATGTGAATGAGATTGTAGACAAGCATTACATAATGTAATAGCATCACGTTTCGTATAACCTGAGAGTTCATAACCATCAACAGCTAAGATTATATCACCCGGTTCCATTGATTTCGAATTATTGTTATTAGTATTATCATTATTATTAGAAATGGTAGTAGAGCGATGATAAATAATACGAGATGGATCGAATTGAGCGCCGACTACACAAAACATACCAGCATCTGAACCTCCATCAATTGGAATAACTGGTATATCACCACTATTATTATTATCGATTTTCGCAGATATAACTATTTCATAGCATTGTTCTAACCATCGATATTGTTTTGAATTTTGTTCAGAATTGGCTTTTTGAAGAGACGAGACGAAATTCGCACCATAATGTTTTGTTAATTCACTTTTCATTTCGTTCATTTCCTTTAAACAAAGGCAAAAAATGAGAAGAGCTTTAAATAAATGGCAAAATTTCACAAAATAACCAAACAATCAGTCAATATGTGTAAGTAGAATATGGTAGAGAAGATTTGTAGCTCACGTGGGTGATTTTGGTCGTACTGCTGACTGTACACAGGTGTGACAGCAGTAAGGTGTTTCCTTCAGACAACCAGCATGACAGCGATGCTGCCTTCCCACAAGGAGGGGTGGGGTTAGAAAAGGTCGACCCTAAAAATGCACACCTCGCCTTATCCCACGGATATCCGTCTCCGGCGGTAAGGTTCCAAAAAGTACAGAGCTAACACAAAAATTACCCATAAAAAGGTCGTGTGTGACCGACCTCAAGCAGTTGTCCCTTGGGCACTGCGGTCACGCTTCCAGGTCACTAAGACCACCTCTAATCCAATTTCCTTTTCAGGTACCTCCAGAACAACTTTTCCACGGTATGGGCAACCGGGAAGTGAAAACCACCTCTCATACCTCTAACAGCACTCAAGACCACTGTATTCATGATCAACCTCCCTCTTCAATTCCTATTATTCCTCCTACATTGACTTTCACCTCTAAACTTCCTTTTTCGGCTTCCTCCTCAAATGTCACCATAGCCAACGATTCTAGTGCTCAAAACACTGTCCCAGGTCTACTGAAACCTCGCTCCACACTACACATTGGAGCCTTCGAACTATGTCAAATCGGTCAACAGGCTTCCTTGGCTAGAACCCTAGAATCTCGTACCATTGATATATGCTGTGTCTCCGAAACACGCATACAGGATCCCAGTGTGGTCATTCACTTGACCTCACCTCGGCAAAACGGAGAGCCAACGAGATACACCCTCCGTGTATCTGGTGACCCGACAGCCAGCTCTCGTGGACTGGCAGGAGTAGGGATAGCACTAAGCATGAGGGTGGAACAAGCACTGTTAGAGTGGATCCCCGTTGACAGTTGTTTATGTGCTGTTCGGCTAAACGGCTACGTAAGAACTCGGAAGGATAGGGATACACGTCGTTGCCTTTTCGTCGTTTCTGCCTACGCTCCCACTGACTGCAGCTCAGATGATGTGAAAGATGAATTTTACAGAAAGCTTTCTGAACTTCTTCAGAAAGCTAAACGTTCAGACATAGTACTCGTAGGGGGTGACTTTAATGCTCAGATAGGTAGCTTAAACCAGACAGAAAGGCATTTAGGTGGATATTTTAGCATTCCGGCACAGCGAACAGATAATGGTGACCGTCTGCTGCAACTGTGCTCAGACAATCGCTTATTTTTAGCAAACACAAATTTTAAGCATAAGGAGAGACATCGTCTAACATGGCGACCCCCTACACCAAACCAACGATGGACTCAAATAGACCATATTGCCATCAGTCATCGTTGGAGAGGGTCGGTAGAAGATTGTCGCTCATTCTGGAGTACCTGCTTGGACTCCCACCACACCCTAATACGGGCATGCATCTGCTTGCGCCTCACTGGACGCAAAAAAGCCACATTAAAAAGACCCATTAGAACTGAATTGAGTAGCGAGAAAACCAAAAGTAGGTTCCAGGAACAACTGCGGTCACAATTAGGTAGTTCTGAAAACGAGGTTGACCCAGATGTTGCTTGGAAAGCTATACAAACTGCTGTGGAAACAGCAGTGACATCTATCAGTGATTTAAACCACAGGGTTACAAAGAACCAATGGATTTCCTCTAGGTCTTTTGCACTGATGGATTCTTGTAAACTCATCCCATCTGTCTTCGAACACGATGACGAGCGACAACAAATCAGATCTACATTAATCAAAAGTCTAAGGAATGACCGTGAGCGGTGGTGGGCAACGAAAGCAAAAGAGATGGAAAAGGCGGCGGCTATAGGGAACACAAGACAGCTCTACAGACTAATAAAAGAAACTGGAATTAATAAGTCAAGTGTAAGTGAGATTATTTCGGAAAAAGATGATACTCTCATCTGCTCCCAGTCCAGACGTTTAGAACGATGGGCGGAACATTTTACAGAACAGTTCAGCTGGCCTTCAGCTACTCTACAACTACCCTCCATTCCCAGACAATGTGAATGGAACATTGAAGTAGGTCTCCCAACTCTTGCTGAAGTTCAAAAGGCTATAGTTAATCTGAAACGAGGAAGGGCAGCTGGTCCAGATGGATTGGCTCCAGAGGTCTTTAAGGATGGTGGTCCAATTTTAGCGATTAGGTTGACTGATATTTTAGCTAAGATCTGGGAGTTAGACGTTATTCCACCTGACTGGTCACAATAACTTATCGTCCCAATATATAAGAGAGGGTTAAAATCATCCTGTGAAAACCATAGGGAGATTAGTTTAGCTAATATAGTATCTAAAATACTAGCCTCAATAATTATCGGACACCTAACTAAGACTCGTGAACTGCAAACACGAGAGAATCAAGCTGGCTTTAGACCTGGTCCTGGCTGCATCAACCACATATTCACCATTCGTCAGGTTCTAGAACACAGGCATACTTATCGGCGTCCGACAATGGTGGTCTTTCTTGACTTAAAAGCAACATTTGACTCGGTAGACCGCGAGATTCTGTGGCAGTGTCTGTCATTGAAAGGCGTACCTGAGAACATAAACCTTGTGAAGGCTCTTTACTCGAACATTACTAGTCGAGTCAGAGCTTATGGCGAACTGTCATCTGCTTTTGCAACCTCAAGTGGTGTCCGTCAAGGTTGTCCACTTTCTCCGTTTTTGTTTAACTTCATCATAGACCTATTGATGGGAATAACACTCTCGTCGACTGAATTCTCGGGTATTGGTCTCCTTCCAGGAGGTCAACTTATCGACTTAGAATACGCAGATGACATAGTCCTGTTTGGTGAAGACGCCGATAAAATGCAGAGTCTTTTGGTAGCACTGAGCAACAATGCCAGAATGTTTGGAATGCACTTCTTTCCCTCTAAATGCAAGTTGTTGCTTCAGAACTGGTCTGCGTCAACACCTGAACTAAGGATAGGGAGTGAGGTAGTCGAACGCGTCGACAACTTCACTTATCTTGGAAGTCTGATCAGCCCTAATGGGTTGGTGTCTGACGAAATCTCAGCACGGATTCGAAAAGTTCGCTTGGCTTTTGCCAACTTACATCACCTATGGCGAAGGCGAGATATCCGTAATTCAATAAAAGAACGAGTATACTGCGCGGCAGTCCGTTCTGTTTTAATCTACGGCAACGAAACATGGCTATTAAGAGTAGAAGATACTCGTAAGCTACTAGTATTTGACCACTGATGCCTCAGAAATATTGCTGGCGTCTGCTGGGATCACCGGGTAAGTAATAGTGAGGTTAGAGCCAGGGTATTAGGGAATGATGGTAAATCAGTTGATGAGGTTGTTAATCTTCATCGACTGAGATGGTTGGGCCACGTGTTACTTATACCTCAACACCGATTACCACGACGTGCAATGCTAACCGGTGTTCGGGATGGTTGGAAGAAAGTTAGAAGCGGCCAAACCAAAATGTGGTATCAGTGCTTGAAGTAACTAACTTCTAGTCTGAGCCATGTTAGCAGATGCAGACTACTTGGTTGGGATCCGCGTGACTATCGTAACCAATGGTTAGAGACTCTTGGTGACATGGCTCAGAATCGATCACAATGGCGTCGGTGTATACACTCTCTGTACTCCCTTAAACTATAAGATTTAAATCGCTTCATATCTTTCTTTCTACGAACTAATTCTTTCTTCCTGTACTATATCGTTACATGCAATCTTTCTTTTATATATTACCACCTCTGAATTAACTACTTTTATGAATCCGGTGTCCATCTTGTTGTGTTAATGAGGTATGGCAACTTGGACCGATGCATATATGTGCCCGGTCCTACGCTGTAGCTGACTGACTGACTCCTTGTGGTAAGGCAGCATTGCTGTACTAATGGTTGTCTGAAGGAAACATCTTACTGCCGTCACACCTGTATACAGTCAGCAGTACGACTTCGTCCTCGGACTTTGGATTTGCTGCTTGTAGTCTTACTGCTCTTCAACCGACCTGTCTGGAATAGTAGGACCTTGAGGAACGATTGTTCCAGCCAGTATAGCTAGATTGGTTCATCACAAAAGGCAAATACGACCGCCACGTTAAGGTAGCAGCAACGGTTGGGCTGAGACGCAGGTAATACAACTGAGTCCCAAGAGTAACGAAATGTGTGTCCCGCATCTCACCAAAAGTCAGTATTGAACTTTACTCATAGATAAGGTTTGATAAGTTGTTAAAACTCAGGAATAAGAACACCGAAAGCTAGACGAAAAAAAACTAGAGTGAAAAGTACTAATGACTTTCGAGACTTAAAGAAAGACTAGTTGTATGTTCTAGTTTCAATGTGATAAGTTTTGAGGCATTATTTATCTCTTTTACAACCGTTTCGTAGATCCAAACTATAAAGTGTACATTTAGACAAAGTAAGCCAACAATCACCTTTACTAGATGTTTCCACGTTTTAGTTTGGTTGTCTATTACATATTACAGGGCATGACGTATAGGTAAGAAGTGATTAGACATTCAGATATCCCATACCATGAAAACACGAATAACAAACTTAAATTAAGAATAGGAAATTTAAAGAACGACTCGTAGATGTACTTAGCTATATGGTATAGCGTCGTTATGGTTGGAGTGCAGTATCTGGTGTTTTTGCGACTATCGGAAGTGATCAAGTATTAGAACCTCATTGAACAAGTGAATCACTTTTAAGAAGTGTATGTATTTTCTTGACCAATTTACGAGTGGAATATTCTGCACACAAACAATAGATTTCCACCAAATTATATGATTTATGAATAAATTCCAATATAACCTTCTACTATATTAGCCACTGAAGAAAACAAATAACAGACTTATACTCACATATTACGATGGTCTTACCCGGGCGTTTGTTAAATCAATTTATTAGTTGTTTACAAAGCGTTCGGTCCTTATTTGTAAAGTTTTTAGGGCAGATAACATGCATTTTTACGAAGAACCTTAAAATATGTCTGCTGATAGGTCTGGTATTATTTTAACGAGCAGAGTGCATAATTAGAGCTGTAAGACTGTTTGTAGTATTTGTACTAACTGATGATTACCTTTTACTTGATTGTGCACTTATTACGAATTCCAAATATGATGCGTCCATGTGTGCTCATCCAGTTTTACCTGTGTTAAATAACACTATTTAAGGAATTCTTAGTACATTAATTCGAATACTACTAATTATCATGCTGTTTTATCAACCTATTGTTCAGATTTAATGAGCCTGTTGCTTTTAGATTTTAACGTACGAAAAAAGTAAATAACAAACTACGGAATTAGAAATACCTTGGCGAAGCACTAATAATCAGTGTTAGCTTACTAAGGAGAAATGCGTTAGATTGTGATAATTACAGTAGTTTTTTCGTAAGGCAGTAATTTTTTAACCTCGACGTAAATGTCATCGGCAGTGAAAACCGATCAGGAGCGGCTCAGTTTATATGATTAAATTCATCATTTAATTGAAACATGCACTCCAATATGGACATGTCTTCTGCGCTCATCCTGATTATGAAACAAGTCGTATAACTCTAAGAAAAATACACGCCACAGCTTAGATTTATCGTTTCCTGTAATCAGTATCCATAGCTCGTCTTAGTTACTCGTATTACTGAATTCGAAATAGTAATCTAGTATATCAAATTTGCTACAAAACGACGTGAAACTTGTCTTTTCGTGTTCACATAGGACCCAGTGCAGATATATTCACCGCAACAGAAAACACCACAAGACAGGGCGAGCCCTGAAACGTACAAATCTTGATTGATTCAAAAAGTAAGATTAATAAAACCTATTATAATAGCCATTATAATGGTTAAGGTGTATTGGAATACGTTTCGCCAGAGACAGGTGGTTTTATGCAGTAATCATAACTCTCAAAATACGACAAAAATGCAAAATATCCTCATGAAACATAGAATAAAAACACCTAGGGCTTACAAAGTCATGAAGGTCTAGATCCACCCTTGTCAGTGCTTTTAGCGGGGTTCAAGATTACCTTGATTGCAACCTTGATGTGGCCCCAATATATCTAGAAAAACGATTACGACGTTAAACCTTGAACTAGTGACGAGTATATGTCTTATGATTACATTCAGTTTTTAAAAGAGTATTCTGTATAATGAAGAGGTTAAATTATTGTTGTTAAACCTTTAGTGTAGATGTACACTGTTCGCCAATCATAACAGGATACATCTGTATTAGAAGCTATAAAGTTATAAATCTCTAGAAGGAGACATAATATTATATATAAGAGGTCATCTACGTGTAAGATCAAGCATATAAGAAGCTCATGATGGTGACACATGTGAGGTAGCTTGTTGTACAATTAAATCTAGAGGGGTTGGCGACTATAGAAGAAATACTCCGTGGTCCATGTTGTCTTGCTAACGACTTTGTCTTAGGTCATATCTATTCTTGGAGTAAGGTCGACTGCCTTCTTATCGTTGGATATTTTAACGCATCCCATATCAACTGGATATAACTTACAACTTGAGGTGGATCTTTTGACAGAAGCTTGCTCTCAACCATTACAATATTGCGCAAAACTAATACAGACTGGCCTGGAACACGAGCATTTACCGCTGAATCTTGTGTTTACAAACCATTATGGTAATGTCACCTCTCTCACTACCAAACAGTGGTCACGTCGTACTGTACTTTGAGTCTCAAACGCAACATACTCTATGTGTCTGCTCTAACACTACACATTATCTGGCGGGCTAGTATTTCGACACCTACAGACTGTGTTACCTTAAAAGATTGGTTGGCCGGTGTAGATAACTCAGTGAAAAACGAACGGAACAGGCTTAAAGCCACATTCGGGTCTGTGGCATTGCATTTAGTCCCATGGTCAACATGTAAGCTATCACATTGCAATCAATAGACCAATAAGGAATCCTGAAAGATTCTGAGGCGTAGGAAACACTTCTAAGACTTCTTTTTATCAACAAACCATGAGTCATTTGAGTGGAGATACTTATGAAAGACATTATTCAGTAGCCATAACTGCCAAAAACGATTGTTTTCGTTAATTAAATGAACAGCAAAACGTAGTGATGATATTTCTCCATAACCGTTGCATGAAACTCATATATATCAGCTGAATCAGATCTAGTCAAAGCTGAGACTTTATAGAACTTTCAGCGAAGTCTACTCTGTGAGTATTGACGACGACACTTCCCATCACCACATTACTCAGATACCAACTATAAGATCAGTACATGTGACTGAAGAAGCTATCGATCGATTGCTTAATAATCGCAGACCTGGTAAAACACAGAACCTTGATGGATCGCACTCACGATTGCTGTCGCCTCTCGCAGGCACTATTTTAGAATCACTCATAATGCTCTTCAATATGTCCCTTTCCCACACCCAACTCCCTAAGTGTTGCAAAGATGCTATATTTAGCCCTATATTTAAAGATGGTCAGAGACAGGAAGTATCTAACTACTAGCTTGTCAGTCTAACCAAAATAGCAGTTAGGGCACTTGAAAAGACTAATTTAGGCCATGTTACTAAGTCACATAGAATCATACAATCTGTTAACTGCCTAGGAACACGGGTTTCGAAACTAGCATTCTTGTCCAACTCATTGCGAGAGGTGTTGAACAGCAGCCCTAAGTAATAGACTATCTATCGGTGTGATATTCATAGACTTTAACAAAGCATTTGACAAGGTTTCTCATCTAAATCTTATGCAGAAGCTCATGAGCTCCGGAATAACGGGTGATATACAGGTATGGATAAGAAGCTTCTTATGTGACCAAAGATAGAGAGTAAGGGAAGATGGAAAGATGTTCAAAGGTGGTATACACGAAGGCACCATCTCAGGCCCACCACTTTCCCTTCTCTACGTCAGTGAATTACGTAAGTCATCGAAAAAAATTTTTCGGATGACTTCAAAGTCTGGAAAATAATAAGAAGTGAGGCTGATCATTTTAATCTCCAGGCTGACCTAGACGAATAAGTTGGATGTTCCTAATGTTAGGGCTTAGAAATTAATTCTATAGATAGTGTGTTCATGTACACCGAACACTAACTCACATGAGCACGTTTAACGTGTAGGAACAAGATTAGTGGAGTGGTTTTCCAGAATTTCTAACGATGAGGGCTTAAATCGCCGAAACCTCTTCTTATCGTATCGCGAGACGCACTGTTATCTTATGTTGGTGTTCTGTATCTTTATTTACGATTTAGGTGTTGATATGCCTTATCATTTTGCTCCTTCCAGCATTAATCATCTCCGAGGCTATTGAAAAGAGGTTTAGAAATCACAGCCCCACAAACTGAGAGTGCAGTTCTGTTTTACCCATCAAGTGGTCGATGACTGGAACTCTTCTTCCTCGGACGTGTGATGTCAGCCCTACCAGTTAACATTTTCAATCAAAAGCAGGACTTCTGGTGGAAAACAAGCTGCAGGGGTTGACACAGATCCATCGAAATATTATCCTTATTACTAAATACTGAAGACTGGTTAAATATTTGTGATCAGAGAATAACGCCTGGAGTAGTACCAGGCGCCACCACTGTTTCCAAAATGAGCTTCTAGCTTTCTAGTGAGTGAATCTGCCACTGTTATTTACTCCGTTACAGAACTTTAGAATATCTGTGAGAGAAAATGTTCTCACGGACATCATATCCATTTCAGTACTAGAGTGAATTGCTAGTCCACAAGAATCTGAGGGATTACGATCAACATAATGCGTCATAATTATCCTTCCTTCTGAGTCTGCACTGAAAAGGATGTAAGTTTGGTGAATCCTGGTGAGGTTGATCGGGTTTATTCCTTAGTTCAATTACCTTTTCAGTTGCTTTCTCTGAAATTCTCCTAGAAGAAAGATACCATATCTTAGCAAAAGCATTACGAAGGCATTTCCTGTCAGATGGGACCATAAGTTCGGAATACTCTTGGGATCAGTCTACCAACATAATTGAAAAGAAGTCCCACCATGACATGTTACGTATTTCTGAACAACAGCAGTGAGTCCAAGCGTTGATGAGAATGAAACATATAAATCGTTTTAATCGCAGGGCAAATAATCATCAATGTTCCCGTATCCGGGTTGAAAGCGAGCGCTGGCTACGGCCAATGTACCTTGCTCCACAAGAGCAGGTGAACTGGTTAGGAGTTAGGAGTTCTATACTTGAACACCTAATCGACTGTAACCATTCTACAGATCCAAAATATGAGTTACTACCAGTTCACCTGCTCTTGTGGAGCAAAATACATTGGCCGTAGCCAGCGCTCGCTTTCAACTCGGATACGAGAACGTATTCCAGCTTGACTCTATAAGGGGGAAAGGAAAGAAGTTAGGAGTTCTATACTTGAACACCTAATCGACTGTAACCATTCCACAGATCCAAAATATGAATCATCAATGTCTTCATCCATAAACATTGATATACCTAAACCTATGGTTGTGTATCTGAAAAGTTGCGATGAGAATTGGAAATTTAGCCAGTCTTTTTATCTATACAAAGAGGGATAACCATTTAAACAACCAGGTAACTGTGTTATGCAAGTTTGAGATCTCTTCACCACTAGGAGTTAACTCGATGTTTCACAGGTTTTATGTTAATTTCTTGTTGCTAGCTGTTATTTTACTGCCGTGTTGATCGTTGGTTCCAGAACCGAACCTTATTTCTTCTAATCGAATTATTGCCGTTGTTCACTTGTTCCATTTACTGGCTTTGTTTTTGCATCATATGCAAAGTGAACATACACTTTACGAATTACTCTTCTCTTCAATGTCTTTTCGATATGTGTTTCAGCTTTCCCGCAAAAGTTTATCAAGCAGTTCTAGTGATCTGATAAGGACTTTAGATTAAATGATAGACTGCATTTTTCAATGGGCTGCATTTGAGTAAGCAAAAGAATATAATTGTCAAGATATTGTACGTTGTTTCAGGGGTCTCTGAAATATCAGGTAACTGAAGAATGATTAAGGTTGTTTTCCCAATCTGACCCCATGGTAAAGGATGATTATAGTCTTCAGATTGTACAAATGCTACTGTGTCGCTTGACTTTAGTTGTCATTCATCTCCATTATTTGATTTTATTTTCTCATGATGTCGATCCACTGACGATAAGGTCTTGTTAGTGTAGTGTTGAGTCGAGTCGCGGTTGATTATGATCACCACTGCAGGAAGACTACGTGCCAGTTAACGGATAAGATCCCCCGTAAGCCAAATATCAAAAAACAGTTGATGACTGTGGTCGAGATGTATTTGTTGGCGATGTTACGTCCAAGTTTTGCTCGTTCCAGTTATTGAAGTACGGACTATCGATCTACTTGCAAATTACGAACCCAAATTAACAACAGAACCAAGTTCCAATTTAGATACTAAATTTATTCGTAATTCACAAACAATCGACCAAATGTCGTTCTAACAACAATAATTATAACAATTACAAAACAAACCTTCAATTTTGTAGGTTCCCGGAGCAAAACTCCTAAATACCAAACCAAAGACAAAGAGAGCACCAAAATACCAAACCAAAATGTCCGAAATAATGATATAAACAAACAATGTCAAAAGTTAAGTAAAACAATAACATCCAAAAACACAGTAAATTATTAATGTACAATAAAAGGTTTTAATCCGCCAAACGTCTTCAGTTCTCTCGTAACAGGCGATCTCGTGGTATCGAAAGAATACCGAGATCGTGCCATGTTACAAGTGTGGTTAGTGGGTGTAGCTGAATTCGTGCAAGGTCACAATCAATGGAAGAATGTATGTACTTTGGTACAGTTAAACAAACATGTACGGTAAAGCAATTTCCAGTACAGTCGGTTATAATGATAATTGTTTTCATTACACCGATCGCGTTCTCTTGATAAAAGTAGGTCACTATACTAGTTTGAACTCAAAATTTGGGTATGGAAAAGTTGATGATTGTTGTTATTCGAATGCCTGCAGAAAACGGTTGTTTGAATACTTACAGGCAGATTGTCGATCTTATTTCGTTTGGAAAATTCTCACTTGCTTGAAAGCTAGTCAATAACTATTTT